CTTGTTTTTGCAGGGCATAATACAATTTTTCTCTGAGCTAACGAAGGAATGGTTCTATACGTCGTGTTCACACCGTCGATCGTGGACGTCCTATTGTCCCTATTTTTAGGAAGACTCCCATAGGTTTTATATACGACCCCAATCGCGGACGTATGCTGGGAATCGTAGACGATATTGTTCTCCTTTGTTTTCTGGTATTTTACGTCCACTGTTTGAATAGATGAACACACCCTATCAGTCGTATAACACCCCCATATGTCCCAAATAGTGTACCCCGTAGCCACAACATCATCATGATAATTACCAGGAAGTAGGCCTACAGAGCCCACGATTGTAATTGGTAGACATAATTGTCAGTGTCGTAACTTCATGGTCAGGGTCACAGTGTAATCCGGACGTGTTTACATTAACATGCACGTACACTGCTCAGTTATGACATGCACTGTCGGAAGCTGTCGCCCGCCCGCGCTGCATACTGCTCTATGGCTCGGCGGTTATTTCTTGTCTTCTAGTTGCACCAAAGAGCAATGACTCTACGATCGTTGCGTACACATGCATCGTTACACAAAATGTATCTATATCCATCTAAGTAAGATACTGATAGAGAATAAACAAGTAATTGCCATGTCCTGCACGATACATAATTGTTTCTCTTGCGTTCGAATTAACAAGGACTCACCTGGCCTTGCTGCTCATGTTTGCCTGTGGACTCTCGTGTAGCGGTTGTGCGTGCTCGCTCATTGGGTGCAAGAACACTTTTCGACACTTTCACGGTGCATTAGTCACGACTGATATCGGTGTATTGCGTGAGCTCGTGTATTTGTGCAAAGGAAACAATTACAATTGGATACAAAGGAAATGTGGAATTCGCGGATATCGGTCATGCGAGTGCCTGTTGAATCAGTGTTGGCATACACATGCACCAAAGGGGAAGCCAGACGGGGGCGATTTTTTTTTTTTTTTTTTTTTACATCATGGTTTTATCGCCGTGCTTGAGTGGAAACTAGTATTGTTATCTTCAAGGTGCACGTAGGCCTATTGAAATTTATGACTTTACTTTCCTTTAAAAAATATATTCCGGAGCCTCGATTCAGGAAAGAAAAAGCACTTTTCTGTTATAAAATTAGTATCCGACTTAAAAATAACAGTTCTGGGAGGTGAAAATCGAAAACTGTGAAAACTAGGGGGAAAAACGGGGGAAAGGACATAATTTGGATAGGATTCGATCCACGGGCCTTTCTTATTGCGAACCCTATGCATTTCCGCTGAGCCACCGGGGTTGCTAGGTTGGCTCGCTGAATTTGTGTATCTATATATATATATATAAGAGAGCATACCTATACAGAGAGTATACGTACGTTTGTAGTAAAAGGATTGTAGTGCGCCGCTACCTCTAGCCTTTATTCAAGTCCCCTAAAAATTGAGTACCCCAGACTGTTGCGTAAAGAAAAAAATCGCGGGCGTAGAGGGGGTGGAAGGGGGTTATTTTTCACCAGCGTTTACCCCCCCCCCCCCACCCCCGCCCAATATGTGTGCCCTTTTGTTATCAGTGGCCCTTTTTACGAGTGCCCTTTTTGGACTGATTTTGCGCGACAGTCGGCGATTGTGCGCCCTGAAAAGCGCCATCTATTGTCCGATAGTGTGCATGATCGTCCGCTTTTGAATGTGTTAATGTTTTGAAATTGATGCTCTTCGATTAAGAGAAAGTGGGAAAGAGTGCCCCTATAGCGTCAAATTAGGTTACAGCCCCCCCCCCCCCTTTCAAAATTGCAAAAGAATTCAACAATATACGTGCAGTCGATCACCATCAATGTTTACGGCTACAGAAAAAACCGAACCAGAAATTCTTGTACACTCTTTGGTTTTTAATACCCCGTCTTGTCTTTTTTTTTGGGTGGGTCGTTGATCACATAATCATTGAATATCGGCCCAACCCACGACTCGGTCGCGAATTTTTTTTTCCCCAATCGACATCCGTTTGCCATCTTCTGATTGGTCCATTACATGCATATCTAACGCCTTGTTCTTCACAACACAACCCCAAGATAGGCTTTACGTCTTGTGAGAAGTGTTCCTTCCTCACTTTAGTTATTGAAAAGGTACAAAGAGAAGAAGTGAAACACGCTCATTGGGGTTCGAACTCGGATCACCTGATTAGAAGCCATTCATTTCATTTCAATTCTTTTGTCTCAAATCGTGCCCAGAGGGCCAAATACCAGAAGACAATTACATTGAAAACAATTCATTCTAAAAGCGATTAAAAGTTACATAATACAAAAAAATGAGTAAAATAGGCAGGTAATGCATTCAAAGTGTACGTTAACATACACCACATAACCAGGGAAACATAACTATACAAAAAAGGAGGGACAACATGCACCCCCCCAAACAAAAAATTGCACACAGTTACATCACACAGAGCCGTCAGGACTACTTCCAACCAGTCCTTGAATCAGCTGCCAATCGTCGGTGATTTAAACACCATTATTCCTTGTTAAATAATATTATCTAAAGCCCTAGACATCATGAATATGAGTAACGCAGAGAGACCGCCCTCTTTTGATATTGTCGGACCTCGTTTGGGGAAAAAAATATTTCGCGGCCCGGTCACACCCCGAAGTTTTTATAGGCGTTCCACCAATCAGATGACGAAGCGGGTTTATTCAGGCGTTGTATATTCGTGCAAGGGCCGTCTATAAAGGACGTACGCACGAAGGGGGGGGGGGGGTTACATTGCGTACACCATACGCGGGGGAGGGGGGTCCAAAACTCCAAACCAATGCGTACACGTACGCAAACCTAAACTTTGCTTGTAATAAGTTGTCATGAAATCAATGTACTTTCTCATATTTAATACCTATTAGGACCAGCTTTTATGCATCGAAAATTGTTATAACAATGTACCCTTCACCCCACCATTTAAAGGGAATATACATCATTTGCTTTTGCTGTAATTTTCAGAAATGGATGGAATTGGGGGGTTAGAAATATATAGCAAATATAGTTACACTGACTTTTTTAAGGTTTTGGGTTCGAAAATGCTATAAAAACCAAGAAAAACGATCATTTTCCTGTAGTCTGGTTCCCTGACTCCATATAAGAAGAAACAGAACAGTTTACATAATTTGGGGAATTGTAAGGTCAGGGAACCAGTCTAGCTGGCTCGTACCCGTTCATAGGTTTGTAATCGATTGCAAACAAGTGCGATGGTCAATTGGGGCCAGTATTTGAAAAAAAAGCCAGTTGTTTCCAACGCTGATCGGCCGATCAGCGTTGGAAATTGATACAAAAATACCACTTTTCTTGAAAATGACAGTATACCAGGTGCCAAGATTTTACAGGATGCTTTACACTGTCATTCACTAACAGTCCAGCAAGGTATTTCAAAATGATTTGGTAGTTTTATTTTTTGATGTTTGCAAATGTTGTATTTTCCCTTTAAATTAATCTTCCCAGTGGCACCGCCAGTCAACACCTTTAGAGGTCATTAAACTTCAGGGACCGCGAAATGAAGAAGCGGCGATTGAGATATACGGGCCCCTCTTTAGTTATTTTTTTTAAAACTTCCCCAATCCAAAGCTTACATCTCTTAAATCTAACAAAAATATATATTTTATTTTTATTTGACAGTATCTTCCGATAGAAATGCGATTTTCGTACGCATTTTACAGTTCACGCAATGTGAATCAACATTCACGGTGCGTCGCGTGTTGCCTTTTGTCATCTTCGTCCGCGTTGTACCCCAACATTTCCTACAAAAACTCTGCCCTCTACACACTCAAGGGGGTCAATTGAAAGTAGGGGGGCATACCTTTGTAGCGTTTTCATATTATCAATTCTTAATTATCAATTCGTCTTAGTTTTTAGTTAATTATCACACTTTAATTATCAATGTTCCTTTTGAACTTTTTAATGGTTAATTCTCCTGCATGCATTACTCATCGTTTTCCTTGTATACACATACACCCATGCACACAGTGCCTATGCAATGTGTAGTCCCTATACTTTTATACAGAGCAAATGACCTTCACTGCCCACACACAAGTCACTGGTCAGTTTCTTAGTACAACCAAGTTACTTTCAAGATCATTGTTTTAAGGAACTATATTACTCATTCCTAGTCACTTTTCTGAGACTCAAGGAAACCAAGATATGACTAAGTTTTCCCATTCTTAAGTATTTCTTATTCTCAAGACTTCCTGTTTCCACCAGTATATAAGTCCTGCTCCACTAGCAGTTCTTCATTCCATTTCTATTCTATTCTGTTTTCTATTCTAGTCTATTTCAGTTCACCCATGCAGTTCTCTTTGTCTCAATTCACTGTATCCAGTTCAATCAATCAATGTGTAAATAACATAATTGTTGTGGAATAAACAGTCACGGTAAACACAGTCCTCAACCAAAGAATTGTGTATCGACTCATCCATTCCCCAACACCTTGATCAGAACTAATGCGAGCGCGAAGCGCGAAGCCATATTCGGCGTGGTACCCGCTGCCCCCAAACATTTGTGGATTCTAGACGCTCTGCGATGGTGCAATCTGAGGCAATTTCCGAATTCAAAATCCTACAATCATGCACACTAAAGGCCTTTTACCTTATAGTGTACAAATGCCCCCTTCTCACGACTATTTTTATTTTATTGGGGGTGAGACAATTCGCATGTGACGTCAACTTCTAAAATTGGCTACTACCATGCATTTGTTTATGGATTTTTTTTGGGGGGGGGGGGGGCTTGACAAGATGTTAAGCCCCTCCCGTAGAACCGCGCCTGGTAATATGTCGACGCGATTTCGCGACATTATTTGGAGCCTGCACTTTGCTCCATGGTCCAATCATGGTCCAATGAACTCTTTTACAATGCGTCTGAGTAGATTTTAAGGCCATCCCCAAAAAACTGTGAACACTTGTTTATACTCCATTTCTGTGATGTCTACAGTAAATGACCTTGGCAAGTATGTAGCGTCTGGCTGCTATAATTGGATACACCCACCCTTTATTATTGCTTGGAGTGATTTTCCGTGAATTTAGGCCGACATCATGACGCAACCTATGATTCACAGGACACAGCCTCACTCAGGTCGTGTTCGTGCATATGGTTCGTGTAGCAGCCACAATCGCAATCCTATAACAAGCCTAGCCAGACACTACCTAGTCATCTAACGAGGGCCGCTGCTTGTGACATCTGAACTCTACCCCTGTCGGTCAAGTTCATCGTATTCTGGTTATGTGCAGTACATTAAACATCTGACGAAGGTAGGCACACTACTAGTAATGCTAGTTCACAGTTCTGACAATATGAAGAAGCAGTACGTTGTGGTAATCTCGTGGCGGGTTGCATCTGCATACATGTCATGTATGTAGATACATGCGAGGGCCCAGATCGCGTATTGTATCAATATTATGTGACAACTTCTGCCATACGAATATACAGGGTGGTCTCAAAAAAGGACCCTCATACTTCCACTAGTACTACCCTGAGACTCAAACCACATACACCATAATGCATGAAGAATCTTTTTTAGAAGAAAAAGGAAGCCGAGATTGCCCGATTCGGTCCAGAAGTTTTTCTTCTAGCAGTCTAGAGCCTATTTTGTGAAGCAAGGTGGGGGTTATTTTTGTCCCGATGGAAACAGCGCCCGGGAAGTTGACTTACATTGTAATTGATAGAGGGATTGTTATCTAATAATACCCACATGAAAGAAGTATCCTTCACAAAAAAAGGCTCTGCAGCAAAACCTACTGGACCGAATCAGGATATTTTGGTATCATAATATTCTGAAAGGATTCTCCATCAATTGATACAAGTGGTTTGAGCGGTGGCGCAACCAGGATTTGGCTTTGGAGGGCTCACAATTGTTTTTTGTTTCATTTTTTTTTTAGAATTAACATGTTTTCAAAAATCTTGCCCACATCATCACCCCCCCCCCCCCCCCCCCCCCCCGCCTGGGTGCGCCACTGGGTTTGAGTCTCAAGGTAGTAGAAGTATGAGGTTCAGGGGTTTTTTTACCATCCTGTGTAGACCAGAGATAGGCCTATACGCGGATATTCAAGAAATGCACATTTTGTTCGGGATCGATTATTATACTTTACCAGTCTGGATGTTTTGTTGCTAATTTTGCTTTGCAATATTTTACTTTAGTTTTTTATAGGGTAAAGCTGGGGAATTATATGGTTGAGTAAAAGACTTATTTTAAATTTCAGGCACGATCGACATGCGAAATCCAAGTTTTGTCTGGCAGCCAACAATTCGGGTTTTGTGAAGAAATAATTCAATAACTAACCGTTGGTGGAGTTCTTGTTCGATGTCTCATTCAGAAGTGAATAACCTTTACATTTCTAGGAAAACAAACAAATCTATTTTTTTCCGAAGTGAAACTCGAAAAAAGCACGGGGCACCATCTTTAACTGCAACACTAGTACTAGCCGAGTGTCCCGTCAGTCTGTGAAATGAACTTAGTGGTGAACTCGTCAGCGTGTCCCTTTTTATTTCAATGGTTGTCATACATGTATTTGTTTGGCCTTTGTAGTGGGATTGGACAGATCTAAAGAAAAATGCAGGTGCACCTGTATAGATGGCTTAATTAATTGATGCCAGGTGCGTATTGTCTCCTGATTTGTTAATTGTAATGAGATTTTCATGAGTTTATATCACTGAATAAAAATAACAAAGCCATCATTATTATCTGTACATGCAACTCACTGACACTTTGGCTGTACACGTAGTGGCAACCATGACATAAAGGTAAAGATAATATATGTAAACCCCTGATATGAGAGGCAACACCCTCGCATCTTCAGGGCATGGAATTACATTGGTTGCTATATACACCTTGGTGGGTTTTTTCTTGTGTCCGGAGCTCAAAATAGGGTCAATCGGAAATGAGAACCAAAGAATAGTAATAAGAAGAATAATAACATAACTTTATTTATTGATGGTAGCCATGTCACCTCGGGGATGATTTTCAATGGTTTTCAAATTACAAAATCAGTATAAAAATACAAATCGGTATAAAAATTACAAAATCAGTATAAAAATACATTGAAAATGTACAGCACAGTATACATCAAATAAATAAATATACAGGAGCCTTAAAATATAAGAAAATACAAGGCTAAACATTCAACACTCGAGGAGACCCAGACCAGTCCAGACTGCAGAACATACACAGACCGGAGAGATGGAGAGACAAAAGGACATGACACAAGAACCACTGACTATCAAAGACGGCCAAAATAATGACATCTAAGATCTTGAAAACTTGAGGACTATAAAAACCATGAACATCATAAAGCCATAAAGACATAATAAAAATACATTAGACAATAACCCGGTGCTAAGACCTAGAATTATTGAGGACTATTAAAACCATGATTACCGTAAACCCGTAAAGACTTAATAAAAAAAAACATTGATCAATTACCTAGTGCTTGTATAAAACTCAAAAGTCTAGACTTAATAAAAGAATGCATTAAACAATTACCCAGTGCTTATAGAAATACCAGAGTGTGTTGAAGAGATGAAGGCCACCGGATTAAAAATCACAGAGAGCCTCATAATACAGACAATACATGTATATGTTAGTTGTTATACTGTCCAGTGTGAATTGGTGACACTCTCTATATATTTTTTTCTAACAATTTGACGCGGCAACTCATGCGCGTCACGTCGTTACGTGCGCCTCATTTCACGTACGCTGGAGGAATGAGTCCAATGAACTCTTCCAAAATCATAGTGGCCGCGACTTCAGATGGTCTTGTGATTGAGTCAAATCATACATTGCAACTTCATAACTTTCCTATTTCCTTGGTTTTAGGTTTCTTGTCCGTAGCGCAAGGCGAAGCTATATAGACACAGAAAATGACCCAAGTGGCTGTGCTCTATGAGTGGTTCTGGACCAGGTTTGTGACGTTGGATCGATCAGTCTTGAAGTACAATCAATTGTGGTTCATTCATTTCAGTTTTTCGGATGGGAATGAGCTCGGTAGTGTTTATTCGTGCAATGCGTTTGCGGTACGCGATACGGTTGAGAAGCATTCTCCCTGTCCCCAGCCTACGTACAAAACATGGGTATCGATCTTTAATTGCGAGTAACTTTTAAAAGTGGTTTATTATAGACTTACAAGCCGATCGGCACTATCCTGTTGTCCATCGTCAAATGACGTAGAATGTTCAGTTATAAAGAATTCGTACTAATATTGTAGATCACAGCGTTCAGGTGTTACTTCCGATGCACGCACCTGTTATATTATCTGCCAAGTAGAAATGTAGTGGCTGGCAAATTGCGGTGAAAACAATTATGAAAGCTTCAGAGGGCCAGACAGTGCAGGGGATTAGTGTTGGAAGCCGGTTATTACTTAGCAAGTATTAATTTTAGGCTTACTGTGCTTTTTGTGCTCAGCACTGCAACTCCATATAAAAAGCCCCTGGTGGCGTGGGAAACAGCAGGATCATTTTCATCCGTGACACCAGCAAATTTGAGTGTCTGACCCGCATTGACCCCCTGTGACTCAAGGTCATGTTATTCTTGTTGGCCTGGGAAATAATCAAATCACCCTCACGTGTCATGCGCGGGTCATGCGGGGATTAATTGGGGGACATGCATTCCACAATAAACTGTAAACACAGCTGGGGTGATCGAGCTTACACATGCTGGAGTTATACAAATGTATGCTTAAAACAAGTAGAAGTTGAACAGCCCGGAAGCAGTTTACAGCTTGAAATCACTCGAGGAAGTTAAAGGTAGAGTATATCATTTGCAGCTATCCAAAAAGCAGCTGACGAAATTTTATTGTTGAAAAGCATGCTTGGTTTAAAGATTGTAATGGCACTTAATCCCTGTGAAATTATTTTTTCTGACATGCTGCCATTTTGAAGAAAACTATAAAAGAAGTTCATTTCCAAAGATGCGTCTAAATTCGCATTTTTGGAAACTTCCTTTAGTAGTTCGTTTTTTAATTCGGCGAAGCCGTGAATGGGTTCTCGCAAAGCGTTAACACGACGACACGCGCGGTCGGTTAATTGGTCAGTTCAGCGCGTGACATCGCGTAGCTGCAATCGGCTGAATCAGGGAACGGGTCCCGGGCCCAATTAATCAGAACATGACTCGGCAACTTAAATTTTGGATTGAAATCGAGATCCTGCAATATTGTTTCCTCGGAATGCACAGAGCTAAAAAGTCATCAGGATAGTTGTTAAGCACCCTTCTTTAGATTTTGAGAATTTTTCTTGCTTCAAACAAAAAAATGCACAAATGACCAATAATATAATCTACCTTTAATCCAAGTAAACGATCCATGTTGCGTCAGTAACATGCGTGACGTCTTCGAGAAGAAGCCACGTACTTTGTGTTAATTTAAATGCAAACTTATCAGGGGACCCTGCGACCTAAACATAGTGTTCCTCCATGATCTATCGTTTTGTTTCTTCCCTCCCCACCTCCTCGTAAATAGTGTGTATACAGTAACGCCCCCAAAAAATGTCAACAATGTAGGTAGGTATAGCAAACTTTCTGTATTGTTTATGTTTGTATGTCCGTCTTTTATACTATGTTTACTCTATAGGGTTCCTATAGCAGTATTCTGTTTAATTAACCAGTTCAAGGAGGATCCAGAACACATTTTTTTTGGGGGGGGGGCCAAACAAAAATTGGTCCCCCATAAAAATTTGGTCCCCCAAAAAGTGAGTCAAAAAAATTACGGCGAGGGGTAAGGGGCCCGCTGAAGGGCCGCGATTTTTGATATTATTATTCTAGATGCTCTGTGGTGCGATCTGAGACAATTTCTGACCACTTTAACGTATTTGTTTTTGAGGAAAAGATGTTGGTGTATGCAGTGCCTGCCTACCGTTCTGGGGCCGGGGGAGGGCATGGCGCCCGTTGCGCCCCCCCCCCCCCATCCGCCCTTGAACTATAGTTTAATTGTTTAATTGACCATACACACAAACTTGCATAGGGAAGATATGTTTTCTTTAAGATATACGTCATTATGCATTTGTGGTCAAATGTGGCAATAACAAGTTTGGGGTCGGTAATTTGGCCTTAAACTAAGCTCCGGTTAGGTCGGGTTACCGTAAACACACAATATTTCACGCCTAAGCCTTGGCCCATTATCTTCACGATTCTCACAGGGTGAGGAATATAGAGAACACAGTAGCATCTCCTACGCCATCTTCCAGCTAGTATCTTATCAAGCATGGGCGATGTTGAGCAGGGCGAGCCTGTTCGTGGGCCTGAGCAGGGAGTCGATTGCCCCTATACGGATGACAGCGGTAGTGCGGCAGAAGACGAGGGAAGTCCCGCTGTAGCTGTCCGGGTAGATGTACTCGACATTGAGCCATCAGTAGTTCACAAAAAAGAAAGGTAAGATCAGACTCCACACGCACTGAAATGCATTCCCTCGTTAAATTGCTGGTAGTGCTAACATAGACGGACACACCAAGGTCAGTTTATGGTGTAAATCGAGGATTTTCTATTGTTCCTCTTCCCTTTTCATTTGTTTATACTTAAAATTTTGTTGCAATTAACAGCTCTTATTGGTTTTGTACACGTTTTCTAATCGAGGTCATCCTCGATTTGATTCTGTCCTCAATTCATCGATGATGTTACACAAAACTTAGTATCTTTTTATAAGTCTGTCGTCGCTCAAATCGACGTGTGTTTTTTTTACCCAACACACCATTTACTGAATTTTACTCAGTCAATAGAACTTGGAGTGTAAAACATTGCCGGGCAAAAGATCTTCCGTGAGATCTTAGCTTGCCTTGTTTTGTGTTCCGTTTAACTGAGAAACAAAAGTGGGTTGTTGCCTAAGGTGTATTGTGTCTTCATTTTTTACAGCGACTTCAGTCTGACGAAGCGTGTGATTGCCTCCATGCTGGCCATTGTTGTAGCAATAGTCTTTTTCGTAGTGGTAGCAGTGACCGTGACCGATACTAACAGGACCACAATAAGCGAGACGCACACTGAGGCACGGCCAGTAGTCCCAGGGAGATATCAGAGGGCAGCAGTAGCAGCCGATGTCGGCTTATGCTCGGAGATGGGTCGGTATGTACAGAAAGGCTCCAGTTATGAGAAAGAGAGAGGAATTGTTATGACCATGTCTACCAATTCAGCCTATATTTCATATTCATAACTACTTAAGACAGTTTACCCATTCCTATAGGTCGAGAGCCCGTCACGTGGCAGGTTTTAAACAGTTAATAAAGACCGGCTGGCTGGTCTTACACACTATTCCAGTGTCACATGAAATTTTGACTACTTTAAAATCCAGTGCCTTTTACCGCTTTATTGGTTGAACGTTCACAATCCTCACGTATAGGCATGGACAATACTACCAGTGAGTCAGTATTTCATAGTCCTAAATTCACATTACACCGGCACAGCTGCGTTCTAAGCCACTATCGCAGTACGCGCGACGCGCGCGCCAATCTCAATATATAAGGAGTTGTTTACGACAGGGACATAAAACAGTTAGGGTGTTTTAAAAACATGCAGCAAATCTGTTGAACAAAATCATTGGAAATTTATAATTTGTGACTTGTTTTGACTTCTGGATCGAAACACTTAGATTATTTTTTACCGAAAAAAAATCTGGATGCTAATATTTACCCTCGCCTTCGGCTCGGGTAATTATTAGCATCCTGACTCAAACCGGTCTTAAACATAGTGTTTAATATCGGCCAAGCACATATTTGTGCCCTTAGTTAAGAGCTGTAATTATCCATGAAGCATCGCGAGCACAGAGGTTTGCGACTATTCTGCGCTTTTGCTTGTGTCAATAAAGTAATCTGTTGGCGCATCCATGATCCACAAATCAGGTACAAAAAAACGTGAAAACTGTCCTACCTCGACATGGCGTACGACGATCCTTCCAAGAGGTGTCAAGGCCGCATAGGCTATGTAAAAACATTTGTAGAGAAATGTTACTGTGAAGAAATCTAAATTGGTACTGCTTGGAACAGCCGCAGGGCATCGCACTTTTCGTGAAAATGTCACCCCATGACCCCACACACTATAAACCAAAATATTGTTTACAGTGGAAATACATACACATTATGATTTGCAGGCACGGCTCGACATTCATGCCACTTTCAGGTAAAGTTTGTTTTTAGAAATAAACTCATGGACAGAGAATTGATGTTTTCATGTCACCAATGATGTAAGGTCATGAAACTGAATTCAGAACTTGTCTCAATTAACATGCAGTTGACGGTCCGTCCATTTTTGGTGCCGCATCGATGTTTTCTGTAAGAGAATGATTTTATTCGCCACTTCGTCCAAAAAATAAACCATAAAAAAACACGTTTAATCAAAAGTATACCCGACGTCATTTAATTGGCCAGGGCAGCACTGTATGTGGTCTCTCAATTAATGAACTAAAGGCCGCTGCACTGCAGAAAACACTAATTCAACATCGCCTGTCACCGCAAATATTCGAAGAAGCGGGCAACTGTGGCTTTAAGGGTTCACACCTGTAAATAGTCCAAAACATATCCGCTGAGCTCAAAAATAAAAGTTATAACCTCAAAATATTCTATATTAGAGTTCTGAGAGCCATAAAATTGGGGAATTGGAGAGATATGACAATGAACCTAGCTCTGGCCCAGACTTTGAGCTTCCAATTCTGAGCATTTTTATGCTTTAATTGGGCTCGAAAGTCACGGTGGCGCTCATTTTTGCCATGTTGTGGAGGGATCGTTTTTCCAGATGGCTACTTTTCCGCTTTGGGAAAAAATAGCGGTCGTCTTCTGGATGAGAATTTTTCGAAAAGTCAGCGGTCATGCCCACCAAAAAATGAAACTAAAATGAAAGATGACATGTTGATCATCATTTTCTGTGCAGCTTAAATACCTGTGAGAGTTCTGAGTATTTTTAACAGAATTTTGAAGTGAGGGCATTTAGCACTGGTGTCTATGGGAATTAATACAGGGTGCATCCAAAAGGCTCTCGGCGATATGATGACGGGGTGGCACGTAGCTGACCTATAATAAAATATCACAGGAATGACGGCCAAGACGCACAGGAACCAATAAGATAGTGTAAGCACGAGGACGTTACCTGTCCTCATGTACAAGTGCGTTATGATGTCACGTCTTACCTGCACTTTTCAGCTGGGGAAAGCCGTGACGACCAGTATAATGTTAAAGCAGCTCTAGTAATGATCATGCCTCTCCACTTTTGTTAGTAACAAAAATGTCAGCAAATTCCTTTCTGGCAATCAATCATCTTGTCCCTTAGGCCCTCGCAACAACACGTGCTTCAAGTCTCTACTGCAGACCCCCTACCAATTTATTGCAGTAGTGGACAATTGGGTCACAAGGTCACTCATTGGGGCTAGCACTGTACTGCACACAAATTGGGGGTTCCACATGCTTTATGAAACGCTCCAATGCACCAACTGGCGTTCAACAAAATAATGAGAATTCTTTTCAATTATTGACGATCACAACTACATGTGTAGTTGTGCATTATAAGAACAGACTTTTACATCGTGCAATATGTACATGATTTATAGAGGCTAGCTACAGCAGGTCTACCGTTGGGCCACATGCAGCTTCCGATATCTTATCGTTTCAGATATACCATGTAATAAGAGGGCGCACTATCACAGTCATACTTCAGCAACTTGGAAGTCCGACCATGTGATATTCATAACTCGTGTGTATGACACGGACCCATCTCGCCTTTCTAATCACAGTGCAAATACAAAACTACGGCTAAAATCAATAATGATAACATTCATTCAGCGGTGTAGCCAGGGTTCTCATCTGGGTGGCGCGTGTGGGGGGGGGGGGGGCTTGAGGTTGCAACGGAGGGGGCCAAAAAATTTCATCTGAAAGGTATAGGACTACAGACTTTTTCTCACCGGACACCCGCCCTCAGTAAAATCAAATTTGGGGGGGGGGGGGGGGCTGGACACCATCTTCCCATGGGGGCGCTGTTCAAAACGTATATCATGGCTAAATTAGACACTATAACTACCGCTATTCTCTTTCCAAGGGATGTTACATCATGGAGGTTTTTTTTTTCAATATTTACTCGGGAGGTAATTAACACACTGAGTATATAGTCTTATACGGTGAAGGGCAAAACCTAATTTCATTTATATCACCCCGACGCAAAAGTTCCATCTTATGAATCATATGGAGGTATACAATAAACAGCCACTCGCGAAAAAAAAAATGAGTTTTGGTAAAAAAAAAATACGCATAAAAAAGGGACGTTATATTCTTCCAGCTTATCAAGGTAACTCATATGAATGTGATTTTCTACGGATGCCACATTTTCAGTGGGGGGAAACTGGTGGAGCAAACTATTTTAATGGGAGGGGCGTGCACCTCCCCCACGCCCTCCCCCCCCCCCCCCGTAGCTATGCCGCTGCGTTCAGTTTCATTTTAAAGTCTTTTGTGAATGGTTGACCGACTCGTGACTCCTCACACGGTAATTGTCGATTTCATATGTTTTCATCCCACCACAGTGATATCCTAAAACAAGGTGGTACAGCCGTGGATGCGTCCATAACTACCCTGCTGTGTGTGGGTGTGGTCAATCCACAGAGCTCCGGCTTGGGAGGAGGCATGTTCATGCTCGTCTACCACAAGAACACGGGCAAATCAGAAGCTCTGATGGCTAGGGAAAGGGCGCCAGCTGCCGCTAATGCAAACACGACCTTGGAAACATTTGGTGAGTTCATATGCATTAGACTCTCAAACTTATTCATGTTTTATGCAGGGTGATAAAAAAATAAGCGGAATTCCCACCCCCAAAAATGTATTTCATATTTACAAAAAAAATGTGCAGCACCAAAAATAATAATACTGGAAAGCCAATTTCAGAAACTAATTTTAGATGCAAAAATTGATAAAATATGCTCAATCCGTTCAAAGAATATCACCATTTAAATGCAATGACCCTTAAACCTGTTTCGTCAAAAGAAAGCAATCTATTGTGTGTTCTGACTGTTTGGAAAAACAAAGAAAATGACACAGAATACTTGTTTCAACAACTGTCAACAACTGTAGTACACAGTATCTTTATTAACAACCCTGCTAAGGCAAACAATGTAATTTTTTAGGCCATTTTTTTTTCAAAAGACGGGCCTTCAAAAAGACTTTGTTGTGAACATTTTTACCTTCTTAATTTTGGTTTAATCGCTGGTGATGTTTGGAAACAATTGTGACGACGATAAATGAAATCGCATTTTTGGACGAGAAAGGTTTGAGTTTCATTGCGTTTAAATGGAGATATTCTCTGCAATTAAAGTAATTTGTTCATGTTAAAGTAGTTTATGAAATTGGCTTTCCGGTCATTATTTTTTGGATGCTGCATATTTGTTTAAATATGCAATATATTTTCTGAGGGTTGGGTGCCGCTTTTTTTACTCACTCTGTAATTCATATTGTTTTGCGCGGGTCAGAGCCATTATTAGGATACCCCCTTGATTTTGAATATACATGTACTTCTCCTTTCTGCAGGTATCACCTCAGTAGCAGTGCCTGGTGAATTGAGCGGTATGTGGGAGGCCCATCAACGCTACGGTCGCCTACCGTGGACAGCCTTGTTTGAGCCCGTGATCCGTCTAGCCGAGGAAGGCTTCCCCGTCACGGCGCATCTCGCCAAGGCGCTTGGCTTCCTGACAAGAAGAGGACTCAACTTGACACAGCCTCAGTTTGCTGGGTTTCGGTAAATATTCACAGCTGTTCCTTCAGGTATTTTTCTACCCTCTTTTAGGAAAATCTGGGCATGCATTAAATAACGATGTCGACGACTTTCGGTAACGCTATAGGAACATGCCTGTGATGTGGGAAATGATGTTTTGAACACCCGAGGGGCGCTGAACATCTGAGGGGCGCATAGCACCCGTGGCGAAGCCGAGGGTGCTATGCGCCTGGAGTCATATCCCACATGACAGTAGTCAACATTTTTGTTGTACTTCTTGGATCCTTTGGACTTTGAAAACACGCAAACAAAACAGCAGTAAACACAACAATCATGACAAGACAATCATTTCTGCTAGTTCGCTGCTCCCACTCATGTATGAAAACATGCATGGTAAAAAAATAGCATGGATACCAACGACAGAAGCGTTTCACACCGTACTTACGTATTGTACGTACAAAGTCAAAGCCCACGCCCTATGGGATATCACGTACGTGATATCCCTCGAATTTTTATAAACTTAATACGTGATCGTTCTAGGCCAAAGACAATACAATCGAAACTTTTTGAGAGTGAGGAAAGGGGCTACGTTTGTCTGTATATCACAATATGTCTTTGTATGTTGAAACTATTCTGTTTTCCTGACAATCCCTTACATTACTGTATTTTTTTCTATTGTGATATAAATATTATAGTCCCGGTCATTCATATCTTTTTTTAATTTAACATTTAATTTCATATAGCTTGATGTAGTATTGTACACACTGTGGTATATGTCATAGAAATTTAAATATTTAACATTATTCTGAGTTGCACTGATGTGACGTAGATACTCGAATGTTGTTACAAATCTCAAGACGGTTTGTGCAATCGTTTGACCGTCACATAACCATCGTGCTTCATTTGGCACCGTATGACATTGCAGAGTGCGATACGCCAACGCAGATGGCAGCTGGAAGGAGGTAGGTGACACCGTGTACGCCCCCAAGATGGCAAGGACATTACGGGCTATTGCTAGGAATGGCATCAGCGAATTCTCCAATGGGACAACAGCACAACAGCTGGTACAAGAAATACAAGAATACGGTAGGACTAACTAGTGGGGCAGGTATAGGGTAATTGTGTGAGCAATTGTGCCTTTGATGATACAAGCATGGCATCTGCAGTCAGAGTATGTCATGAGAAAGATATTTGACTGTTGGGAAACGGCAGATTTGTCTTTGGGAAAAAAGTACAGGTAGAATAACAAGCAATTTTCAAAATTTTCAAATGGCTGCCATTGCTTGTTTTTTTCTACCTATAATTTTTCAAAGGACAAACCTGTGTTGGCCCTACAACCAAATGTCTTTCTCATGACATACTCTGACTGTGTGCCAAAATGCCATGCTTGTGCCATCAAAGGCACAATCCCATCACCTATCTGCCGTACTAAAATAGTGGTTTGTCGGCACTGCAAAAGTGTTTAACTTTTAAACACATTGTGGACGGGTTATTTTTGCTACAGATTATAAACGTATTAACACGTTTAGGTGAGAGGCGCCAGAGGTGAGAGTCAGACTCATTGTATGTATCCATGTACTAACAAAGCCTCAAACAGCTGGTTTAAGTTCTATAGCTGCTGGTGACAAAAATTTGCTTCTGAGGAAATTATTTTTTAGACATTCCATTTGCATTTGAGACGCGTCGTGAACGGCGCTTTTTAGGTAGATTTGCAGTGTTGTAGTCGAGTCACCAACGTCGAGTCCGCGTCCAAATCTCGAGTCACAAGCCTGGAGTCCGAGTTTCGAGTCACAAGCCTCGAGTCCGAGTCCGAGGCTTAGTTGTTCACCAAACTAATCAAAATGTTTGAAATAATTTCTAAAGTAAATTTCAGCGTATACAGTGTATCTTGTGTGTGTACATGTTGTTTGGAACCAAAATGTGTTTTCCTTTTAATTCTCACCACTAAAAATCCTCTTCCATGATACCAGACATTTTTTGGCATGAAACCGGGGCCTGGTGCTCTTCGTGCAGGCGCTAGGCGTGCGTGCGCGGCCTCTGGATACGATTTTGCGCGGCGCCAAAGAATGCTACGTTCGTTGCACAAATACACAACGTTATATTTTTTCTTTTTATGAAAATTCGTGACTCGAGTCACGAGTCACCAAGCTCGAGTCCGAGTCATCATGGTCAAGTCCGAGTCCGAGTCCGAGTCCGAGCCCTGGACTCGAGTCCTACAACACTGGTTTAGATTGGAGGTTGGGAAGCGTTTATAAATTAGTTTTGCGTTCTTTAGATAGCGCCGTTCACGAGGCGTCGATGTAACAGCAAATTTCAGTTACGAGCAGCTGGGAAACATAAACCGGCTGTTTGATGCATTGTTTTGGTACGTGGATATCTGCATATATGATCTTACTCAAAATTTAAAAGCTGAGTCTTTTACTATTGTAAATGGCGTCTCTCCGCCTGATTCGTAATTTGATTGTAGTTCAGGCGAATGCACTTTTACCCGTTGCAAGATATGAGATTGGCTAATTGTATTCTGTCAAATTTTCTCTCCAGGTGGGCTCATCACTGCTGCCGATTTAGCAGGTTACACAGCAGAGTGGAGGGAAGCTCAAGCCGTTCCCATCGGCCGAGGCATGACAGTCCTGACAACGCCCTCACCGTCAGGCGGACCTGTCCTACAGTTCATTATCAATATATTACGAAGTAAAGACCAATCTTAGTTATCCATTATATATACCAACTTTGAAAACGATACAGGCCTGCAAAGAAGTCTATTTGCTTGAAAAGAAATGAACTTTCCCCACATAACTCTGCTTCAGTTTAGTTGAATTAGGACCTGATCATTTAGGACCCGATCATCATGAAAATGCTAGGTGCCCGTTTTCGTTGTGAAAATAAGTCAAATGATGAGTCAGTTTTCGAAACTAACATCTTAAGAAAATGAATGAAATTTGAAAAAATACATACAAGTAGTCTTAGTTCGTAACTCACACCCAACTCCCAGCCACTGTTAATATTCATATTCCCCTGGTACTCTTTTGCCTAAACCTGCAGATTACAACATGTCATCAGCTGATTTTAAGACGACTGGGAACAAGATTAAGACGTATCATCGGTTTGTTGAAGCGTCAAAGTTCTCCTTCGCCTTGCGGAGTCACCTCGGTGACGTAGAGACAGCTGAGGTTCAGGAGGTAACGAATGTCTGGAAGAAAAGAATTATTGTTCCAGTTTCATGAAGTCATTTAAAAAAAGATTATGAACTAAGAGAAAAGGGACCACATGCAACAAGTGCCTTAGGTAGCGCGAACTAATCTCGATGCCAGGTAACATAAGAAAATAAAAACATAGATCCTTCTTTCGAAACTTTGGAAGCTGGATTATCGAAGTCCCGACTTTGTCTCATAATTTATAAAAGAAATGTGTTTGTATATTGATCTAATGTGGAGATTTTTAAAACGGTAAAGAATGTGCAAATGTCAAACCTGTATAATACAAGACGTAACCTTACACGGATCTGATGGACTTTAGTCAATTATATTGTTAGGTAATACAGTTTGAGAAATGACTATTAAGCATAGTTTCCGACATACGAAAAGCAGAGAGCGACACAAATAAGATCCAAACTGCCACGCAGACATATTAACATTTCATCCGCAAATGTCACTGACAACCCAGACAGACGTAAACTATCTCACAGACGATCGGCAAATTTCAAACCGGCTTAACTTTTCCGACGGCTCCTCGCTCTATCTTGAGTGTCTGCCCAGTCTGCATATAAGCTTAACGTCGATATAGAAACCGGACTAAGACCATTCGATTTGCTGGCTTTCTATTGTGTATCTTCATTTGTTTATCCTATCATTGCAGATTCTGAACAAGATGCAGTCGAAAGCCTTCGCCAAGTCGATTTACTCGCAGATACGCGAGGACGCAGTCACCTTCACCAACGCCTCAGGGTACAACGCACTGCTCAACACGGCTCCCCATAGCGGTGGCACATGCCATATAAGTGTCGTGGATCAGTACGGAAATGCGGTATCAGCCACAAGCTCGGTCAATTATTAGTAAGTATCAAAGTATAAGGCGAGATAATTAAGGTTATGTACTGCAGGTGCAGATCTAGGGCAGATCATGGGAGGGGGCAACACCCCACCCCCCTCCCCCGTTCAGCCCTGACTAATGTTATGATACTAGTAAAATGGGGCAAAGGAGCGTTAAACTTCCTATTGTTATTCTCAGATATAATGCAGGAGAAAACATTGCAGATTTCAAAACATTCATATCAACAACCCCTCCCCCCCCCCCATTTCCCGAAAATTGTCCGCCCCAAATACAGTGAAACAAGGACATTTTCCTGCCTTCATGAACGAACGAAAATTTGCACAGGAAAACGGATAGAAATCACCAACATAATTTCAGGGGCAAAAATCGACATGTTCAAAACACAAAATTTGACAGTAAAAAATGTTTAAGTGTTGACAAAAATTAGAAAAACCTCATGTGTACATGTTGTAGAGTACAGGGCGAGTTAAAAAGAAAGTGACACACTGAGTATACAGTGTTTTTACGTCGGTTAAGGGCAAAACCTAATTTGATTTACATCACCCCGACGCAAAATTTTATCTTATGAAGAAGAAAGCGACCGAATAAGGAAAAACATATTTTTAAAGTCATGTGGCTCGTTCCATTTCATAAAAATATCATGGGGATAAAGTACATTGTTGACTAGTAACTGTCAAAATTTCACGTACTTTGCATACTCTATTCCCAAGTTATGTTTATTTTAATAAACAGATCAGGAAATTCAGCTGTCCACCACTGATCATTTACTGTTCTATGAACTGATAAATATCATTAAATACAATGAAACATAAACGTTTTCCCACCTCCATTAACCTCCATGTGTTGTACCATCAGCTTTGGCAGTCAGATATTGTCCAGCACGACTGGTCTTATCCTGAACAACGAGATGGCAGACTTCGACTCGCCAGCCAGCCAGCCAGCCTCGGATGCCAACTACATAGCGCCCGGTAAGATGCCCCTATCAGCTATGAGTCCTGTCATCGTCTTGAACGAGAATGGCGGTGCTGAGTTAGTGGCTGGTAGTGCAGGCAGCCGTGCTATCATTACCACCAATGCCTGGGTGAGTAGCAACAAAGACCAAATCTATTCAAAATTGTAGAAAAATCACTGCTTATCAAACGCTGTCCAATATTACCACACGCATATATTAGGCGTTTAAGGCTCTGGAAAGATTGAACCATGCAGACAGGATTAGATTGTGCGTTTTAAAGGTCTTCTATATTTTTTTCAGTGAAGATTGCATTGGGAAATGATGGGTCCATGGAGTGAATTTTTCTGAGGAGCATATTTTGTGCAACTTTCTACTCGTCTTCAATGTATGAAAAATATTTGACATCCCATTTGTTAATTTTATTAAAAAGTGCACATTTTTTAACTTTAAAAATGTTCCATGTATTTCTGGACAACCGAGGGCGCCGTTGCTGTGATGTCATTTCAGGAAGCCACTGTTCAGTTGAGGGGTTTCCTGTTCAAATTGTAAATCCAAAAATTTGCGTCTTAAAAACATTTGTGAGAAAAGTTTGCTCATAACCTTCATTACTGCCATGTACTGACACAGCAACGTATCACCAAAGAAAAGAAATTTAGGACAGCAAAAATCCAATATTCTGGTAACTTTTTGTGCTGAAAAAGCTGTAACATTGAGGTTTCTTCCTGAAAGACATCCCATTTTTTCTCATAAACATGGAAATTTGCATTAGCATAAAAACCGAAAAGGCAACAAAATACCCTTGAGAATAAGGTTCAATAGAACACAAAGCTGCGTTTCCAACAAATTACATTGCATGGCCCTTTAATTATGTCAATAAGATAATATCGGAACCATTGTAACGATTTTGACTTAAGCAGGTAAAATGAGCTCGCGAGAAATCTTAATGGAGTCAAGTTCATGCATTTTAGAACAAAACAAAACAATTGCACGAATTTGCTTGAAATAGTCGAGAACCATTCACATAAGTCTGAATCAAATATGTCGTAAGTTGGCTGGTAACCTGTATTCCCTATTCGGCCAAACTGCACGCTCTGAGATCATCTCGTGTGCTTACTAGCTCTCATGATGGACTTCTGTTATTTGTTAGGTCACACTACGATCGGTATTCACCGACGCATCACTCAAAGAAATCATCGATGACAAGCGAATTCACAACCAGCTCCAGCCAAAGAATATTGCCCTCTATGAAAAGGGGTTTCAAATGGTGAGTAAACCGAGAGGACGTTTTATTGTTCGTTCTTCGTGTCAGGATGCGGTTTCATTTCCGTATTAAGAATAACTTAGAACACCTTTTGTTCAAACCAGATAGAACCGCCGTTGTCTTTGGCCCCATTTTATTGCATGTGATGTCCCCGAGGTACGGGCCTCAATTGAAGGAATTTACACAGCTTACATAATTATTCACAGCGCTGAAATTGAACAACCCCACCCTTCCAAAATCCTCCAAAATCTTCTTAGCAAAATAGAGGATTTTGCAGGATTGAGGCTACATGGCAAAAATGTGTTGCTGTTTTTGGAAGATGCACTGTGGGCCAGACCTTGTGTAGTTCATGCTCAGCCATGCATAAATGTAGGCCTGGATAACACTTGAAATCCCCCGCACTGCTCCAGGATGTCACTGACTTTTCTGGGATGAGGGATTTAGGGTTAAGGCAAAGAACGTGGTCACAGTGTCAAAACAAGTTGTTGTGATTTTAAACACAACCACCGTTTTAAAGTTCCAACATTTCATGCACATCCCTTTGTGATTTTTTTCGTTGTGCTGAAAGAAGACAGATTTTTTTGGTGATCCGTGGACAGAACTTTAAAACGGTGGTTGTGTTTTAAAAAAAAGTAACTTAAAAAGTACATTAGTGATTTAAATTGTTCTTGTACTAAAAGAATGTTGATGAATATTGCTTTCATATCTTAGATTTTGAAAGTGCTACATGCAGAACTTCCGTAAAACAGAAGTCCTGACATTTTGGGTTTCGTTTTTTTTTCTTTTACTCACCTTGTATATTAAAGGGAATATACAACATTTGCAAACATCGAAAAATAAAACTACCAAGTTTTTGCGAAATACCTTAATAGGATGTTGGTAAATGACAGTCTAAAGCATCCTGTAAAATTATGGCACCTGGTATACTGTCATTTTCAAGAAAAGTGGTATTTTTGTATCAATTTCCAACGCTGATCGGCCGATCAGCGTTGGAAACAACTGGCTTTTTTTTCAAATACTGGCCCCAATTGACCATTGCACTTGTTTGCAATCGATTACAAACCTATGAACGGGTACGAGCCAGCTAGACTGGTTCCCTGACCTTACAATTCCCCAATGTATGTAAACTGCTCTGTTTCTTCTTATATGGAGTCAGGGAACCAGACTACAGGAAATGATCGTTTTTCTTGGTTTTTATAGCATTTTCGAACCCAAAACCTCCAAAAAGTCAGTGTAACTATATTTGCTTTATATTTCCAACCCCCCAATTCCATCCATTTCTGAAAATTACAGCAAAAGCAAATGATGTATATTCCCTTTAAGGAACGCTGCACACAGGTGACGTCAACACTTAATCTTTGGGGTTGTACCTGTGCACATACTGCACACTTGCTAGGCTTAGCAAAAGCGTTTTTATCGTCAGTCTTTCTCTGTTGTGTGCAGGATGTCATCAATGGATTGGTTGACATGGGTCACGTGGTAGACAGCAGAACCTTGGTGTCAGTCTTACAAGCGATCAGGCGATTGGACGATGGCTGGATGGCCTACAGTGACCCCCGTAAACAGGGCTATGCAGCCGGCTACTAGAGCGTCCATGATGCCACCCCAAAGGCCCATAATGGTTGCTTTCTTGTTAGACATGAGGGTGTTACATGTCTATGTATTTGAGAGGCGGGTCTACCCAGGGGTGCGGGAGTATTGCAGCTGTGCCTTTGCTGACCAAACGGCTTCGGCATGTCGGAAATAGGTTATTTGTATTTTTTGTCATTTTCCCTTATCGAAAGCAGGAATACAACGGCTTTTTCTTTAAGCAGTATATTGGTAATTCGTCAATATTTTTCATTATGTATAAGCTTTCATACCATATTTTCCTTTTTTTTTTTACTTATATCATTTCATTAAATATTGTATTTCTAGATAGTAAATATATGAAAATGAATAAAAGAACATAGTTAAACAGGGTATTCAAGCTTGCCATATTTTGAAGAGTTCTCTGCCGATGCAGTTATCACTTCTACGGATTTTGATGAACAAACTCGGCCTGATTCAGAACCAAATTCGGGGTGGCTAAAACAAGAAGGGCCTGACCGACCGGCCGTTGCATATTTAAAAGGCGGGATTCGGCACTATATAGGGGCGCTCTTTTCCCTCTTTCTGTACTTTCTTTCTATGAATATTTTCCGTGGAGGAAAAAGCAGTCTTTTCTCCCGTTCTCTGGTTAAATTATCAAAACAAAACGAGAAATCGTCCGTCAAGGCAAACATGTTCTTTTGTAAAGTAGAAAGCGAGTTATCGTAAAGACGGCAGCTATTTTTCCATCTTGACTTGCCAAGTTGGCGCTATATTTGAAATAATGCAAAAATATCACAAGTATATTTCGTTGTCGACGTATTCAAGGGGCTCTGGTTGACTCTCTATAAGCTTCTGGCCCTGATTAGATGTTAAATCTGTTGCAAATGTGCGTATGAAGTGATTATGGCGGTAGGCTACTCACAATGCTTTACGAAGTCTGAGCTTTTTTGGATTTTTTTTGTGAAGATCAGCCGACCTCAGCGGTCGTTGATAGGGCGGTGGGTTTTGAGCCAGTTTAAGGGTTTTTTTAATGGTGCTGATGTGTTTCACTTTTTAACATGGTTTCAGTATTGGATTTTTGTACCGCACTTCATTTTCAATAGTAAGAGTAGTCTTAATGGTAAGAATTTACGTATACAGTTTCTGTCCGATTTTGAGGTGTAGATCCCATTTATCAAGTTTGCCTTAGTTTTATTGTAGCAATGTTTAATGAGTTCATATATTTCATGTTTTTCCAATAAATTACATCCTGGAGTTCATTTGTATCTGATGCATTTACGGTACGCTCTGTCATTCGGGACTTGACGAGAAAACGCGCTGTCTTTCTCTTTAAAGCAGAAACAAAATATGAAATGTTTGATATATTTTAATGAATGTCGGAAACTACAGTTGGATCCATCCTCGGAGCAGCAATCGGATTTTCTTCTTTGTTTATGGAGTGATTGCTTCGTCTTGCGATATTTCGTCTTGCGATCATTCTTGAGCGTGACAGAACTTGTGCCGGTGACGGTTGCACGTCGGATCAGGTTTGCCATGACTAATAATCCCAACCGACCAGATAAGATAAACTGACAGCGTTGCTGTTGAAACCCCTCAACTGGAGTCCAGTTACCATCCGGAAACCATTTACCTTTAACTCACCACTGTGATATGCCCTTTCGACCTTTTGACCCCAAAACAAATGCCAACTTGCCTACACCCAAGGGTAACGCCCTACCGAAGGTAGACACCAAAATCTAATTTTTAACTCAATTTTTCATCCGGAAACCATTACACTTTATCTATGGGGTTTTGACCTTTTGACCCCAAAACAAATCCCAACTTGCAAGTACCAACCCTCCTACCGAAGGTAAACACCACGATCTCATTTCTAACTTGAGTTATCAACCGGAAACAATTAAACTTTAAATCAACAAGGTGACATTTACCTTTGACTTTTCACCCCAACACCAATCCTAACTTGCCTGTACCCAAGGGAAACCCCCTCCCGAAGTTGGACACCAGAATCCCATCTCTAAAGTTACCATCTGAAAACCATTACATTTTAATTCACCACTGTGACCTTGACCTTTGAACTTTTGACCCCAAAACAAATCCCAACTTGCCTTTTTCCAAGGGCAACCCCCCACAGAAGTTAGACACCTAAATCTTATTTCTAACTCAAGTTATTATCCAGAAACCGTTAAACTTTAACTCACCACGGTGACCTCGACCTTTGCACCAAAATTAGGACTTCCCTTGGTTTCTTCTGGTGAAATTTGTAAGTTACTTCCAATCAAATCAGTGCCCTAACACTCATTGGACGCCGCACATGCACACTCCACACGCTACGCTGCGCTGTACTCCCCCCCCCCCCCCCCCCCCCCCCCCGGTGGGTACGAGCGAAGTAGGATTTTGCTTCATGCACACAAAGACATAAACGACCTACACGGACAACAGGGGGCTCAAGACCGTATTTTCAGTGAAGCCGCCAGGTTTAAAAACCATGTGCAAATTGGTGATTGGTTATCGCTGTTTGTCAGCAGGTTGCATGTGTACGTGTGTAATACTAGACACAAACAACGTGTATCGTACACTGTTTGAAAATGGCAGGAAACGAGTATCATACTCCGTCGTGTCTGATGTAAACAATTAGGGTTTTTTTCGTATTTTCTCAGGAACTGTAAGACATTAGGTTGGTTTATTTTCAACCAGATGTTTGGAATAGGATAAGTAAACAATCCAAAACATGAAATTGTCGGTGATTTCAGTACGCAGCGCCCTTTTAAATATGTCGCAACCCGGCCAATTAGGTACTAGTCGTATGCCAGCCACACCGATGGAGTTCGACCGAAGTTCACGGACAAATACTACTATCTAACGCGGCTGAGTTCCTCACAGCAGAATAGAGAAATGTAATTAAGTTGCAGTATTAGTGCCTTTTAAGACAGTAGAATATAATGCATGATGTATCTTGGCATAGAGCAAGGAAAAGAAAGCGAGTATTTTAAGAAATTTCATTGGATATTTTGCACACCAAAAAAAAGGATCAAGGAAACAGGACAATTGCACAATTCAGTTGTAGCTCACCGCCCGTTAGGCCTTCTCGCCATGGTTGTCCATGCACGGTTCACGTACGTTGCATCCTGACGCCACTTTTTTTCATCATAGATTATCATCTGAACATGCTCAATGAACATGATTAAGGTAAGTCATAGCAAAAATGCGGAAAAGACATGAATCTGGGACTGACAAACATTTCCATTGTCTAAGAGTGATATACTATAACTCAGACTGGGACCCGTGCTCTGAAACGTGCGAAACTAAATCGGGCCAACTTTACTCACTCTTTAGTCAGCAAATGTCTTCAAAAATTCCAAAGGGCAAAGAAAAGGTCCTCGATTAGTAACACCTACCAAGTTTGCATACTCAATTCAATTTTTTTAAAGGCATTTCTTCAGTATTTATGCACATGTCCAACAACGGTCCACCTATTTGAAAACTAGACTAAAATATCTTCATTCGGTGTCATTAGTCGGGTGGCTGACTATGGAGTAATGTGTAGTAAATAAAGACTAGTTTCCAGTTGTAGATTAGAATTTACAGTGTGGTGCTGTGCTGTTCCATTCATGACATTATTTCGACGTTTCATAAAGGTATTATCATAATGTTGTTAACTTGTAAAATTTGCTCTATGTTTGTAAATCTTAATTCAGTCAGGCTACACCTTAATGCAGTCTGAAAAGCACTTTTCTTTTAATTTGTGTTAAAGAAATTGATGAAGGTGACATGTAGAGGGATAATAAGTTAAAGGCGAAACTTATTTTACAAAAGATGCTTCTTTTTGCACTATCCACACTTAGGTTCAAAGCTGACTCTGGTAAAATCTCTAAGCATTAAGTGGAGCTGCTTAGGTCCATTTTTGGCCCAAATCGTGCACTTTGTGATAAAAGCATGAAATTTGGCAGGTGGGGTCCCAATGGGCTAGAATTCATATTAAGATCGGGACCCATCCTGGATCTTGCCCATTTTTGGGGCGGAACTTGATTTTTTTTTAAAGGGGGTGCAAACAATACAAACTCATGAAAACTGTATTTAACATCCATTTTCCTTGTTTTTCTATGGTTTGAAATAAACTTAAACATAAAATATAACATTCTAGCTTTCGAACACCAGTTAAATTCCACCCATTTTGTGGGCGTGGTCTAAATGTACAAAAGAGGCGGTATATATTAGCAGTTTGGTTCTAATAAAAACATTATTCGGTTAGGTAGTAAAATCCTGAAAATTGGCAGGTCTAGTTAAAATGGGCTGAAAACAATTTTAAGAGGTGAACAAATCTTGGATGTTGCACAATTTTGGGGGCGGAGCTTGATTTTTCAAAAAGGGGAGTGCAAAAAATAAAAAAACTCAGAAAAACTGTATTTAACATCCATTTTCCTTTGTTCTTCATGCTTGAAATAAACAGACATGAGAAATAAACTTAGACATGAGAAATAACTTTATGAGAAATAACACATTAAAATTGTGCAGCAGCAGGATTCCAGTCGAACCAGTGAGTTTGGTGGTTTGAGACATCATCTTACATTGAAAGACATCATCTTACATTGCCGACGCGCATGGCTATGGCGACGCGCGCGCATACCAGAAACAAGAGCCTTTTTGGCCTAATAATCGTTTTCTTCGTTTTGTATGAATAAAAAGGAGTAAATGCTTCAGATTTCAAATATGCATTTGTCATTTACAAAGCTGGGTTGGGGCAACCTTGAAATTATAAAGCAAAATAATTCTGCGCAAAAACTACTGCATTTATTAAAGTTCATAAAGTACAAATGATACCATATGTTTGTATAAATAAAGCATGGCATTTGCTTTTTCTACCACTTTCGAAGCATGTATGAAGCATCAGTATGAATGAAAATTAAGCAAACACTTTTACTAAAAACCGGTTCTGAAACTAAATTCTGAAAATAATTACTTTTACCTTTAAGCTTTTGCTACACTGTAAGCGTTTACTTCGTTTCTTATGAATAAAAAGGAGTAAATGCTACAAAATTTAAAATATTTACTTATCATATTTCAAGGTTGGGTTGGGGCTACCTTGAAAATATAAAAGCACATAATTATGCGCAAAAATTACTGCATTTATTAATGTTAATCGCGAAAAAGTACAAATAATACCATACGGTAGTTCGTATGAATAAAAACTGGCGTTTGCATTACTCCCATTTGTACGTTTCGTATGAATATAAAGGAGTAAATGCTTCAGATTTCAAATATGCACTTGTCATTCACAAGGCTGGGTTTGGGGCAACCTTGAAATTATAAAGCAAATAATTCTGCGCAAAAGCTACAGCATTTATTATATATTAATCGCGAAAAATTAATATTAACAAAGTTCATAAAGTACAAATGATACCATGTTCGTATGAATAAAACATGGCATTTGCTTTTACTGGTACTTCCAATTTTGAAGCATTTACTCGCATGTGTATGAATGAAAATTAAGCAAACACGTTCGTGTAGGTTTTATATGAATTAATCCCTAACCCTATGATCTCAGATTAAATACAAGATTTCTATTGTTTTAGCCACTGTGACCTTGACCCTTGACCATTCGACCCCCAATGCGATAGGCCTATGACCAAGAACAATCCACAAACCAAATTTGAAGTTCATATGCAAAGTATTTCTCAAGTTATCGCGCTGACAAAATTTCTATTGTTTCAGCCACTGTGACCTTTACCCTTTACCCTTCGGCCCCAAATGCAATAGGCTTCTTAGGATTACCAAGAAAAATACACGAACCAAATTAGAAGTTCATATGTAAAGTATATCTAAAGTTATCACACTGACAAAATTTATCTTGTTTTAGCCACTGTGACCTTGACCCTTGACCTTTTGGCCTCAAATGCCAAAGGCTTTTTAGGATTGCCAAGGACAATCCACAAACCAAATTTGAAGTTCATATGTAAAGTATTTCTCAAGTTATCGCGCTGACAAAATTTCTATTGTTTCAGCCACTGTGACATTGACCCTTGACCTTTCGGTCCCAAATGCAATAGGCTTCTTAGGATGAACCCCCCTCCCCACCTATTGATTTCCGGAGGCCTAAGTGTCTGGAAAAAATAACCGGTCAACATTTCAGCACGCCTCCCTGAAAAAATTTTGGATCCACCGTGCTAGCCCCCCAAAAATATTGGTTCTAGAACCGCGCCTGAATGGACGTATATTCTGTGCACATTTTCATGTTAATATGCCTATATATATATATATATATTAAACATATTAGAAGAGCACTTTCAAGAAATCCTTCATTGGGCCGCCCCTAATTCCCCTCCCTCTCCTTGTGATCCCCATAGTGTTTATAATACATGCACAATTAAGAAATGCCGCCATTGTAAGTATACAGGGTGAGTGAACAAAATAGGAAACCCAAATGGCGGGACCATTTTCCTAATAGCGTTTTGCATGTAGTACTTTCAAAATCTAGGATATGAAAGCCGATTCATAAGCTTTCTTTTAGTACAAGAATCATTCAAATCACTCATATGTACTTTTCAAGTTACGGAATTTTAAACACAACCACTGTTTTAAAGTTCTGTCCACGTATCACAAAAAAATGGTATGTGTTCTTTCAGCAAAACGAAAACAATTCCAGCGCATCCCCCTATATGTGAATTGTTTTCGTTTAGCTGACAGAACTTTTTAAGACGGTGTTTGTGTTTAAAATTCTTTGCAAAGTACATAAGTGATTTAAATGACTCTTGTACTAAAACAAAGCTTATAAATTGGGCTTTCATATCTTGATTTTGATAGTGCTACATGCAGAACTTCATTAAAAAAATTGTCCTGCCATTTGGTTTCCTTTTTTTGACTCACCCTGTGTAAGTTACTTGTAGACAATCATAACAATTAAGATATGATTTTTTTATAGCCGCCTACTTTAAAATGTAGCTCCACCCCTAAAGGGCAACAATTAGTCTTGCAACCGTTTAAACTTATCTTTACAGTGTATGGTAAACATTGTTAACCGATAGAAAAGTTGTGTTTTTACCAGCAAAAATGATGATTTTCCCTCGTTTGAATCAAGCTGCTCTAATGTACCGCCTCTTTACATATTTAGGCCACGCCCGCAAAAGGGTGAAAATAACACTCCCCTTTTTGAAAAATCAAGCTCCGCCCCCCAAATGGGCAAGATCCAAGATGCGTTCACCTCTAAAAATTATGTTCGCCCATTTCAATTGGACATGCCAGTTTTCAGAATTTTACTACCAAACTGAATGATGTTTTCCATATTAGAACCAAACTGCTAATATATACCGCCTCTGTTACCATTTAGACCACGCCCACAAAATGGGTGGAAAATTAACAGGTGTTAGGATGCTAGAATGTCTTATTTCATGTTTAAGTTTATTTCAAAGCGTAAAAAAACAAGGAAATTTGATGTTAAATACAGTTTTCATGAGTTTGTATTGTTTGCACCCCCTTTTTTGGAAAATCAAGCTCCGCCCCAAAAATGGGCAAGATCCAGGATGGGTCCCGATTTTAAAATGATTTTTAGCCCGTTTTGACCCCACATGCCAAATTGCATGCTTTTACCACAAAGTGAACTATTTTTCGCTTAGCAGCTCCACTAGAGGCAAGCATGTGGGAAGGAGATACGTCAGTTTTTTAACATAACGTTACAAAAAAAGAACTCCAAGATCAAAAATAAACGAAATCTACTTTGTTGAAGAACCCGGCTGGACAGTGTCTTTAATAATGAGAAAATTAATATCATCTTCCAATGTGTGATTGTTCAGCCTCCACTAACGTCACATATTGTTTCATTTAAGGGCCAACGCAGCAGCCGTACCATTATGAGGGCCTGTGTATTTGGGGATTGCGGCAACTCCCCAACCCTCAACTTAATACTCAACCGTTTACAGATGTTAATGTGGCGGATTTCATGACTGTTTGGCTAAATACTAATTAGGCCTACATTTATTAGGTGTTGAACACATACTTTTCTTTTTAATCAGTCTGCTCAGCGAATACTTCATTTCTTGTTTTTCAAAATGAAAACATATGAATTTCAGTTGTTAATACATGAATGCACAACCCACTGAAGATGTGTTTTTTGTAAATACGTCATGATGACGCTATCATGGGTCATGTGACGTCACTTGAAAGATTAATTCATTTAATATTACAACTACAACTTTTGTCTAAGTTGAATTATGCACAGGTATTTTTTCTGTATGTACTTAAAAAAAAGGGTTGAACGGAAAAGCTGCATGAGAAATGAAAAAAAATAGATCTATATTTGAGTGGTTGGGCACAACCCGACCACTCTTTGGAGTTGTTACGATTAATCTGTCTTTCTTTTTTTCTGGACAATACGTCTCCGCGGGTTTTCTCCTAAACGGTTTATGATATGAACTTGTAACTTTCAATACATATCAACCCTCATCCCAAGTGGTGCATATTACTCTGACGTCATGATTACGCCATTATGTGTTAAATTACAAGTGATTTCTTTTGAAAAAGTGACCAATTACTTTCACCTTTAACTCTTGAACTCAATTACCAATGATGGTTGTATTCTGTAATCAGATAGACCACTAATTGCTGAACATTTTTGTCGTGTATGTAAACTGGCTTGACCTTTAATTCCGCGTCAAATGGAAGGTCAAAGTTAGGTGAATTCAAAATAAAGAAATTAGCCTCAAATAAAAGGAAAACAAGATTTCTTTCTATTACCGCCGGATTGAAATTGCGCTTCACCAGTTTTTCTCTCATATCTGAGTGCTGAAAATTAATATTTCCACAGCGTGTAGACAAACTTTTCTGTCGTAAAGTCAGTGCAGAATTGTATAATGCCCATGCAAAAAAAAACATCATAAAAACCAATTTATGATATGATAAGCGTTTATGACATAAACTCCAACGACGGTAGAGGCTCCGTCGAGTATGTACCATTGTCATAACTTCAGTGCAGACGCGAATCTCTAGTTCTGTTTGCATCAGAACATAGAGTCCGGGTATCAAAATGCCCGTCGTATTCGAATCGAATAATCGCTTTCAATTTTTGCCTGATTCGGCATCATTTTTGTTTTAGAATTGATAGAGAATTAATCGCATGAGAAAAAAATGACTTGCAACAAGCTTCTGTAGCAACAGAATAATCCAGATAATCGATACCAAACAGAAGATTACATAATCGATACCATTTCTACCAGACACCTGCATTTGCAGAATCGATTATTAGTTTCTGCAACGCTAGCATTATGATGTGGCGCTGGCAAGAAGCAACTCGGCCATTTGCTCTGTGCAGCTCGCCCGGTACAGGTCGCCTCAACTGTGCGCCGATACTCGCTTTGTACATCAGCTGTAAGAGAAAAATCATCCTTGTTTCTGAAGTTATCTTCTAAACATATATTGATTAATATTTAGGAAAGATACATTGTATTAACATTTCCCTGCAGTAAATGAAATCTCTAGTGATTCGAGTTGAAAAAAGATCAGGAGGAGACAGTTATTGATGATCTGACCTTGGATAATTAATGATCTGAGCAATTTTAGCACGCCCTCTCCCCTAGCATTTTAGTTCTTGTTATTGAGTGATCGGGCACAACCCGCCCACTCTTTGGAATTGTTGCGATTAATCTTCTTTCTTTGAGTGGTCGGGCACGTACAACCCAACCACTGTCTATTGAATTGTTCTCATACATGTTCTTTGTTTGGTTCTTTCTTTTTTCCGGACAATACTTCTCGCAGGTTTTCTCCTAAACGGTTTATGATATGAACTTGTAACTTTCAATAAATATCGACCCTCATCCGAAGTGGTGCATATTACTCTGACGTCATGATGACATCCTCGGGTGTCAAATTACAAGTGATTTTAGCTGAAAAGCGGTCCAATTACATTCACCCATAACTCTTATACAAAATAATCAGTGATGTTTATATTCTCTAGTCGGATAGACCATGAATCGATAAACATTTCTCTTCGTGTATCTGAACTCGCTTGACCCTTAATTCCGGGTCAACCGGAAGGTCAAAGTTAGGTGAATTCAAAATGAAGACTTTAGCCTGAAATCAAAACAAAGCAAAATTTCTTCCATACGGTTTACGGTATGATCATAAAATCTAGTGTGAACTTGTACCAGGATTACGAAGATACTATTTATTTTGTTACGTCATCATGACGTCATCATGTATCAAATTACAAGCGATTTAAGGGCAAATTTTGACGAAATAGTTTACGCTATATCTTTTGTTTCACGCCTAAACCTAAGCCAATTATCTTAATGATTCTTACAGGGTTAGAAATACAGAGAGCACGGAAGCATCAGGAGCAACATTTACACCAACTTTCATCTATCATCCCATCAAGCATGGGCGACGCTGAGCAGGGCGAGGCTGTTCGTGGGCCGAGGCAGGGAGAAGACGAAAAAATTCCTTTTGTCCAGGGAGACAAGCAATCAGCAGCTCACAAAAAAGGAAGGTGAGTTCAGACTCCACATGGTACTGCATTCGCTTGTGAAATTGTTGGATATGTTAACATAGACAGACATATAACATGGAGTAACATACATGCATAAATAAATAACATACACATCTCTTGAGTTGAGATTTGAACCTTTACATTTTGGAATGAAATTTGACTTCGACGTGAAACCTTGTGTATGAAAAGTGAAATGAGTCCAAAATGATATCAAGACACAAACATTACCCAAGACCAAAACATGTAGATGTTTACGTAAACAAGTGATAGATGAAAACAACGTAATAATATCTGCTGGAAAATTATGGTGAAATGCAAGCACTTAATATTCGCAAGCTTGGTTATCAAACACTTCGAAACTAAGAACACAATTATTGGAAAGCTATAATTTTCTAATCTGATTTTCCTCTTTTTTATTAGGTGTTGGACTAATTATAAGCCAACACTTATTGTTATTGTAAGAATTCCCTATTCTTGTTGTTTTTTTCTCCAAGACAATTTCGTTTCCAGAACTGTTTGTCAAAATGAAAACATATGAACTTTAATTGTCAATACATGAATGCACAACCCACTGAAGATGTGTTTTTTGTGATAACGTCCTATTACGTAATCATGGGTCACGTAATGTCACTTGAAATATTAATGGGTTTAATCTTTGAAAATCAATTAATCACTCGTGAGAGACCGGAACTTGAATTGATATGATAATAAATGATCTTCATTTTATATCGTGCGTGTCAAATCACGTGACCTTTCCTTCCGGTCGAAACCGGAGGTGCTTAATTAAAATTGGAAAAAGATGTGAACTTGCTTTCAATGATGTTAGTGTGTGCACATGTTGAACTTGAAAAAAAAACATTATCATTGACGTCATAAAATGTTGGAGCACCCTCTAGCGACAGGTTAAAAAAATGTCAAAAAACGCATTTTTAGTTGATGTGTGTCATCAACCTGTGCGCGAAAAAAATGGTAACGTCATCAGCGGAAGTTTTTCCTGTGAAATTCCTGGAAAAATCAATTCTGAGATATTTAGTCTCGATCTGTGCTTTAATTGCCAATTTAGTAAGTCTTAAAACTTCCCCATATTTTGTTACAATAAGTAAAATCGGAGATGCCCTGCCACCACCTTGAAATTTAAAGTTGAGCACGCCTACACCTTAAAACGTTCATTGAACGACATGTACCTTGTACATGTATCGTATTGTATTTTATTGATGTGTACAGCAAATTGGGATCATCGGGATCATTGCCAAACAGTGTGCTCGCCTCTTGAGTGTCTGGTTTTACGACTGTTTTATATTAACTATTGAGCCACAAGTATCGGCTGTTTGATGGAGCAATATATTCTTAAGTGTTTACCTTTGTTTTGTGCACATTTATATGACAACTTGTTAACGGATTTTATGACTTTCGATGACGTTGTATGAGACTCAAAAGTTGAGCTAACAAAAGCGCTTTTTCTTAAAGCATGCGAATTTGGGTAAAGAGGGATGGCGAACAAACTTTTGTAATGCGCCAATGGTGTGCAATTCATTTGTTTAGAGATATGAGCTATTTCATGGTTTTTTTTACGATTGTACTTGATAAGATTATAGGACAGCAGCAAGGGCGTGCATATATGTTTAAGCCACTCGATTAATCTGCGAAATCAATATAAAGTCGACTGTGAGAAATCTGATTTTGCTTTTTACAGGCATCGACTTGCTTTAGACAATTCTCTAACTGTCATTCTAGACAATCAGTGTTTTTAGCAAACTTTTGTTAACTTTCTTGCCTACAACACAAACCATGATATCCAAACACTGTAAGGTTGTTCCTACAACCTCTAGTGTATGTTTGTATTTGTTGACTTTTCTCCTATGCTAATGCTTTTCCAGAACTGTTACTCTTCGTGAAAACTGAATATGACCTCATCATGGGTCGAGAGACGTCACGTTAAATTTTAATAGATATAATATTTGAAAATAACATTAAATGGACCGTATATAAGAGACCTGAACTTGGTTTTGGGGGGAATTGATAGAATAATCCAGGTCTTACAAAAGCATCATTAACTAACCCCCCTCCCCCACTAAAAAAAATCAAATCGAAGTTTATTTAGTAACCCAACACACACCATTCACTCCGTCAATGCAATTTCAAATTCTTCGGAACGACAGCAGTGTATATTTGGGAAGAAGGTTAAATTTTGAAGTGCAAAAAACATCGCCGGGGCGAAATAGATCTGCAGTGAGGACTTGATATTAATTCCGTTGTAGAAACACCCTTCGAAAAGTGGGTTGTTGCCTAATAAAGTATGTTATGTATTCTTCTTTTCAGGTTGGCGATAATAATTTTCTTTGTGCTGTTCATTGGCGCAGCTATTGTCGTTTTACCAATAACCTTACACAAAGTACCGAACAACAACAAAACGATAATAAGCAAGACGCACACTGAGGCACGACCAGCAGTACCAGGGAGATATCAGAGTGCAGCGGTAGCAGCCGATGTCGGCTTATGCTCGGAGATGGGTCGGTATGTACAGAAAGGCTCCAGTTATGAGAAGAAAGTGGGATATTTATGACTCGTCTGCCTATTAAGTCTATATTTCATATTCATAAATACCTAAGACAGTTTACTTATTCCTATTGGTCGATAACCCGTCATGTGGGTGGTTTTAAACAGTTGATAACTGGCTGTTCTTAAAACACTTTTCCAAAACAGTTTCACGTGAAATTTTTACTCCTTTGATATCCGGTGCCTTTTACCGTTTTTATTGGTTGAACACTTTTATTTGTGTTAACGAAAAAATCTTTTGGCACATCCATGACCCAGAAATCAGGTACACTGTACAACAAAACGCGAGAAGAGGCCGGGAAGAGGTTCGACCATGTCTATGGTTTGACCCCATTTGAGGTGGTAAGGGATTCCACCCGCTGAAGTGGATTTTGGGCTGCAGGCATGAAGCACATCGTTGTGCGACTTGTAAGAGTTTTTGTGGGGGGATGAATTAGGAGGCAACAAAGACGCAGGAAGAGGAAGATACGACACTTGGCGCCCTAAAACCAACTGAAATTCACCAGAATTCCTTAGTTGTTAACGAGGAATATACAGTTGATTATTAGTATTATATTTTAACACAACTGCGTACAGATAAACAGTGGACACGTTGTTAAAACCATACTTGAATTAAGTGGTGCATCAGTGAAATTATAAAGAAAGTACTCGCTACGCCTTGATAATACTGAATGTAGATGTGTATAATTGACAACCAAATTCAACATTTAGCACCACAGATATCTCCCGTCAAACAACAACGATAAAAAGCAGTGCATAAGGCCAAAAAAGTCTCTGGTTTCTGGTATGCGCGCGCGTTGCCGTAGCCATGCGCGTCGGCAAAATGAATAACGGTTTTTTTTTTTCAATGAAAGATGATGTCTCAAAACCGCCAAACTCACTGGTTTGACTGGAATCCTGCTGCTGCACAATTTTAACGTGTCTTTAGATGGGATTATGATCGATAATTAGCTTCATGTGGCCTCTCTAGACTCCCATGTATTTGCACTAAGTTTAGTCGGGCACCATTTGCAGTCATCATGCGACATTTGAAGCACAAAAATCAGGTAAAAAAAAAAGCCGCGTCGCCGCACCACTTTTTGGGCAAGCTCCATACCAGAAACCGGAGACTTTTTTCCGCCTAATTGTCACCTATGATGCATCATGTGTGTGGTGCTTGTGATCTAAGTTCCTTCTCGGAAAGGCACACCAGCATAACTTTACTAACATTATGGAATAAGTGGATTTGTTACAACTGATAATGTAGTAACCAACGGATAACGTATCACCAACCGATAATGTATTACAAATTGACCGATCTTGTATCACTAACCGATAATGTAGCAACAATTGACTGATAGTGTAGTAAAATTTGTATCCGATAATGTATCACGTGTCGACGGATAATGTAACTGAAACATAACTGTATCCGATAATGTATCACCACGGAACGGATACTGTATCAACCGATAATGTATCAAAAATCAACCGATAATGTATCAGTATATTTGGAAAAGGTGGAAATATTGCAAATTAATTAAAGTCTAATAAGTGCCTTTACTATGATAAGTCCCCACTAGTATGGTTTTCACACTGTATCGACTGATGGTCTGTTCAATATAATACTAATCCACTGTATACATGTGTGTATTGACCATTGACCACATAAGTAGTTCTGGTGAATTCCTGTTGGTTTTTGGGCGCCCCATGTCGTATCTTCATTTTCTGCATCTTTGTTGCCTTCCAATTTATCCCCTAACAAAATATTGTATAACTCGCCCCGCGAGCCGCTTCACGCCTGCACCCCAAAATCCACCACAATGGGTGGATACCAAAGTATCACGTCAACTGGGGTCGACTTTCATCCCGGCATCTCACCTCACACCCAAATGCCGCCTCGACCGGGGTTCAAATGCTCCACATATACTACGTACTGACGATCCTTCCAGTAGGCGTCATGGTCGCATATGCTATGTAAAACATTGGTATACAGTATTGAAGGGATTTTACTGTGAAGAAAATCTAAATTAGCCTTGACGTACATGGTGTGGAACAGCTGAAGTGCATCGCACTTTTCGTGATTGTGTCAACCCTGACCTCTACACTATAAACCAAAATTGTGTTTACAATAGAAATGCATACACATTATGATTTTCAGGCACGGCTTGACATTCGTTCCACATTCAGGTAAAGTTTGTTTTTAGAATATAAGCTCATGAACGGAGAATTGACGTTCCATGTCACCAATGATGACATTTCAGAGCTATTGTCTCACCATGTAGTTGCCGGTCAGTCCATGTTTGGTAGCCACTTTGTTCTTTATTAGAGAATTTTTTTAATTTTTCATAATTTTTTCGAGACAAAAAAAAATTAAAACATTAAATATCACGAGGAGTGTTGTGGCCTCGTGGTATAAGGGCATTGGATTCGTGGTATGGGTTTAATTGCGGGATTTCATTGGAGGTTTTCATCCCACCACAGTGATATCCTAAAACAAGGTGGTACAGCCGTGGATGCATCCATAACTACCCTGCTGTGTATAGGCGTGGTCAATGCACAGAGCTCCGGCTTGGGAGGAGGCATGTTCATGCTCGTGTACCACAAGAACACCAGCAAAACAGAAGCTCTGGTAGCTAAGGAAAGGGCGCCCGCTGCCGCTAATGCAAACACGTTTCCGGAAAAATCTGGTGAGTACATGATACTCTCAGAAAAAGCTATAAGCTTCTTTACGATGACCATCCGAGTTACTGCGTTACTGAGATAAAGTAACTTCGAACCATAGTTTTCCATCATAAAATATCTTTACAACTCGGAATGCAGCGATAGCCCATCATAAAAATGCTGAATTCCATGAAAGCCTATCATAGAAACGTGGATATCCGTGGTAGGTTATCGTGGAAACGTGGCATTCCGTGATGTGCTATCATGAATAAGTGCAATTCCGTGACATGCTATCGTGGAAACGCGGAATACTGTGATAGCCTATCACGAAATCGTGAAATCCCGCGATAGAGTATCTCAACAACATGGAATTCCGTGATGTTGTGATCGTGGCAAAGCAAAATGCCATGATATCGTTAGCCTATCAGAAAATTCCACGTTTCCACGATAGTTCATTACGAAATTACATGCTTTTACGATAGCTTATCACCGAATTCTATGTTGCTGTGATAGGCTATAACAATATTCCACGTTTCGGTGATAAGCTAGCACAGTATTCCACATTTCCACGACAGCCTATCGCGGAAATTCAAAGTTTCTGTGAAAGGCTTTCACACTATTCCACGTTTCCACTATAGCCTTTCAGGGAATTCCATGTTTCCAAGATATTTTATCTTAGTAACGCAGTAACGCGGATGGTCATACGCTTCCGCACTTCTTAGTTGTAAGGTTGATAGTACATTTTGGCACGGGTTTTATGCTGAAAGCCAGTATATGGAGCGAAGTGCTGTACATTATCCAGCTTTTCACAAGTTGTGTTGGGATATCCCTTTGATTTGTTAATGTATTTCTCCTCTCTACAGGAATCAAATCAGTAGCAGTGCCGAGTGAGTTGAGCGGTATGTGGGAGGCCCATCAACGCTACGGCCACCTACCTTGGACGGCCTTGTTTGAGCCCGTGATCCGTCTGGCTGAGGACGGCTTCCCCGTCACGGTGCATCTCGCCAATGCGCGAAGACAAGTAGTAAGAGGACTCAACTTGTCACAGCCTCAGTTTGCTGGGTTTCGGTAAATATTCACAGCCATTCCTAGAGGTATTTTTCTGCTCTTTTAACGAAAATCTGGGCGTGCATTAAATATCAATGTCGATGACGTTCGGCGTGGCAATACGGACAGTCTTTCTGGTATTTTTTCTTAAAATGCGAGGGTACAATATGCTCAGATTGTCTTACATGAAAGTTTTGCATGAAATGCATATTAAAATGATCAATGCCAGAGCATTAAACTACGACACCGAAAAATGTGATGGCGATGACACATATGGAACACCATATTTTATATTTAGACCTAGATTTATAGCGATGTGTGATATATGTGTGACTTTACATTACTGATCATATGTTGTTTGGAGCAACAAAGAAATTGAAACAGAATACCTGTTTCAACAACAGTTATTACTGTAGTATACAATATCTTTATTAAAAACCCTGCTTTGGCTAACAATATGATTGATAAAATCCACTTTCTTTCTTTTTAATGCGGACCTTCAAAAGGACGTTGTTGAATATTTTTTAACTTTCTAACTGAGGTTTTGGTCACTCTTAATGCAGACAATTTTAACGACAATTCTTGAAATCGCATTTTTGGACGAAACAGATTTTAGGGTCATTTTGTTAAAATGGTGATATAATTTGAACGGATTGAGAATTACAGTATTTTTTTCATCTAAAAGCAGTTGGTTATAAATTATTGGCTCAGACCTGTTTCAGACGTCGTGCTTATGCAGTATCAAATACAAATAAACTTGTAACTTTAATGTTCTTTATTCAACACGGCACAAGCACGACGTTTAAACCAATTATTGATTTCGGCTCGGCAGAAGATTTAGCTCGACAGGGTCTGCCGTGCTTATCAATTTAGCATGGCAGTAGCACGGCGCACTTTCAAATGTCGTGCTACTGACGTGTCGAATATAATTTCAATTCGCAGTTGCTGTTGCTGCTGCTGCTGCTGCTGCTGTTGCTGCTGTTGCTGTTGCTGCTGTTGGTATTGGTGTTGCCGTTGCTGCTGCTGTTGCTGTTGTTGCTGTTGTTGTAGTTGTTGTGTCATTGCAGAACACGGTACGCCAACGCAGATGGCAGTTGGAAGGAGGTAGGTGACACCGTGTACGCCCCCAAGATGGCAAGGACATTACGGGCTATTGCTAGGAATGGCATCAGCGAATTCTCCAATGGGACAACGGCACAACAGCTGGTACAAGAAATACAAGAATACGGTAAGACTAAATAGTGGGGCAGATAGGAGAATTATTTGGGGAAATTGTGCCTTTGGTGATACAAGCGTGGAATGTGGCACACAGTCAGATTATGTCTAAAGCCCCCGTCACACATCCTAGACCAAAGACCAAGACCCCGCCAAGATCATGAACTAGAGTTTGAGGACAAACACACGGTGTTGGGCTAGAGGTTTGGCTTTTTCGCATTGTTGATTATTGTTGTTGATTGTTGATTGTTGATGTTGGTTGTTGATGTTGATGTTGATTGTTGATTATAGTTGATGGTAGTTGTTCATGTTGATGTCGATTGTTGATTGTTGATAATTGATTGTTGGTATTGATTAACAATTATTGATGTAGATTGTTGATGTTGATTGTTGATGTTGATGTTTTTTGTTAATGCATGATTGTTGATGTTAATTGTTGATTGGCGATGGTGATTGTTGATGTTGATTGTTGAGGTTGCTATTGATTGTTGATGTTAATGTTGATTGTTGATGTTGATTGTTGATTGTTGATTGTTGATGTTGATTGTTGATTGTTGATGTTAATATTGATTGTTGATGTTGATGTTGATTGTTGATGTTGCTGTTGATTGTTGATGTTGATGTGGATTGTGGATGTTGATTGTTGATGTTGATTGTTGATTGTTGATGTTGTCTGTTGATGTTAATGTTGATTGTTGATGTTGATTGTTGATGTTGCTGTTGATGTTGATGTTGATTGTTGATGTTGATGTTGATTGTTGATGTGAATGTTGATTGTTGATGTTGATTGTTGATGTTGATGGTGAGGGTTGAGGGTTGAAAAATAGCGCGTGGAGTAATTATACAGAGGATAGTTAAAAAGAGTCAGGTGAGGATCTGCACGCACGTATGCTGCTGTACTGTAAACTTATTTAGTACAAGTTACAAAAAACCCACCAAATAGCTCATATCTCTAAAAGTAAAGGTCGCACACCATTGACGCAATACAAGATATTTCTCGCCATACCCTCTTTACACAAATGCGCATTTTTTTTTTTTTTTAAAGCGCCAAATTAAAAAAAAGCCCAATTGGGCGCTTTTGCCAGCCCAATTGTTGAGTATCATATGTTTTTCGGGATTTTCCCTTTGTACGCAATTATCCCCATTTGCTGTACACACAATGTACGTGGCATTAAATGAGCGTTTCAGTGCGTAGGCCTGTTCAACTTCAAACTTCAAGGGGGCTGCAGGACATCTTCTAGTAAATCTATTGTAACGAAACCTTGGGAAGTTTTAGACCTATTATTAAAGTGCCATTTAAAGCACAAAATTGGATTGTATCTTTGACGGTTGATTTTTTAGCAATTTTCAAAGGAAAAGATGTCTTTTCATTGTAACTTCCGTTCTGATGACGTAATCTTTTTTTTTTCGCGCACAGGTCTTGTCTGCATTAAGGTCATTATGTATATTAATTTCGAAGCGATGACCGAAAATTTCGCCACAGACATCAACTGAAAATGCGTTTTGGACATTTTTTAACCTGCCGCTAGTGGGCGCTCGAACACTTGATGGCGTCACCGATCTGTTTTGGAAAGATCAACCCACCCACAGGCTAACATCGTTGAAAGCAAGTTCATATCTTTTTCCACCTATGAATTATTAGGCACTTCCAGTTTCGACCGGAAGGAAGGGTCATGTGATTTTACGCACACAAAATTAATTGAAGAGCATGTATTATCATGTCGATTCCCGCAAAATTCAAGTTCCCGTCTCTCACGGTTGATTTTATATTGAAGTTCAAAGATTAGATTTATTATTTTTGCAAGTGACGTCATGTGACCCGTGATGACGTCATGATTACGTTATTGCAAAAAAGCACATCTTCAGTGGGTTGTGCATTCAGGTATTGACAATTGAAGTTCATATATGTTTTCATTTTGACAAACATTTCTGGAGAAGAATTTGCTGAGAACAATAATAACAAAAGTAAATTCATACAATTTCAATAGGTGTGGGCTCAGGCCCAACACCTAAATATCTTGAAAATCGTACCAAAAAAAAAAGGGCCAAATTCAAATTTCGTCTTCTGAGCTCCAGTCTGACCATGACAAATTTTTGAAACGTGGCTAAGACTCGGCAAATAACAAAATTATGGCTCCAGCCTTGGATCCCCGACCATAATCCGTGTGTGCCCCGTCCTCGTCCAGTACAAGCCGTTCCCAGGCAGTTCTATTCAAGACAAATGTCGCTAACGATACCATCTCCACCCCGTCCTGGTCTGGGTAGGCACTGTGTAAGCACAGCATGGACGTAAGAGACTCGTGAAAGAAAGACAATTCTGATGCAACTCCGTGCATGCAGATCTTACAACAATTCTCCCGACTGCCTTCCCGTCTGGGCACTTTGCCGTTCTTTCGATCAGGACCAACTAGTGTCTATCACGACCCAGAACAGTTGCCGTCAAGTCCTCGTCCAGTTTGCCAATTTCTATGGTCTTGACGCCATCGGGATACCAGAACGGCAATGTGTGACAGGGGCTTTACGAAGGGTTTATAAGATAAACAAGATGTGTTGTGCTCCTAAATGGCGCCCTTTACGAGGCATTTACAATGAAAAAAGGAATGTCCAAATATTTGTTTGCCCCGAAAAAGCAAATTTCAGTTACAAGCAGCTTGGAAACATAAGCCGACTGGTTGAGGTTTTGTTTCGGTACAAAGAAGGCTGCATAATTAATCTGACTCAAACTTTAAGCTGGGTCTTTTACTGTTGTAAATGACGTCTCTCCAATTTACTCGTTATTTAAGTGAAATGCAATTAGCGGTTCACTTGCAATGCATTTTACCCGTTGCGAGATATGAGACTGGTTGATTGTATTCTGTCATTTTTTTTCAATCCAGGTGGGCTTATCACTGCTGCCGATTTAGCGGGTTACACTGCAGAGTGGAGAGAAGCTCAAGCCGTTCCCATCGGCCGAGGCATGACAGTCCTGACAACGCCCTCACCGTCAGGCGGACCTGTCGTGCAATTCATTATCAATATATTACGAAGTAATGACCGATCGTGGTTAACCGTATATATGCCAACTTTGAAAATGATACTATGTCTGCAAAATAGTCTTTTCGTAAAAAAAAAAGTAACTCCTTCCACTAACTCTGTGCTTCAGTTTAATTGTTTTTCAATGACCGTCTGAAACAGCAGAGAAATTTTACACTTCATGTCGGACTCTTTCCATTTAATTTGACAACTTCAAACTGTTTCTGTTCTAAAAAGGCTTCCCCTATTTCGATTCAGGGCCCAATCATGGGAAACCGAAAAATGCTAGGCGCCTGTTTTCGTCTGTAAAAAGAAGTAAATTGATATTACTGTGTCAGTTATCAAAGCTTACTTCTTAAGAAATTCACAAATAAATACAAGTAGTCTTACTTAGTAACACCCACCCACTTTTAATTTTCACCTATGACTCGTTTTTGCCTATACCTGCAGATTACAACATGTCATCAGCTGATTTTAAGACGACTGGGAACAAGATTAAGACGTATCATCACTTTGTTGAAGCGTCAAAGTTCGCCTTCGCCTTGCGGAGTCACCTAGGTGACGTGGAGACACCAGAGGTTCAGGAGGTAATGAATCTCCGGAAGAAGAACCTTATTGTTCCAGTTTTATGATGTAAATAATATTTTCTAAACGAAAAGAAAAGAGAATAAAGGTCACCATCAGCGCCTTCGATAGTGCGAACTATAAGTTACATATAGCGCCCTCTTTTTTTAGTAAACATTCATAGATCCCTCATTTAGAAATTTGGAAGCTGGGTTTTTGAAGTCCCTGCTTTGTCTCAGGTGGCCAAACTATATGGAAAAACTGTTATAAACATTTGTCTCATCATTTTATTATTAAAAGAAATTTGTTTCTAACTCTGATGTCGAGATTTTGAACACGGTAGATTGTACGTACATGTATATTGCCGTAAAAGATGTGTAAATGTCAAGCCTTTATTACACAAGACGTAAACTTACACGGATCTGATGAACCTGAGTCCATTGTCGGGTAATCAGGTTTGAAAAATGACTATTAAGCCTAGTTTTACACATACGAAATGCAGACAGCAACGCAAACAGGGCCCAAACTGCAACGCAGACATACGGAAACATTTCATCCGCAAATGTTACCGACAACCAAGACAGACGCAGACTATCCAGTGTTGTAGTACTCGTACTCGGCACTCGTACTCGAGCACTACTCCAGTACTTTTTTGGAGTACTCGTTCTCGTACTCGAATGTCAAAGTACTCGTACTCGAAATGACTGTACTCGTACTCGGGCAGCAAAGTACTCGTACTCGAATAGCAGTACTCGGGGGAAATGGTATAGCTTGACTTCATACACCATGGCCTTATTTCATCGATACTTTCAGTTTGAAATGGTTGATTGACTTGTGGAGAAATCGAAGTTTCCTGATTTTCCTCTGTGCACATCCAGACAAACACAACAGCTAGCCGTGATTGGGTCTGCATATCGGTCTGACCGGGCCTGGGCCAATTATTACGCATAATCAACCATTTGCCGTATGACCGTATTCGGAATACAAGTACTTGTACTCGTACTCGTACTCGGAAGTATAAGTACTCGTACTCAGAGACCTGTTCTTATACTCGGAGATACAAGTACTCGTGCTCGTACTCGTACTCGTACTCGGTTACCTAAGTACTCGGCAGTACTCGGTACTCGGAAAAAAATACTCGACTACAACACTGAGACTATCTCGCAGACGATCGGCAAAGCTGAACACGGTTCAACTTTGTGGACGGTTCCCCGCACTGTTTTGAATGTCTGCATGCCCAGTATGCATATAGGCTTAACGTTGATATGGAAACTAGGCTTAAGCCATTCGATTTGCTGGCTTTCTAATGTGTACCTTCATTTGTTTATCCTGTCATTGCAGATTCTGAACAAGATGCAGTCGGAAGCCTTCGCCAAGTCGATTTCCTCACAGATACGCGAGGACGCAGTCACCTTCACCAATGCCTCTGGGTACAACGCACTGCTCAACACGGCTGTCCGTAGCGGAGGCACAAGTCATATCAGTGTCGTTGATCAGTTCGGAAATGCGGTATCAGCTACAAGTTCAATCAATAATTAGTACGTATCTTAGCATTTTGCGAGGTTCTTCAGGTTACACTATATTGCTACAGTCACGGATTTAGTGGAGAGGGGCTGCAACAAAGACGACAACAACAGCCTCACACGTTCAGCTGCTGACTTTAAATGTTATGATGCTAGTAAAATGGAGCAATAAGAAATGGAATGCTAAGGTTCCTGATGAAAGTTCACGCTCAAATTGCCTATTAGAATGCAGGAGAAAACATTGCAGATTTCAAAATTTTCGGGGCGCATGCCACGGACGCCCCTCCTCAGCATTTGGCACGCCTTTTCTCAACCTACACCCTTCATATCACCCCCCCCCGTTTTCTGAATGCTAGGATCCGCCCCTGTGCTATAGGTAAACGAATGAGCATCAGTTTTATTGACCTTTTCGTTTATATTAAAAATGTGACATTTGACAACCATTGAATTACAATAACTTCATGCTAGTCTAATTATAACTTACGAACACGTGTCGAACTTCCTGGACTAATGATTGGCAATTGTTAAACACCATGTTTTCGTCTTTGATGGTGTTGCCCCTACCAGTATGCTCACTTACAGTTCGTAGGGAAAACAGATACACTGTAATTTGTTCGTTAAAATTCGATCTCAGTCAAGTACACGTTGTACAGTATTGTGTGATTAATAATGATTGGATTTTCGGCCTCGTAGTATGAGGCAAGTTCAAGCTATAAAAACCGGTTTCGCTTATACACTTTATGCGTTTTACCAGTTTTGGCAGCCACATATTTTCCAACACAACGGGTCTTATCCTGAACAACGAAATGGCAGACTTCGACTCGCCAGCCAGCCAGCCAGCCTCGGATGCCAACTACATAGCGCCCGGTAAGATGCCCGTGTCAGCTATGAGTCCTGTCATCGTCTTGAACGAGAATGGTGGTGCTGAGTTAGTGGCTGGTAGTGCAGGCAGCCGTGCTATCATTACCACCAATGCCTGGGTGAGTAGCAACAAAGACCTTATCTGTTCAATTTTACATCAGTTGCATACAGCATGTTAATAATTCCATGATACTTGAGGGTTTGCTTGATGGACATGATCAATGAATGGAAGGTGTGCGGTAACACCTTGTGAATGATATCTATTTGTGAGTTGTGTGGTTTTGACATGTTTGAGAAGAACCAGTCGGTTGACACAATTCAGTGGCTTTCCAATGATATTTATTTCTGTTAGGCTGTAGCTTAACTTATTCCAAAGACATGTCGAAGCAACCTCGTCCCCAGGGTGTTGAGCAGTACGCGCCGACCACTACCTACTCTCTCACCCTGGTATTGGATCATGTGCAAGATTGTTTAACACGTATGCAAATGAGGAATAGTCTGGTGCCTGCCTGTGCGTTACATCTGCGTTTGTGTTTGTATGCGGTGTCTGGGGTAAAAACAGAACCAATTCGTCGCAGCGCAAGCATGGCGGAGTTACGAAAACACTATTTTATTTTATAACTAAACTATAACGATCTTAACGAGACAACATGCAGCATCACATTTCATATTAATATTAACAAATTGGAAAAGAAATTAATATTTTCGAGAAGGCTTGGACAAATGATCGCGAAAACACGTACTGCACGTGGTGAATAACAACACCAACTAGTACACGATATAAATTCATTACTAGCAAATTGCGGTATCGAACCGGGATACAGGGGAACAAAATTCCTTTCCAGGGCTTACTATTGGATACGAGGTTGGAAATAAAGTAAGTACTGGGGACGAGGTTGATGTCGGAAGAACTTCAACAGTATCCCACAGTCTGGTTCCCTGACCCCATTGTCCTTCGGACTAAAAAAAAGGTGAATCATGCATACATTGCCTGGAATTCCGGGTAATGTAATGTAACTATATGCAAGACGTGCTTAGGTCTGAACCCCGCCTCACCTTGTGAATTCTAAATCACAACGGTTAGGTTTGCGCGCAACCAGGCTATTGCATAATGGCAATGGGCCTGGCCAAGAATGTGCAATTTTGGAGGTAATGAGCTTCAAATTTTGCTGAATTTGAAAGTATCTCTGGCAAATATCAATAAAGAGAGAAATATTACTTTTCAGTATTTGAAACCAATGCGGTTGGAGTACTTGAAAGTTGTCTTGATGTAGAAAATGGCGATTTTGCGTATTTTTTTGTGGTAAGAGAAGAGTGAGTTTTTTTTTTAAACTAGGCCTATGTGTTCAAGTATGGTCCATACACAAAGCTGGATGGTGATTCAAAACTAAACAATCGTGCTGCGCACGCGCAGAGGCGATCCAATCAATGGGAGCTAGTTACCGGTGCCCATATCCCGGAGGGCCGGGAAACAGTCTGCAGCAGTGTTCCACCGAACTTACTTCGCCGACCTCATTTTGAGAAAACGGCTTTGTTAAAAAAGATACGCATTGTGCGGCCAACGGCAGTAAAAAACGTTCTTCAGTTTTTCCACGTTTGGGGTATTTTTCCCCAGCAAAAAAACATAATCTTATATACCTTGGCTACTCAAAAAAAACACATTAATTTTGACAAGATTGTTCTTGTATTTTCGACTTCAAGCGTTGATTACTCAGAACGAGGTTTTGGGGGGCATTCCTCATTTTTCCACAGTAGGTCACAATTGTAGACAACTCAATGAACTCGCTGCTTATCAGACGCTGTCCAACGTTGCCGTCATGTTGGGCGTTTAAAGTTTTGAACCATTCAGACATCATTGAACTGTACCTTTGAAATGTCTTCTTTATTTTTTCATTGAAGATTCTGCATTGGGAAGTCATTACTTGAATCTCAATAAGCTAATGTCGGAATTGTTGATAATGATTTGGACTTAAGCACGATTCAATTGTGCCCCCGAAATTTTTTTAATGGAGTCAAGTTCAGGCATTTAGAGCCAAAAAAGATATTGCTCGAATTTGCTTCAAATAGCCGAGAACCATTTGCATAAAATCTGTATCAAGTGGTAGGCCGTAGGCCTATATGCTGGCTAGTAACCTGTATTCTCCATTCGGCAAAACTGCACGGAGCTCATCTCGTGTGCTTACCAGCTGGTAATGACTTTCGTTATTTGTTAGGTCACACTGCGATCGGTATTCACCGACGCATCGCTCAAAGAAATCATCGACGACAAGCGAATTCACAACCAGCTCCAACCAGAGAATATTGCCGTCTACGAAAAGGGGTTTCAAAAGGTGAGTTAATCTAAAGACTTTTTATTGCTTTTCCGCGGATAAGGATTGTTTTTGTTCTGATTTTTTTTTTTTTTTTTTTTTTTTGCTCTTCTGCCTAAAAGTGGAAAAGCGTTGGTTTTGTTCTGATTTGTTTTTTGCTTTGCTTTGGTTCAGATTTTTTTCGTCTTGCTTTTAAAGCATTGTTTTTGTTGCTTTCTGCTTAAGCATTGTTTTTGGGGTTTTTTGTTCTGTTTTTTGCTTTTCCTCTTAAAAGCGGAAAGCATTGTTTTTATTCTGATTTTTTTGGCTTTTCTGCAATGTGCAGAAAAGCCTTTGTTATTTTTTTGATTTAGAAGTGCACTAAATCGAAGTTGCTGGACGAAATTTATTATAAGAAACGGTGAATTCGAACGAAAAATGTTTTAAAATAGCCGGGAAAACCTAGACATAAATATGTTGCTTTCTTTGAAAAAAAACCTGTTGAACCATAAAAAAACGTGATACAAAGCGTATAAATATTATTGTTCACATTACAACCCCTATCTCTGAACCTGTACACAAGCTCTATAGCATAATAGGGTAAACAGGGGTAAAAACGCCCGATTTTTAAGTTTTTGTTAAATATCTCAGTACTACTTGGAGACAGTAGGAAATAAACATGTGCTTTTATGCAATACATGTCTTCTTTTTTAATACCCATTAAATGCAATGAACCATGGACGTTTTCCCACCTCGATGAATGGAGGAAAACGTGCAAAGCAAAACATACCAAAATTGCAATTAATATTTTAGAAAAAAAAAATGACTTGTTCCTCATTATCAAAACACAAAATCTGACACTAAAATATGTATAATGTTTCTGTCTTGATTTAAATGATTAAAATCTCATTTGTATTTGAATGCCTGTTTGTAATGTGTAATTCTCACTCGGCTCAATAGCTTCCAATGGCATTCTATGGACAACTATAAAAAAAAAAATGGGCTCTTTTAGTCAAACGTGCATAACTTCTGATAGCATTTATCGATTTCAGGTTTTTTTTAGATGAGAAGTAGATGAGTGAAAGAAAGTGCTCTTTTAAGACATACTTCACTTGTGTTTCAAATTTAATTGCTTTTTAAGGAAAAATTCATTAATTCGGGTCACATTCTTTTTGACTCGCCCTCTGTCTTTCTCTGTTTTGGGCAGGATGTCATCAATGGATTGCATAGCATGGGGCACAAAACGGAACAAAAGAAAACCCCCTTGTCAGTCTCACAAGCGATCAGGAGATTGGACAATTGGTGGATGGCCTACAGTGACCCCCGTAAACAGGGCTATGCAGCCGGCTACTAGAGCGTCCATGATGCCACCCCAAAAGCCCATAATGGTTCCTACCTTGTTAGAGTGGGGGTTTACATTTCTGTGTATTTGAGAGACGGGTCTACCCAGGGGCGCGGGAGTATTGCAGCTGTGCCTTTGCTGACCAAACAGCTTTTTGTCATTGTCCCCTTATCTGAAGCAGGAATGCGACGGCTTTTACTTTCTTGGGTTTTTTTTGTAGCAGTATATTGGAAATCATCAATATTTCTCATTATATATATGCTTTTTATACCACATTTTCTCTGTTCGTCCATTAAACGTATATCATTTCATTGGATATTGTATTGTCAGGTAGTTATGTGTATTTTTAAATAATTATAAGCACGTTCAATAATTCAATATGAACAATTGACCAAAAAAAATCTGAAACAGAGGGAAGTTTGCTATATTTTCGAGAGTTCTCTACCGATGCAGTTATCACTTCTACAGATTTTGATGAACAAACACGGCCTGATTCAGAACCAAATTCTCGGGCTGGCTAAATAAGAAGGGCCTGGCCAACCGGTCGTTGCAAATTCAAAAAGTGGGAGGGCATCAAGGGGGATATTTGGCATGCCTTTGTTGGCGTTCTTTTCCCTTTTCTTCACTTTCTTTCTGTGAATATTTTATGTGCAAGTGGAGGAAAAGCAGTCTTTTTCTCTCTTTTTTTCTCTAGGCAGACATGTTCTTTAATAAAGTAGAAATCGAGTTATCGTAAAGAAGGCAGCTTTTGTTTCCACTTTGACTCGCCTTGCGCTTTATTTGAAATAATGGACAATGATCGCAATTGTATTTCGTTGCCGACTCGCTATAAGCTACTTGCCCTGATTAGATGTTAAATCTGTCGCAAAAGTGCACATGAAGTGATTATAGGGCATGCTGTCCACAATGTTTTACGAAGTCTGCGCTTTTTTTTTAAAGATCAGTAGACCTCAGCACCCTTTGATAGGGCAGTGGGTTTGTGCCAATTAATGTAATAGAAATAGTGCTGATGCGTTATAATTTGTATCTGGTTTCAATAAATGATTTTGTACCACACTTCCTTTTGAATAGTTAGGGTAGTCTTAGTATTCAGTAGTTAGATTTTATGTATAACTTTGTTGTCCGATCTTAAAGTGTAGACCCGATTTATCAGGATTGCCTTAGTTTTTTAAGCAACGTATAATGTATTCAATTATTTTATTTACTTCTTACAAATCATTGACATTTTGTAACCGATGATTTTACGGTATGCTCTTTGATTTTGGACATGTCAAGACAACGCGTTGCCTTTTTTCTTCAAAGCAAAAACGAAATATAGAATGTATGATTTATTTCAATGAATGTCAGCTAATACATTTGGATCCATCCTCGGAGCTTAGCAATCTGATTTTTTCTTGAAAGCGATTGCTTGGTTTTGTGATGATTCTCAAGCATGGTCCTCCTGAGGGAGACAGAACTTGTGCAATTGCGTGTGTGTTACAACTGATAATGTAGTACCGGTAACCAACCGATGATGTATCACAAATTGACTGATATTGTATCACTAACCGATAATGTAGCAAAATTGACCGATAGCGTAGTAAAATTTGTATCCGATAATTTATCACGTGTCGACGGATAATTTAATTACCAAAAACATGTATCCGATAATGTATCACCACAAAACGGATACTGTATCAACCGATAACGTATCAAAAATCAACCGTTAATGTATCAGTATGGGAAAAGGTGGAAATATGTTACAGATTAATTGAGTGCACGGTCGGGCACAATTACCCGACAACTGTTTAGAATTGTTCCGATAAATCTTTCTTTCTTTCTTTTTTCGAACAATACTTTTTCTCCTAAACGGTTTATGGTATGAATTTGTAACTTCAACACATATCAACCGTCACCATGAGTAGTGTATGATACTCTGACAACATGATGGCGTCATCAGGTGTCAAAGTACAAGCGATTTGTGCTGAAGAATGACCAAGTAATTTCTTTCCAATATATATTACTCTTGAACGAAATAATCAGTGATGGTTATGTATTGTCACTCCCGCGACAAGCGTGCACGTATGGTTATGAATAGGACAAAGGTATTTTAAAATTAGCAAATACCACAGAACGTTAGATATTATTGCTTGGCATATAATTTGCATATAATTTACCCGCGATTAAGTACCATATCTCATTGTTTCCCCAAAACGCAAGTTGAGCGCGATCTGTAGGCCCACGTGTGTTAGTTTTCAGTAATGAGCAAAAAACTGATCACATTGAAAATTAATTTTGGGAAATATGATTTGTAAGCATTTCAAAATGTGATTCCACAGTTCGCCAACGTAGCTACCCCATTTCATCGCTGATCACGAAGTGTCCATAGCATCCTAATTTAGAATAAATTTAATTTCGAAAACAAATCGCTGTTGAAGTTTATCCTTATTTACGAACTGTTTGACCGCTTTGCTGTCAGAGTTCAGAAACCTTTTGCACTTGCTAACAGCTCATGCTTTATTACTCTTTGGTATTTTACGGTCATGTTTACTTTTTTTCTTAATCAAACAATCATTAACGAAATTTTGACACTTCGTGAGAACATAAATGAATATTATGTTCGCACCTTTTTCCACCCTGTGTGAAATTAATACAATCTAATTTGTGTAGACCATTGTATGATCCAAGGTATGATCCCTCTTGCCTAATGAGCTGACTTTTGCCACAGTGAGAACAAAAAAACTACGAGCTCAGGCATTTTCCCAAATGCAAATATTTATTTGCGATAAACAGGTGTGGATACCGAGGGGTGGTTTTGGGGATCAACCCCCCCCCCCCGGCCCCACTCTGACATAAAAATATAATAACAATAATCGATTCAGGTGCGGATCCAGGAATTTTTGCAGGGGGGGGGGGTCGTTTAATCAGCAAATCAATGCTGATCGAAATCAGTGATGTAGTGCCTTGATGCTGGGTCTTGGCCTTATGGCTGGACTTTAGGGCCTCGGCCTTGGCCTCGAGGCTTGAGGGCAAAAGCTTTGGCCTTGGCCTTGAGGGATCAGTGCCTTGCAATTTGAGTCAAGGCTCTTCAAGGCTCATAGATTTTTGCATTTTCAAGATAAATCTGTTTGAAATTTTGCTGTTACGATTTTAATCGTGTTACCATGGAGGAGGGAAACACCTATAGATTTGTATGTTGGGCACACTTTCACTTTTATAGCATCACATTTTGTTACCATTGTAGTACATTTGCTGCAATAATTTTCTGTACACTTGTGGGGCTAAGGAGATAATCACTTAAATTGCATACAATTATGGAATAGATTGGCCCAGCAAATAATTGGCCTTGGCCTTGAGGGTTAAGCCTTAGCCTTAGCCTTAAGGCTTGAGGCTCAAAGCCTTGACCTTGAGATTCATAGCCTTGACCTTGACCTTGAGTGTCAAAGCCTTGGCTTTGTCCTTGAGGGGCGAAGCCTTTGCTTCAACACTGGCTGAAATGTAGACAGGGTTTATTTCCGGACACTTGTCCGCCCCACAAAATCAATAGGTGGAGGGGGGGGGCGCTCATTCCATAGTTTCAGTGGGGGCGCTGTTCAAATCCGGCCATCATTAACACTATGATACAGTACAAATATAAGAGCGGATCCAGAAAACACATTGGGGGGGGCCAAAAAAAATTGGTCCCCAAAAAGTGTGTCCAAAATAAATACGGCGCGGTTCGGTGCCTGCTTAAGGGCCCCGAAATTGTTTTGGATTCTAGATGCCCTGCGGTGCGATCTAAGGCAATTTCTGACCACTCTAACCAATGTTTGTTTTTTTTAGGAAAAGATGGTGGTGTACTCATTGCCTGCCTTCATTGCAAAGTCACTAAAAAAAATAGAAATTGGGTTCGTTTTTTGGGGGGCCATTGCCCCCTTTGCCCCCCCCCCCCCCATCCGCCCTTGTACAAATACCCCCGTAACCATACCCAGCTGGCTCCGTCCTAATTTTGCACAGGCGGACATTATTACCAGTATAATTATTTTGGGGTGTCAGAGCAGGGGTTTCACATTACTTTTTATGTATTTCTATGAAAAAAATTAATCAGAGCAGGGGGGTTGCCCCCCCCCCCCCGGATCCGCGCCTGCTGATACTAATAATACAAGGTGTCCTGAAAATAATGGTGCATGTAAACCCCGCCAATTTCGCCAACAACCAGAATTTACTGCAAACATTTATCTACAAGATCTTTAAGGTTACATATTTAGCTTGAGAATACCGTTTGTTTAATTAGATTGCTTTTGTAAATCCAGAGATATGTTTGAATAACCGCAAAGCCAAAAAACATTCTGTGCCACTTTTAGGAAGCGAGTGCTTTCAAGATCAGACAGGCTCTTTTGATAAGATTATCCCTATGGGTGTAGGACAAACATTCCATTCACACGACAATATATATCTCAATGAAACAAACGGTATTCTTGAGCTAAATCTATTAATCTTGAAGATGATGCATTCGCAAAAAAAAATTGGTTGTAAATTAGCAAAAACTGGAGGGGTTTACATGCACCATTTTTTTTTTCAGGACGCCCTGTAACTACATATGTGCCCGCCTGTCCGCAACAGTCTTACACGGAGGCGTAGCCAGCGGGAGTAAGAGGGTACAATACACTATTGTGCTATATAGTACGGAAGCCCGTGCGTGCCAGGGTTTTAAGCTAAAAATAAAAAATATTGCGAGATACCGCAATAATATTGCGAAATAACGCAATAGCATTGCGAAATGACGCAATAGTTTTGCGAAATAACGCAATACTTATTGCGAAATAACGCAGTAGTTTTTGCGAAGGAATGAAGGAATGCATGCTTGAGTCCAAATGATTGAACCTAAAGACCTACTTCGGCCTACTTTAGGCCTACTTATAGGCAAATTTTCACGTCATATTTTATGACAGATGGTGTTTAAAAGCACAACCTACATGGCGGATCGTGCATTTGTAAAGGAGATTAGCGGAAGACAAATATTAAATGGGATCAAAAACCTAAAGCAATGACTGGAGATTATATGACGAATTTATTTCACGAATCTAAGTGAACATTGACATTTTTTAGACGGAAAATGATAGTTAGTCATCCCAACGATCCCCATAACCCAAGACTGCCTAATGACCCTATAGAAGCACGTCTTAGCTTTAAGAACAAATGGAGAGTTAAAAGTACATTTTTTTGAAAAACTTGTAAAAATTCATTCAGTTCTTTAACATGATTTAGGCTAAAACACTTTTCTAATTCATATCAGTATACGGTATTCAAAGGTGATTCTTGATGCAAGGCATTCTTTTATCAATTTGAATTAAATGGACGGGTAATTTCGGGCGGGGTGATATTACAGGGGAAAACATATTAAAGTTGGAAAATTATTCGTATGTATATCATTATCATTCGTTTAAATGTATTAGTTTTCTTCAGCGTTGTGAATATTGGGCGTATAATATTGACGCATCCCCTGAAGAAAAAAAAACATTCCTTTAAACGTAATTATATATGTACAATTTCCCCTGCATTGTTGCATAACGAGTGCACTGTGGATTCACCATTATACTCAAGTAATTATTCACATTCTAAAGGTAGTTTCCTTCCACTGCATGGGTAAAATTGTTTGTAATACTAATGCAGTACTTTGTTGCGGTGGAATCATTAGGTTCTCTTCTGTCAGCACGCGTTTGTGCATTCTGGCCATTTTGAGTCATGTTGTTTAAAAAAAATCAGAACGCACACGATTCAATACTGGGGGGGGGGGGGTGAAAAGATAATCCTTAAAAATATGTTTCCCCCCCCCCCCGGCAAAATGTCATGTGGTTTTTTGTGGGTTTTTTTAAGTTGAGGGTCTCTTTCATGTAGTCCTACATAAAAAATTTTAAAGTCAGTCGTTCTGAAGCACGGTGCCAACCATGGGTGTCGATTCGTTGGGGAACGGGGGCATTGCTGTCCCCCAACTATTTTCGTCCGCGTGTAAAAAATGTGGTCTACATTTGATTCTATAGCTCCAAATAGCTTATTGAATGACTCCAAACTCGAAAATGATGCTTAACCGATGAAACAAATTTGGTTAAAAGTGGTCAGAAATTGCCTCAGATCGAACCACAGAGAGTCTATAATGATCGATTTTTTTCGGGGCTTAGTTTTGATCAAAATACACATGTATACGTTCCATCCCCACTTTTGGGAAGCGATTGAAGCCCTTGGTGCCAACAGGCTTTTAGAGCTGGCTAGAACCTGTACCAGTTTATCCTGGCTAGATTTGTACAGTGCCCTGTACTTTAAAAGCATCAACATGAATTTGGCACCGTTGCCTAGGGTGGAGTATAGTGTGGAGTACGTAGGGCCTACGAAACACTTAATCCGGACCGGGCTGTCCCTCCCCCCCCCCCCCATGTCAGTGTATGGTGAGAACCCTGGCAATGCCGCCGGTTTCTCCTATACCATGCAGGCCCAGTAGGTTTCCACGGTTTCAACACAGTGTGAGATAAAGCTTACAAATTTGATGCTTTGAGCGTGCATCCTTCGATAGCTCAGTTGGTAGAGCGGTGGACTGTAGGCACGTAGTCACGTGAATGAGTCTTGCGGACATTCATCCATAGGTCGCTGGTTCGAATCCGGCTCGAAGGAAAGGTTTTTTTCTCTTTAATTTAGACATCGCTGGTGCTATTGAAGCACGTTTTAATGTTTGTTTCCATGCCCCCAAGTCTTAGTCCAGAAATACAATGCCTATGGTGATTTAAACGGTTTTTTTTAACGAAAAGAAGTGACAAATCCTGCACAAATTGGACCCGTGTAAGTACGTTGTCAATGGACCGCTTCCGCTTCTTGCTGCAAGGCACTTATGCATATTGGGAGATGGGGGGAGGTGTACCTCTGTCCCATCTCGTGCTGGGTAGGCCTATACAACCAACGGTCCGGTCGCACCACAAAAATACAAAATGCCATTGTGCTGGCTCTGACCAATCAGATGACAAGGATTTATTCAGGTGTTGTTTAAAACAAATAATGAATGTTTCACATTCGTGCAATGGAAAGAATAATTTCATTCAGTGACAGTGTCACCTCACCCCATAACATTACTCTTACCATTGCACTCATATATATGAGTGCAATGGTAAGAGTAATGTTATCACCTCACCCCATAACATTACTCTTACCATTGCACTCATATATATGAGTGCAATGGTAAGAGTAATGTTATGGGGTGAGGTGACACTGTCATTCACTGACATTCATTATTTGTATGAAGATGGATTCTCAAAGGTGAGTCAGCACAGTTAACTATCGGTCCATGGACGTTAACTCTACCCTTGTAATCTTTCTCATTGTCGGACAAAGGGTCCGCTCGTAAGTCCGACGCCTCATATGTCCGACGCCTCATTAGTAAATCTCACCCCAACAAAAATAAATGCCCAGAAGTCCGACGCCTCATAGGTCCGACACCCCATGGGTCCGACGCCCCATAGGTACGACGCCTCATAGGTCCGACGCCTCGCAGGTCCAACAATTTAATTTTACTTTTATTTCGGTCCATAAATTCGACGATTCATAAATCCGACTCCTCATAAGTCTGACGCCTCGTTTGTCCGACAGCCATGCAAACATCGCATAAAATGTCAGAATGTTGGTTGTTGGCACCAACAAGTGTTCGAGTTTGAGATTACACATTCACATTTAGGGATGCACCAAGACACCCCCCCCCCCTTCCCCGGGATGTACGCCCGTGGCATTACCCTCGCGCCCAAAATACATGTGTACTGCCCGCAGGCAGATTCTCACATTCAAAGACAACCTCGTTCAAATCGTCGTATAAATTTGGGTAAATCTCTTTCTTGCCTTGTGGGACAAATGGACCATTTGTGTAACGGTCCATAGCAAACAAATTAATACTACCAATTGCTGAAACACAATCATTTGAATGAAAATATTTCTTTATTTTCTTTCTAAAATAAAACAGTAATCTGAAAACATGTAATTTCTTGGCCAATTTAATATCATTAATTTGTTTCAAGTAAAGACCAATACTGTTTTCAAAATAAAGGAATGATTGTAAACCGTTATTCTTCATAGGTACGCAATAAAAAAATATTACCACACACAGTACATGATTTGTGAAGTACATTAGCACAACATTTTAAAGCACTGGTCTAAATTTTGACATCATATCGCATCAACGATTCGTGTCAATTTTTCTAATATAAATTTTATTCAACTTACGCATTTTGAGGTACGAGTTTTAACCAGTGGCGTCACCAGACTTTTCAGTCTGGGGGGGGGGGGGGGGGGGGGGGGGGCACAGGGGGGGGGCACCAGCATTTGATGGGGGGGGGGCACTTAGGTGGATACGGATCGCCGTCCTGTGGGAGGGGTCTAAGAGGAGGGGGTGCCCCCCTCCCCTTTGGAAAATGTTCGCATACGGAGGATGGGCTAGATGCAAAATGGTGCCACATTTGATGCTAAATTCGATCTGAAGATATCTCCAGAAATTGCTATTTTTGAGGTAATGATTTTAACAACGCGCAGAATTTTGCAGAGGATAGGGGGGCACCAGCATTTGATGGGGGGGGGGGGCACTTAGGTGGATACGGATCGCCGTCCTGGGGGAGGGGTCTAAGGGGGTACCCCCTCCCCTTTGGAAAATGTTCGCATACGGAGGATGGGCTAGATGCAAAATGGTGCCACATTTGATGCTAAATTCGATCTGAAGATATCTCCAGAAATTGCTATTTTTGAGGTAATGATTTTAACAACGCGCAGAATTTTGCAGAGGATAGGGGGGCACCAGCATTTGATGGGGGGGCACTCGGGGGGGGGGGGGGGGCACTAGGTTTTCCAGGGGGGGCACGTGCCCCCCCCCCCTGGCCCCCCCCCCCCCCCTTGGCGACGCCACTGGTTTTAACATTAACATAGGGTTTTTTAACAAAAAGAAAGACCTAATACATGTATTACCTGATTTGTCAATGTAAACACTTCCGACATAAATTGATACATGCATCTGTTAATGACGTAACCTTTTAGCCAACATTAAAACCAATAAAAATATACACATGAAAAATGTATGTAAAGACTTTTGATAAATCACACTATGGTATTGGAAGACCAATTAATACATTCATTTGAATACATTTTGCTTTTGTTCTATAGATCTTGACCTATCTTTACACCAACAGTCGGGAAATAATTTTCAAGAAAATACATGTTAGGTCTATTGAAATCCTGTTTTACTAATACATGTTTTTAATATTCACATATGTTTGAAACCATATTGTCATAGAATGATTTAAATAAATGTCCATTTGGGAGTTATAAAGTTCATATCTTAAACAACTTTCTTTCTTTTTTACTGATTCAACATCAGAATATTTTATATCCCTCTCCCTCAATACAAATGTATCAGGTCTAATAATATGGGGAATAAGATTACTTAACCATATTTTTATCAACCAAAAGATTCCAACACCAAACACAATACCCAACCTATTCAAAACTAAAAAAACATCAAGTAGCACTAAATATTCCAAATACTCCATACAATCTGTCAATTAAAACTTTGTCCCAGCCAACTACATGTACATGTAATATTTTGCTGCATGATGTGCCCAATGTCCCGAAAGTCCCAAATTTAAATAAGGACAAATTTATATTAAAGGGCATGAGTTGAATTTTTCTTACGAATACATTTTGTACAACTTTCTGCTCCTCTTTTACAGGTATGAAAACTATCTGACATCTATTTTGGGGGGTTAATTTATTGAAAAGTGCACTTCTGTTATTAGACAATTTGGAGTTGTCCTTCGCTCGTACCCGCCCTGCAAACAGGACGCTGGGATACGCTTATGAGCTTCACAGAATTGTGTGAAGGAAGTGGCCTATGACCTACGTATAAAGAATCTGGCTGCAGCTGTTCAAGACCGCAGTTAGACAATGTGCGAAAATGCTATCCGAAAACTTCCCATAGAAATGTACACGTTCCATACCGGATGTGATTTCTGTTTCATCGGGGACCATGTGGACAAAATTTTGAGTGTCGCATAACGCAATTCCACCGTTCGTGATTCGAAACGGAGCCTTGAGCAAGTGACGGGAATTGTAAATTTACAACACAGATAAGTTTTACAGAATTTCTTACATTATTACGCTTTTCAACGAAAAAAAAATCTCTAAACTGGAATTAAAGAGTAATGAATCAGTCTTAACGGCCGTTTCAAACCTTGCAGAGTCATGACCGTGATGACGGGCAGGTCACAGGTCACACAGGTCCAACCAACCAGAGTGTGAATTCATCAGAGTATCCCAGCGTCCTGTTTGCAGGGCCAGGGCGGGGAGATACGAGCGAAAAATTGTCCATGATTTTTCGGACAACTGAGGGCGCTGTTACTGTGAAAACAGTTCAGGAAAACACTAGTGTGTTGTGTTCAAATTGTGAAACGTGACTTTGCTCACTTTTCTCATCACGCTTTCTATATCGGGTCACCGGTCATTTACTTGTTTACGCTGTGAATTGAGCAAACAAAGGCTGTGGTCACGCACTCTGTACTATGTTACGCGATACACGCCAAGCTCGTCTAGGTTTGTATTAGATTTATGCCAGGCCATTGTATTACAAAACACTTCATTCGAATTGACCAATCAACACTTTAGTCCAGATTTCAGAATGAAATGAAGTCTGGAATTAGTAAAGTCAACTCCGATTGGCTGACGCACATCGTATAAATCTGCATGCTGTGATATAGTAGACATTCAACCAGATATGGGCTCCGCGGAGAATGGGTGATATTCAGATTACACTATGTCTGGCTCATTATCTAGATCACAAATTATTGGTAATACTGGTAGTCAGAGCACATACTGTAGAATTTTCGCTACAGACTGAGGACCGAAAGAGATTGTTGAGCGTAGTAGTCATTCATTTTTATACCGAATTTTAGAAGACAATGCTTGGTGAAGTTGTGCATAAAATTGGGAGTCAGGAGACGTTCATTATATCCATATGTTCAGTGCAGTGTGTTTGTTATAGAAGCATTCTTCTGTACTTTATCATTATAAGTACACTTTTGTTTGTCAGAAAGGCAAATATGATTTCTACACATGATGACAAACAAGTTACTTATTAAAAAATAACATTGGCCATTTGATGGTCTGCTGCATACATTAATTAGTAAGGAAATGTTATTCTTTCATAGACCAATCACCCATTCCCAGGAAAAAAATACAATATAAAAGGCAAAACATCTTCTGCAGTAAGCAATTAACAACTGCGCATGCCAGCATCAAAGAGCTGTCACTTCCAATTCTAGACTGGTTCCCAATATCCAGTTCACCCATGTCTGGAATCACATGGAACCAGGAACCAGCCTACACAGTATCTTTCTCAGTCCAAAGTTTAACCCTGCCTTATATTGTACACATGCACTGATTTTTAAAATGTCAATGCCGGTCCTCCAATTGTCCTTTGGACTTTAAATGTAGGGACCGGTAGCGGGTAATAGGAATACATTAGGAGGATTTCCTCCTAATGTATGCAAATCATATGCAGGACAAGCCTCGGTCTGATTCCCACCCTCTGAATACAAAATCAAGATGATAATGTTAGCGTGGAACCAGCCTATTGCAAAATGGCAACAAGGCTACCACTAATGTGCAGTTTGTGTGGTAATGAGGTTTTATTTTCTCTGAATTCAACAGTGTCTCTGGCAACTATCCATAAAAAGAGGGGCACTGCTTTTCATTATGTGAAACCTATTGAGTTGAAATGCTTGAAAGTTGCCTTCGTGCAGACACTGGCGATTTTGCCTACTGGTTATGGTAAAAGTCAATTTGTACATAGCATTGTGTTCAACTGCCATTGCACGGAGTTATAAACATTTTCAAACATTAAAAAAAGGCTACGCAGAGGTGATCCAATCAATGGCTATAAATGGGAACTAGCTACCGGTCCCCATATTATAGAAGCAGGAACCAGTCTATTCACTAGCTCCTTCCATCATTGCTATGATTAGGACGCCCTCTTCAGTTCACACTATAGCGCCCTCCTGAGTCCATTGTACTTGTTCACAACTTTGCTGACTAAGATTTCTGTTTGCTGCGGACCGTCTCTGTGAGCAGCACAGGCTCTTGAGTCACCGTTGAGAGATACCTCCTTCCCAGCAGCTCTACTTCAACCTCTGTCCCAGCTGTCGTTAGCTCCATAGGGAGGTAAGCATAGCAGATACTCTGGCCGAGGTGGTAGCTGAAACAACCTGATGTGGTGTTTCCTACGACCTGCGATCAAGTCCAAAAAAAAGTGAAAATATGACGTCTTTAGGTCTGACGCTATTGTAGGTGATCCTTATAGCAATGGAAAAAAAAACAAGGATGTACAAAGCCATGCAACATATCATCATAGACATTTTCTTTCTTTGTAAATGCCAGGTTTTCTTTTGTAAAAGACACAGGTTGTTAAAAAAAAATCTTTATTGTAATTAAATTAATCATTTTGAGAATGACAGAACTCATCAACATTAACGTCCCTGTGCGCAGTTCTGGACGTAAAAATGACGGCCCCTGTATACAGGGTCTTTGGTTTGTATTGTATGAAGCAGGCAGGATAAAGCATGATAATATTCAAATTCATGTCAACGTATGTGAGTGATGAACTTAAAAGATTCCTTCAGTAGAAGGCCATAGATGAACTTCTGAAATAGGTCACTGTAACAGTTCTCAACCTGTGAAATTTCACATTCTAATACAATGGTATAACTAGTGTATGTGGAGCTTCCACAATCAGAGATTCAGAACTATCAATTTTTGGAGACTTGAGAGTTCCCAGTTGCTATGCAAATAATCCCTTACCTTGCCGTTCATCCAGATGGTCTCATTGCCTTCAGGATCGACATTGTCAGTTTCAGGTACAGTAAGAAGCACCAGCTTACGTTGTAGTCCCTCATCCTTCACTTTCTGCACCGCTGCTTTGCCCACAAAATCAGCCTCCTGGGAAAAAAATCATTTATAAAATATGACAATTCTTATCAATTTCTCGTGACCATAGTGACAAGCATGACATCTTTAATACCTACAGTTTCAGGTTTCATTCACAGAAATGTTGATTCTGATGAACAAAGAGGGAAAATAACCATTTTGTATGCATCGTTCTGTTGTTCTACAACAAAGCCAGCTATCAAAGCCTGTGTAACTTGAAGTCCAAGGAAGTAATTAATATGCAAATACATCATATCTCCAGAACGGGAGGGGCTATGCAGCTCTATTATATACCAAATGAAAGCTTACATTGTGGGCTTTCCAACCATGTGTACAACTCAATTTCACGTTTTTGCGACATAATACCCATTTTTTTTGCCGAGCCGGTCACATAATTTAATACATTACTTATCCCTTCATCTCGATCAAGAATGACTGAATAGCAACACTGTACTAAGACAAGCTCAGTGAGCATTTCACGAGCATTTGTGACTCATGTCGATAGACTGAGTTACATGAATTGTCAGACGTAAAACTTGGAATGTGTATCGACTGTGATTCTACTTTCTACCCACCTTCTTCAGTTTGATGAATGGTCCCAGTCCAGCTTCTAGTGGGCCGTTGTCCATCAGCATCTAGGAACACAGAACAAGTGTGGATGATGAATTGTCAAACAATTAAAACTGAAACCATTCTTAACAAAAGCTCACCGACTCGTGGAATCCCATTCCATGTAAGCCTTTTTGTCAATGCACATTTATAATGATTCAACAAACGGATACAAAAACAGATAAAAAAAAAATCCCACCGCTACTAGAAAGACATATGCAAAAACATTATTGAAAAAAACAATCAAATGCACCTCATAATTTTGTTGATAAGCCCACTGCTTCATTGCTCATGGACTGGACTACACAGACACGCCTGGCCCAATATTACAACCACAGAATTGCGTGCCTATGATCACCATTTTTCGCTAAAACCACAAGCAGAAAAATTCTGAGCCAACCCTGTAAGCATAGAATCCTTAGTTACAGGATGTACGCATGCGCATAAGCCAAAATTCTTCGCTAACCTGTGAAATACGCTTACTGTAAGCAGGGAATTTTCTGCTACAGTAAGCAGGGATTTTTTTGCCTCAGTAAGCTGGGATATTTTGTTACTACACCTCATAATTATTCATGATCAAATTGGAGCATGTCATTGGCCGATTCCGCTGCGCGTCCAGGCAGTAAAAATGATATAAGCCCAGACGTCATTCACTAAACTAACGGTAAGCAATGAAACAGACCCTGGAATGTCCAATATAATATACTATTATGGGATGTAAAGGACCCTGAAAAAAAATATTTAATTTATAAATCAAAAAGTATAAAAGGACAGACCTGTAAATAATATGGAATTGTACCATTTTTAGTAATATTTTTTATATCTACTGTAAATTCAGCTATATGTAATATATACCTCTTGTCCCCACATGCGGAATCCTTTCTCAATGCGCATGGCGTTCAGAGCATAAGTCCCAAAGTCCCCAACACCAAGCGGTTTTCCAGCTTCAAGTAGAGCATCATAGAGCTTCGCAGTGTCCTCTGCCTTGTGGTAAAACTCCCAGCCCAGCTCCCCTACGGATGGAACAGCCCTTTTAATTTATCACACGAATCGTACTTGTTTGTAATCAATTCAATGGTTCAGAAGTTTGAGTTACTTACAAATGGAGAATTTCAAAGCTCAAGAGCTTTAATTTAAATAGATTTGACTGCTAGGAAAACAATTCATTGTATTTTCCGAGTAAAAACCATGGCAATTTTACGCAAGTTTCAGATGGCAATCTGTCAGCTGACCTCAAAATCAGGGCCCAAATTCATAGCGCTGTTTAACAGTTGACTTTGTGCTTACAGAGCCTCCGTCTATTTCATAGAGACCGTTAAGCAGTAAGCACAGTAATAACATGCTTAACCCCAGTGGAGAAGTTGCTTAAATCAGTGACATAACAGTAGAAATCTCCATGCGCGTGCAACCGTTAGCACATCCACGCCATGAAATAGTGCTGATGCAGCAGCATGATTTTCTGCTACAGTAAGCACAACTTTTCTGCTAACTGTTAAGAAGAGCTATCAAATTAGGCCCTGATGTATATCAGGGGTTAATATGCCCATGGATAATTCCAATGTTATGTAACGTCCATGACAGAGCTTTAAAGTTCTGTATATTTACATCCATCATGTACTGAGGGTCAAGGTGTTACCAAAGTTTTTAGTCCAGTTCAACTGTTCAACAAAAGCCCCTAGATAAGCCAGCATTATATGTCTAGTTTCTTTTGGGTTGATAGAGTTTTTGAGACATCCGGGTAGATTAAAGGGAAGATACAACATTTGCAAACATCACAAAACGAAATGATGAAATAATCACAAAAAACCTCACTAGATTGTTAGGAAATGACAGTCTAAAGCATCCTGTAAAGTTGTGGCTCCTGGTTTGCTGTCATTTTCAAGAAAAATTGTATTTTTCCAACGCTGGTCGGCCGACCAGCGTTGGAGAAAACTGGCTTTTTAAAAAAATGTTCCTAATATTTCAAAATTATTTATTTCGCGTTTTCTTTGCAATTGTTTACACATCTGTGAAGGGTACAAGCCTGCTAGACTGATTGTATAACCTCAGAATTTCCCAAAGTCATGATTGCTTCGTTTTATTTTAAGTGGGGTCAGGGAACCAGACTACAAGAACGTGAATGGTTTTCTTGGTTTTTCCAGCATCTACAAGTCCAAAATGTGAGACAAGCCATTTCAACAATATTTGCTATAACATACTAATCTTCCAAATCCATTTTTTTCCAAAAATTGCAACAAAAGCAATGTTGTACATTCCCTTTAAGATCAAAATTAATTAAAACAAGAACAACTGGACTAAACTTATTACATGTAGAGAGAGAACAGTTTCACAAACTATCATGCAGGTCGCTTCCTCGGCTCAAAATGGGTGGCGGGAACTGTCAGGTACTTGAAGATTGTGCTTGAAGATTGTGCTTAAAGATCACGCTCCACTCAGGCCAAAAAAAAGAATAGTTCTGCTTCCGGTTACCCGACCGACCCTATTTTTAGGCTGCGACCCTAAAAATTTATCGGCAATTCAAAAAAACAAAAACAAAAACAAAAATTGAATAAATAAAAATAAAATCTGTCTTTTCTGTCTTCACAAAATACCTCTCAACAACCCTTTTGCATCCAAAAATGCTTGTATTTATTTGTTTTCTTACTTACATTCGCTTTTTTTTTCAAAAGAAACCTCCGTTATTACAAATTCGCTTCGCGATATAACTACTTCACAAGTCGATGTCACGCACGATGACTATAATCACGTGGCGACGACTGGTTCCCGCGCCACCGCGCCGCGCAGGGGCCAATTTAGAAGACATAATGAAAATGCGGTAACCAGTCCATAGCTAGCTATGCGACCGATAGCGCGCTATCAGTACAGTGCAGGCCACTGTCAACTGGTCGGATTCGACATCGTAAAAATGCCAAGAAAACACCGATGGAGAAAGAACATTTTTGCAAGTTAATTTACAGAATTGATCTAGCTTGTCTGTGTATGTATTTTCTGTGTTCAAGAGTTCATTTTGAGATCGCACTACTCGTATTTGGAGTGATACATGCCGCGTGTTTCCCGAAATTGTTGACCGTAAAAACAGGTCTGTCTGCCCATGGTGGGCCGCTCGCTACACACGCACGCATCACACACCTCGGAGTTTTGGCCAGCCCCCCGCGTCTTGACTAGCGTTGTGCATATGGTGCGAACGGCCTGAATTTTCCATTATTTTTGGAAATTATCGAACGTAAATATATTGACAATAATTAAAGGGAGGTTTTACTCACTTTTTGTTGCCATTTCGTGTATAGCTTTCGTAGTGCAATAGAAATAGTTCAGGCTAAAACTTCGCATATAATTGAATACCCCATTCAATCTGCATAAAAAAAATTGGCAAAAAAAAAAAAATTCCGACCGACCGACCCTATTTTTGAAAGGCATGTAATCGGAAGCAGAACTATTTTTTTTTTTGGCCTCATCAACAAAACAATAGAAGGAACGATCAAAATGCCTCTTCAACACCAGTCCACTCCCGCCGCACATTTTGAGCTGAGTAAGTTACCCGGATAGATTGCGAAATTGTTCTCTATCTAGTACATGTAAGTTTAGTCCAGTTGTCTTGTTTCAAGTTTGTTCAAATTTCTTTTGGGTTGTACATAGCTCCTTTTCATATTCACTCATTTAGGGCCGAGACCATGTATAAAAGGGTGCTGCTGGAGGTTGGGGTGTGGTCATTTTGCTGTTCAGTGGGTCGAAGGAGGGGTTATAATGTCAGTATATATACCTGTGTAGGAGATTCTGACCGCCGTGACAGGCACACCACCCACACTGATATCCTTGACATCCATGAAGGCAAAGGCATCATTGGCCAGGTTTGCATCAGTGATGGAAGACAGTACATCACGAGACAATGGCCCGGCAAGACTGAGGCAGGCAATGCTCTCAGTAATGTTGTTCAGGGTGACGTCGTAATTACCCTTCCAGGCAAAATCCTCCATCCACCTGGTATGAATATTACAAACTAATGTTCAGGAAATTGGCATTGATTGGTAATAAAAACTATTTGTGTAAGAATAAGACTTTTCATAAAATGATATATTTCACAATTCGGAGGTCGGAAGACTGTATGCACAACACATAAAATATATGCAGCAATATGGCATTTGTTTTTATTCACAAATTTCCCTTAATGCTTTGCATGTATGTTTACTTGGTTTTTTTCACACTTTGCAACACTGTGAAACTTGTACTGCTGCTTATTTGTCCTCAAAACTTCAGAAGTTGGAGTTATGACAAGATTGGATTTCTGACATGTAGAAATGTAGTCCATGTAGTCTGTCCATTGTCTGATGAGACAGCTGAGGATTTTTGTATCATGATGCCATATCACAGCATCAAAATGCCAATAAAACATTAACCCCTATCCCAAAAATAGACCTGAGACGTAATGACGTAATGGCTTTGTTTACATATGCGCTTTCCTATGGGAGCGAAGTCGGGACGCCAGATAAAGTGGGGTCCGTCTACTACATAGGAAAGCACACATGTAAACAAAGTGTGACTTCATTACGTCTTAGGTCTATTGACAAATAGGCCATCAGCCTTGGTCCAAACTTTTGGCCACCGGTATCAAATGAGGGGAATTATCATCACAGCAATTTTTGGCAAGGTACATGTATGCACCTCCAGAGTTGGAAAATATGTGATAGCATTGCAGCAGTGGTAGCTTTTTGGGTGTTATCAGCCTTTTTTCCAAAATGTCCATCAAAATGCTTGTTACCACTCTAGGGGCGGTATACCTTGCGCATGCCCACTATAATCATTTATGCACTGATTTGATACTGACCAAACCCCTAGGCTGATGGCCTAAACTAGAAGCTGAAAGAATTATTGTCTAGTTTTACTTTGGATAATGTGTCCATTGTATTAAATTCTAACTTTTAAAAACATCCTTTTTAAGAGCCAACTAAATATGGTTCCATGGTGACTGTCACAGTATTTTTGCTTTGGGGAAATTTTGAAAAATGAAACTAAATGGATGCTTGGCTGACCTGAGATCATGGAACTCCACACCAGAACCCGTGATGATGAGGAACTTGTCATCTGCCAATCGACTCACTGTCACCTCAGCATAGACTCTTCCCTTGGGCGACAACATGTGACACAAAGTGCATCGACCAACCTAGAAAAGTCAAATATGCACTCCATGGATTAGAATGTCCTAAGCAAACATGTTTTTGTTCTGTAATGTGCTTGCAGCTAGATTGCGTGCAAACACGCAATCTCATGCAAGCTTGCAGCAAGCTTCGCAATCAAGTTACCAGCTTAACCCTAACCGAACTCAACCCATCAAAGTTCAACAGCAGGTTTTGTTTAAATCTGTTGGGATAGGTACAGTACCCCTAAACTGATGGTCTTTTACACTGGGGTTGGCATACCTCCAGAAACTAAGTCAAACAGTGTGTGTGTACAATTTCCCATGTGGGTATTGGAATTTGCCAGAATGGGTATGGTTCCTAGTAAATTAGGCTGGGGAGTTAGGGTTAATACAAGCTTGCTAACCTTGCGGCAAGCTTACTTTTCCGTAAGGGTGGATCCATTTTTTGCTGGTAGCCATGCATGCCCCACGCCTTTACCTCATGACAAATTGCTACAAATTTATGCAGATTTAGATGAAAATTGGTCACAAACAATGTGTACTGTCCAAACTTTTGCCTATTGTGATTATGAGAAGGCTGCACAACAAAATGTGTTAGGGCCGTCCCAAATCTACCAAATATTTGATCATTCGGACGTACATGTAAGACAACTTAACGAGCTTCTGTTAGTAGTGTGAATGCGATACATTACTAATATATGACATCTAATGAAGAAAAAACCATTACAGGCCAAACAAATGTACTACCATCTTTACGGACTTGTAAAATCATGTGGTTCGACGTACAGAAAGAGGTGGAATTTACGGAAGTGCCTAACAATCAACATTCTACAAAGGCGTGGCCTTCCTAGAATGTTGATTGTTAGGAAGGCCACGTATCATTGTATTTTGAAGAAAGATCTTACAAATATAGAGCCCAAAACCTGTAGCTGCACTGAAGTTTCCGTGTTAGTGTAATAGGCGTAGCTTTTCAGAGAAACGTCAAGACTTTCTATTTTCTCTTTTCCATCCGCTGCTTTTTCTGAGCTGAATCGCACCTCTGATGTAAGTACCTATGGTACATGTACTACATGTGTGCACTAACACTAGAGGGCTATTTGCGAAGAGTAATTGTAGGGCTATTCACTACAGATCAATTCTTCATGTAAGCATGCCACTGCCTTGCTATACATACCGCTGGTAGTTTGTTGGCCAGAAGATTGTCCAGGTATCTGTAGACATCCTTCCCTGTCACTTCAAACTTGGCAAACGGAGTGATATCAATGATGCCAGCTCTATTCATGACCATCTCATACTCCCTGCCCACTGGTTTGAACCAGTTAGACCGACGGAAGCTGTGCTGGTACCCGGCCTCATCGCCATCCAGTGCAAACCAGTGAGGCTGTTCCCAACCTAAAAAAAAAAACAGACAAACAAACATAAATGTTTTTCAATTTTCTTAACAAAGGACAATTTCTGAAATATCACCCACCCTCAATATTGCATTGGGTGTATATTATGATGGGCAAGACAGCATGTTTTTTATTATGATTAGGCCCAAAAAAAAAGTCTCTGGTTTCTGGTATGCGCGCGCATCGCCGTAGCCATGCGCGTCGGCAAAATGAAAAAGGTTTTTTTTCAATAAAAGATGATGTCTCAAAACCGCCAAACTCACTGGTTTGACTGGAATCCTGCTGCTGCACAATTTGAACGTGTTTTTAGATGGGGTTATGATCGAGAACAAGCTTTATGTGGCCTCTCTGGACTCCCATTATATTTGCTCTAAGTTTAGTCGGGCACCATTTGCAGTCATCAGCCAACATTTGAAGCAAAAAAATCAGGTAAAAAAAAAAAAAAAGCCGCGTCACCGCACCACTTTTTGGGCAAGCTCCATACCAGAAACCGGAGACTTTTTTTTTGGCCTTACTTCACACTTTTTTCTTTACCGCCTAAAATGCAGTTTAAAAACCTAAAACTACATTCTTTTGAGTGAAACTGGCTGCACCAACAAAGCACATAAGTATAATCACTATGAAATTCCAACTTCAAACAAAACTTTGGTAAAAAAAAAACAAGATAAAGATATGGGGTTTTAGCATTAAAAGTCAGACCTATTATGTAAGGTTTATCTGATTGAATATCAGGAATACTGGATTGACTGATCAAAATGTCTGCTCAAAACCCTATCACAGAACGAGACAGGGATCTACCATCAAACCAACCATCCAGATCTCCTATCATCATAGTAAAGCTCTGAGATCTTCCTGATTGCTTGATTTGCTGGATTACTAATATCCATTGTTTGTATCACAGACAATCATGACAATATCCAGTTACATAACTCAGCCTTGGCTTATTGATTAGAGTCCAATACAAGTCCAAGAGATATCTTGATAGGAATAAATGGCAAGATAAACACAGCTTAAACAAAACTACTTTATTTTAAAACGAGGGTACACAATAGGCTTATCGCAATAAAGATTAATCCATAATCCAATTGGTCGACAGCCCATCACACGAGTGGTTTTAAACGGTTGATAAAACACCACTAAAACACCACTGCGTTCTGTGCCAATCTCCATGAAAGTAGATTTTTAGCGCTACGCGTGAGGCACATACCACAGACATAGCCAGAGGGGTGTTTCAAACATGAAGTAAAATTGTTGAACGAAATCAGAATTTTGTCAATATTTGACTTATTTTCACTTTTTGACCGAAAATGTATTGATGAATTAGGTCCCTAACCGGTATTAACCCTAACCCACCTCACTCCTCCAAAATCCTCCTGGCGGTTTTGGAGGATTCTAGAGGATTGAGGATGAATGGTGATTGAATCACATGAGGATTCTGGAGGATTGAGGATGAATGGTGATTGAATCAAATGAGGATTGAGGATGAATGGTGATTGAAGCACATGAGGATTTTGGAGGATTGAGGATGAATGGTGATTGAAGCACAAGAGGATTTTGGAGGATTGAGGATGAATGCATTTTGAGGCAGGACTGTCTGATGATTTTGAAGGATTTGGCGTTGGTTATCCTTCATTTAAACACGAGTGCAAAGTTTTGGGATGAGGAGGATTTTGGAGGATTGAGGATGAATGCATTTTGAGGCAGGACTGTCTGACAATTTTGAAAAATTTAGGCGGAGTTGCAAAATTTTGGAAAATTTTGGAGGATTTTGGAGGATTGAGGATGGTTGTAAGCAACAAGGGCCTAGGGGGTTAGGGTTAAACGTACTTTCAATATTTATTCACTTATTGAGATATCAATCACCATGTTTTAAACGCACTGCTCAATCTATCAAAAAACTTCAAATCTAGGTGTTGAATTTTGCACACTTTATATAATTGGAGTCAGGGCTGGGTCATATACTTGGCAAAAATCTTACCACGAACTTGAAAACAAAACCGTGACATTAATTAAAGGAATTTGCAAATCATGACACATTTCAACTCCAGCAAATTTCACCACACCTTTCAATTGAATGGGTAACGGGTAGGGTACATACCTGAGTGGAATCCAAACTCGGCCCCACGTGATTTCAGCTTGTCATATATCCCACTGATGCGCTTTGTCGGTCTGCCTGCCCATCGCTCTTCACGTGGCCATCCAATGGCATTGTTCATCCCATATGACTCACGTGCCTTGATACTTGTGTACTCCCTTTCAATAACAATGAAATACAACAACTACATCTCTCTAGTTCCAAATGGTATTATTATCCATAGCATCTAGTATCTTTGCGTGGGCATCAGCAGCTCATTTTATTTGCACCACATTTATATTCCATTGCGTAACATTTCAGTTAGTCTATGGAATATCCCCTTGCAAAGTATTAAAGGGCCTATGATATGCGAGCAAATTTGGCCATCTCCAGATTCTGACGATTCAGCGGGTCAATCAACATAGTCCACATTTTGGATCGAAATGACGTCACAATTTCTAAAGTCAACTCTGATCGGCTGTAAAGCATAATTAGTTTAACTATTACAGTACTCACTCCAACACATTCTAACAAACCCTGGTGTTGGAGTTTGACTGGACGAGGATTGTTAGGGTTAATATAAGGAAGTTACAGCTTTGTTTCTGAGGTGAATGAAATACTATTTTACCCTTGACAGAATTTTGAGAGTTGACAACTGATTTCAAAGAAACCCTGATTTTTTTTTTTCAAATGCATGGTGCGCTAGGGTAATTTAATGACTGTTTTATGACTGGTAGTGGAAATATACACTGTGGTTATCCTCGTCCAAGATGTTTCAAATATTTAAAACGTTGCACAACTACGTCAAGTTTTGTGAAATCATTCATGAGTTTATTGTTCAGCTGTTTAACAAGTTTTGGCATGGCATAAGTTGAGCAATGTGTTGTGAAATCGACTGCTATCATGGTTATTACATGATGGCATTGCATACAAGTAAATGGAGTCAGGTTGGCATAGCGGTACTTTCCTCGCCTTCCACCGCTGTGACCCGGGTTCGAATCCCGCCTGAATTTCCCCAGAATATTCCTCTGGGCTTTTCCTCCCACCTCTAAAACTGTACTTTCTTCTCATTGTCTTCTCTCCACAGGTTTCTTCAGGCTTGCGAGCTACAGTGCCTAGGGCACTTTTGAGGAATCCTTGGTTTCATTACCAGAAATATATAATAGTAACAATACTAAAAATATCTCCTTTTATTCTCTTTTTATTAATGCTAAGACGGTACGTACAAGGAGTTGTAAAAAAAAATCTTAAAATTTGAAGCCAAACCATCTACTTAGCAATGTACTTTTCTCACTTCAAGAAGTTGTTTTATATCCACAGTTTTATTTAATATATTCATATTTGTATTTACTATAATGTCCCTGCCTGACAGACCACACATACTCACCAAAGAGATTTATTCACATGGTGCTACCGCAAACCTTTCTTGCCTTACTATAATGTTCATTGCATTTTTCGGTTTATTTCATGTACTACACTTTTAATTTGGCCTCAGGGCCAGAATTGGTGTAAAAACAAATAAATCTAAATCCAAATTCTTGAAACTTTCTTGTAGTGTAAAATATTGAACTAACCCACCTGGTTGTCCAGTTGCCATAGCGATTGGCATCTATCTCCACGAGATCATAGGGAGGCTCCCCATCAATCATCCAGTCGCTAAGGTACTTGCCAATACCCCCAGAATGAATTATGCCGTATCTGAAATAACAAAATAGTACCAAAAAAAATCTCCCTTTAACTCCTTCGTAAATACTCCCCTCCCCAAACTTTTTAACTTTAAACTCGTTGCGTGCCAAGGAAAAGGACGTTAGCTGCCAAGGCATGTACAAAACATGTTTCGAGATAATCCCATTTCTAAATAAATAAAACTGCAGAAGGGAAAAGTGTCACTCGTGAAATTTGTTAATATTTGGAATAAGATTGTGCATTTTGATTTCAAAATATTACTTAATTTTGAAGTTAGCAGTATGTATACTATTATTGGATTCCATCATGTTGATAAGCACACTTTAAACATCTTTTGTTACAATAGGCATTGTAACAATCAATGTTTGCAATAGCCAACATTGATTTTTAGGTTTTCATCACTCAAAATTAATGTAACACCTTGGAATGTCGTGCACAATGTTTGCCTGCAAATCAGTGCAACCATGCATGTGGATTCGGTGAGAAACTTGTCTGGAAAATGCAATTATTAAATTTTGGAGAAAAACATACACTTTGAGAAAAAAAATTTTAAACATTAAAAAACATCGGGAATAGAGTGAAAATCAAGGCGGGCAATGAATAAAACCAAAAAGTCAATGTTGCATGGCGTAGTAGTTACACTTACTAGTCGATACATACGAACTGTAACCGCCCATATTACGTGTCAACAGAATGTTCAACTGAAGTTCATCCACATGAACAAACAGTATTGCGTTATACCCGCAACCCCTTATTTTGACCTCTGCCCATTTCTGTCCCATTTTGCCAAAATGCCTCACATATTAACACGTAATGGTATAACAATCAGTAACAGTAAAAAAAAAACAATGAAATTTATAGACAACAGCCTTACATAAATGTTTTGCAACATAAGCATAAGTGGATAATGGGTCAACCAAGGCATGGGACTGCAACAATATCTGCAAATGTGTATGCAATGGCAAGAAGAATGGTTTACCCTGAGCCACAGGCCAGCCAGAAGTTCCTGAGTCCTTGGTAAGGTCCTATCATGCCTAAGACATCAGGGCTATAGGTGATAGGTCCACAGACGACGCTCTGGATGTCAGCATTCTGGAGGACTGGTACGCGTTGCATGGCCCCTTCCACATGCTCCATCAGTCGATCTACATCACTCTCAAATAACTCCTTACCAAAACCTACAATTAATGGTACAAGGGGTTTCTTTCACTGCATAAATAAATGCAAGCCATCTACACTGAGTAAAAAAAACACGAAACCCAAATGTTGGGACCAATGTTTTAGTGAAGTTCTGCATGTCCCACTTTCAAAATCTAGGATATGAAAGCCCAATTCATATGCTTTCTTTTAGTACAAGAATCATTTCAATCACACATGCAATTTTAAAGTTACGGAATTTTAAACACAACCATCAGATCACAAAAAGGTGAGAGTTCTTTCAGCAAAACGAAAACAAATCACATAGGGAATTGTTTTCATTTTGCTGAAAGAACGCACACCTTTTTGTGATCCGTGGACAGAACTTTAAAACAGTGGTTGTGTTTAAAACTTCAAAAGTACAAAATTGTGACGTCATTTCGATCAGAAATGTGAAAAAGCTGTTGATTGGTCAATTTGGCTGCCATGTTTTTGTAATACAACAATGGGTTACGGAAGACCTGATAGAAGGTGCCCGCTGAATGGTCAAAATCTCCAGGTCAAGATGCAGTTTTGTTTTGCATAATTAATCGCCAAATCTACCCGCATATCATAAACCCTCGCTGTGCAAGGCGACATCCCATAGACTAATTCCCTACCTGGGGGAACACCGTCTTTTATCCAGTTGTCTTGAAGTTTCATCTTATGGCTCTTCTCATAGGGTCCCATCAGCAGGCCTGACCGCTCCTGCCTCAAGTAGTAGGAATTCTCCAGATCCCTGATGACTGGTGGTTCTTGCTTCAAGGCTTGGACCTCCGGGATGGCCGAGGTGATGAGATACTGATGCTGGATGGCTATCATCGGCAGCTCCAGGCCGACCATACGACCCACGTCGGTAGCCCAGAAACCTGGTGCAACAAAGAAGGGGGGCAAACAGGGATGTCAAGTCTGAGTGTGACCCGCTCTGCGCAAAGGAGTCTGGTTGGGGCAAAACTGACGTTTTGAGTTAACTACATTAGTGAATTTGGAATCATGATCTCAGCTTTCATTTGGTATATCACGGATCTCTCTAGGATATTTGGTTGCACTGCTGTGCTTGTTTCATTCTGTCCTATTCTTACAAAGCTAGAAACGTCTCAACGGAGAAAAGAAGGGTTTGAAACATGACAGATATACTGTAACTAAACCAAGAAAAGCACCAAAAATCCTCATTTTCGTCAATATCTAAATTTCTGTGTATTATCAAACAGCCAAAATAAAACAAAAACCAAAAATCTAAATTGCAATCAAATGTTCACTGTTTTTATTTCAAAATGGCAAAAGCTTGAATTCAAATTATGCGACATCCGACTCACTTTTGCAGAGTGGGTCACAAGTGTCTGATCATTTTGATTTGGTTCTGACAGCACTCTCAGTATGCATTTATTTTCTCTGTAATTTATATCCCCTGATTTCACTGTTATGAAAAACTGTTACCAGTCCGATTCCACTAACCCTTACCTTCCCAAATCCTCTTTGCAAAATGAAGTATTTTGAGGCTATATGGCAAAATTGTGTGACTGATTTTGGAGGACGCAGTGTGTCAAAGTCTTGGGCCAAACCTTGTGTTGTTAATGCTCATCCGTGCGTAAATTTAGGCCTATATTATACTAGAAATCCTCCACACTGCTCCAGGATGTGGCCGTTGGAAGATTTTACAGGATTAAGGATGGTTCCTAGCCATAAGGGCCTGGGGGGTAGGGTTAATAGCGACATACATGTACTCCACATATTGGACTTACCTGCAGCATTCACGACGTGTTTAGCTTGCAGTGTGCCGTGTTCTGTTTCTACATCCCAGCCCCCATCACTGCGCTGCTTCAGGCCTTGCGTACTCACCGGCATGTAGATCTCGGCTCCGTATTTGCGTGCACCAATGGCGTAGGCTTGGGTCAGAGAGTAAGGGTCAATGTGGCCACAGCCTGGGTTATACAGACCACCCAATATCTACAGGCAAAAGGGTGGGCAATATCCCAAGATTAGTGACATTTGAGAACAGGTGTAGCTTGTTTTGTTTGCATGTAATCCTCACCTTTCATTATAAACACACGTGTACACCAAATCATCTAGATATGAAAATGTCAAATATTTTTGGTACAAGTCAATTTCTACTAAACTTCAACAAAAATCTCCTATTAAAAATTGTGGAAACTATTGGTTTCATCACAAGTAATCAAACAAATGTGACCTCCCAACACAAAACGAATAAGCTGTAAAGTAGCATGTATGTTTTGCAATATTCATTTGAATAAATACGTTGAACACATGTCATTGAATTATTCGTCCCAATGCATAGTGCCACACCCCCCCCCCCACCACCAGTCTTACCCCGTCCATGTTGAGCAGAGGATGGATTTCAGCCACCTTCTCTGGCCCAATCAGTTCCTGCACTGCTTTATTCCAGCCGGCCCGAGCCATCTGGTACCTGGCCTCGTCCATGCGGTCTGGTGTAGTGATGAGACGCAGGCTACCTGGCTGATGGAAGCCCACTTGCTATACATGTTAATGACAAAAGAACAATAATAAAACAATTTGTATTTATAAAGAGCACATATCCACCAATATTGATGCTCAAGGCGTTACATCATTATTACCCTGATCGTTGGGCCAATGAACATTCCAAAGACAATCTCAGCTCCCTGGGGAGTATACAGCTCGATGCTGCCATTTTGGCACCAAGCAGCTAAAATCAACCATAACAACCATAGTACCCAATTTACGCCTGGGTGGGGAGAAGCAATGAGCGACAAGGTGTCTTGCCCAAGGGCACACGTACAACAAACCCAGGCTGGCCTCGAACCCACAACCTACAACCCACAACACGAATTCAATGCTCCAGACCACGAAGGCTAGGCACACCACAAAAAAATAGGGGTTAATGACACTTCAATCTGCCTGTTAAAATTGTTATGTTTCTTAGCAATGCATTTAATTCAACTGTTAAACATAACAATCTTTCAGTATAGCTTTAAAAAAAAAACAGAGACTTTGGTTTCACTTTTGTTTTTACTAGCCAGCCAGGCTACTGAAACAGTCCGCATGTTTTTTTCTTTTATAGAGTGTCTCATAAACAACAATGTGCATACATGTAAAACGTGTATCCTGAGGCAATCTTGTCAGTGTTTTTAATAAACGGATCTAATAATTCAACCCTAAACAGTTAATAAAATTAGACGCAAATTGATACAGGTTTGCTTTCTGAATTTAATGATGTATTTCTAGTGGAGCTGCTAAGCGAAAAAACGTGCACTTTGTGGTAAAAGCATGAAATTTGGCATGTGTGGTCAAAATGGGCTAAAAATCATTTTAAGATCGGGACCCATCCTGGATCTTGCCCATTTTGGGGGCGGAGCTTGATTTTTCAAAAAAGGGGGTGCAAACAATACAAACTCATGAAAACTGTATTTAACATCAAATTTCCTTGTTTTTTTTACGCTTTGAAATAAACTTAAACATGAAATAAGACATTCTAGCATTCTAACACCTGTTAATTTTCCACCCATTTTGTGGGCATGGTCTAAATGGTAAAAGAGGTGGTATATATTAGCAGTTTGGTTCTAATATGGAAAACGTCATTCAGTTTGGTGGTAAAATTCTGAAAATTGGCATGTCCAATTGAAATGGGCGAACATAATTTTTTGAGGTGAACGCATCTTGGATCTTGCCCATTTGGGGGGCAAAGCTTGATTTTTCAAAAAGGGGAGTGCAAAAAAAGAAAACTCAGAAAACTGTATTTTACATTCACTTTGTAAATTCTAACATTCTTACGTGTTATTTTCACCCTTTTGCGGGCGTGGCCTAAATATGTAAAGAGGTGGTACATTAGAGCAGCTTGATTCAAACGAGGGAAAATCATCATTTTTGCTGGTAAAAACACAACTTTTCTATCGGTTAACTATGTTTACCATACACTGTAAAGATAAGTTTAAACGGTTGCAAGACTAATTGTTGCCCTTTTGTTTACTCACCCTGTTCATGCCATATTTTCAATGGGGAGCGCCAATAAAATCCTAAAATCATTCACGCTATATTAACTAATGTACCCTTGTCACAGCTATTTCTTCTTTAGGGGGAGACCGTTCGCATGTACATCACAATCCTTCTTTATGCTAATGCAATTTTTTTTTTTACGGAATTTATTTTGGGGGGGCTAGACAAAATTTTGGGGGGCTACAGCCCCCTAGCCCCCCCCCCCCCCCCCCCCCGGTAGAACCGCGCCTGCGTCCATTCCTTGCAGTGTGTACTGTTGGATTTATATTAGATGGATGTTGGGACTTGGGGGAGTAATGTGTTACTGACTGAAAAGGAGGGAATAATGTTGGGTTTTTTCAAGAAATTATGTAACTTCTTAAATAATGCGTTAGCAATGTCCAGTTTGCTGACGTCACGATCCTAAAACCTCATAAAGTCATTGTGTTTTTCTATATAATATCTAAGGGTAAGTTTGGTAAAATTTGGATGAATGGTTTTTTTATGCCCCGCGGCGAAGCCGAAGGGGCATACTGTTTCCGCCTTGTCCTTCCGTGGGTGGGTGGGTGTGTGAGTTTGTCTTACATTCCCTATGTGGACTTGTGAACAAAAGATGTCTACATAATGCAGGTTGTGTTAACGTTATGTGGACTAAGCCGTGTCCACATAAGGTTTTGCCCTTTCTGGAAAATAGGTTTAGAGGCATTTTTGGGTTAGGTTTATCCGTAGCAGAATGAAGAGAAACACTATAGGGAATCATAGAAAAAAAATTGGGTTGAAAGAGTTTTCACAGTTTAAGTAAAGTTATTTTTTGTACCGAGTTTTCTTAACTACACGAAAACAAAGGAATGTCCACACAAGGTATGTAACGTAAACCTGGGTGTGTGTGTGTGTCCGGACAAATCTTGTCAGCGGGATAACTTGAGAAATACTTAAACATATGAACTTCAAATTTGGTTCGTGTATTGTTCTTGGTAATCCTAAGAAGCCTATTGCATTTGGGACCGAAAGGTCAAGGGTCGATGTCACAGTGGCTGAAACAATAGAAATTTTGTCAGCGCGATAACTTGAGAAATACTTTACATATGAACTTCAAATTTGGTTTGTGGATTGTCCTTGGCAATCCTAAGAAGCCTTTTGCATTTGGGGCCAAAAGGTCAAGGGTCAAGGACACAAGTGGCTAAAACAAAAGAAATTTTGTCAGCGTGATAACTTGAGATATAGGCCTACTTTACATATGAACTTCAAATTTGGTTTGTGGATTGTCCTTGGCAATCCTAAGAAGCCTTTTGCATTTGGGGCCAAAAGGTCAAGGGTCAAGGTCACAGTGGCTAAAACTAAAGAAATGTTGTCAGCGTGATAACTTGAGATATACTTTACATGTGAACTTCAAATTTGGTTTGTGGATTGTCCTTGGTAATCCTAAAAAACCTATTGCATTTGGGGCCGAAAGGTCAAGGGTCAAGGTCACAGTGACTAAAACAAAAGAAATTTTGTCAGCGCGATAACTTGAGAAATACTTTACATGTGAACTTCAAATTTGGTTTGTAGATTGTCCTTGGCAATCCTAAGAAGCCTTTTGCATTTGGGGCCAAAAGGTCAAGGGTCAAGGTCACAGTGGCTAAAACAACAGAAATTTTGTCAGCGTGATAATTTGAGATATACTTTACATATGAACTTCAAATTTGGTTTGTAGATTGTCCTTGGCAATCCTAAGAAGCCTTTTGCATTTGGGGCCAAAAGGTCAAGGGTCAAGGTCACAGTGGCTAAAACAAAAGAAATTTTGTCAGCGCGATAACTTAAAGAAATACTTTACATGTGAACTTCAAATTTGGTTTGTGGATCGTTCTTAGTCATAGGCCTATCGCATTGGGGGTCGAAAGGTCAAGGGTCAAGGTCACAGTGGCTAAAACAATAGAAATCTTGTATTTATTCTGAGATCATAGGGTTTAGGGATTAATTCTATATAAAACCTACACGAACATGTTTGCTTAATTTTCATTCATACAGATGCGAGTAAATGCTTCAAAATTGGAAGTACCAGTAAAAGCAAATGCCATGTTTTATTCGTACGAACATGGTATCATTTGTACTTTATGAACTTTGTTAATATTAATTTTTCGCGATTAACACAAAATAAATGCTGTAGCTTTTGCGCAGAATTATTTGCTTTATAATTTCAAGGTTGCCCCAACCCAGCCTTGTGAATGACAAGTGCATATTTGAAATCTGAAGCATTTACTCCTTTATATTCATACGAAACGTACAGATGGGAGTAATGCAAATGCCAGTTTTTATTCATACAAACTACCATATGGTATTATTTGTACTTTTTCGCGATTAACATTAATAAATGCAATAATTTTTGCTCATAATTTTGTGCTTTTATATTTTCAAGGTAGCCCCAACCCAACCTTGAAATATGACAAGTAAATATTTAAAATTTGTAGCATTTACTCCTTTTTATTCATAAGAAACGAAGTAAACGCTTATAGTGTAGCAAAAGCTTAAAGGTAAAAGTAATTATTTTCAGAATTTAGCAAACGGTTTTTAGTAAAAGTGTTTGCTTAATTTTCATTCATACAGATGCGAGTAAATGCTTCAAAATGGTAGCAAAAGCAAATGCCATGTTTTATTCATACGAACATGGTATCATTTGTACTTTATGAACTTTAATAAATGCAGTAATTTTTGAGCAGAAGTATTTTACTTTATAATTTCAAGGTTGCCCCAACCCAGCCTTGTAAATGACAAGTGCATATTTGAAATCTGAAGCATTTACTCCTTTATATTCATACGAAACGAAGTAAACGATAAATAATTTTTTTCTGGTAATGAAACCAAGGATCCTCAAAAGTGCATGCCCCAGGCACTGTAGCTCGCAAACCCCCCAAAAAAAAACGTAGAGAGAAGACAATGAGAAGAAATTACAGTTTTAGAGGTGGGAGGAAAACCCCAGAAGAATAGTCTGGGGAAAACCCACGGAATCAGGTAGGGACTGAAAACCCAATCCACATGTAGACCATAGGTGCCGATGCACAGCGCATTGTGCACGTAAACGGCATTGCGTTCGTCACGTTTGGTGCGCTTTTTTTGTATCTGTCCTCCAGCACGTGACCCTCCCCGGTGCCGCTTTCCGTTTCGGTTATGATAGTTTTATTTTCTGCAAACTTATAAACATGTAAAGCTTTACATTTTGCAGGCCATTTACTCAAGAGCAAATGGTGTTTAGTAAAAGTGTTTGCTTAATTTTCATTCATACTGATGCGAGTAAATGCTTCGAAAGTGGTAGAAAAAGCAAATGCCATGCTTTATTCATACAAACATATGGTATCATTTGTACTTTATGAACTTTAATAAATGCAGTAGTTTTTGCGCAGAATTATTTTGCTTTATATTTTCAAGGTTGCCCCAACCCAGCCTTGTAAATGACAAGTGCATATTTGAAATCTGAAGCATTTACTCCTTTTTATTCATACAAAACGAAGAAAACGATTATTAGGCCAAAAAAGGCTCTGGTTTCTGGTATGCGCGCGCGTCGCCATAGCCATGCGCGTCGGCAATGTAAGATGATGTCTTTCAATGTAAGATGATGTCTCAAACCACCAAACTCACTGGTTCGACTGGAATCCTGCTGCTGCACAATTTTAACGTGTTATTTCTCATAAAGTTATTTCTCATGTCTAAGTTTATTTCAAGCATGAAGAACAAAGGAAAATGGATGTTAAATACAGTTTTTCTGAGTTTTTTTATTTTTTGCACTCCCCTTTTTGAAAAATCAAGCTCCGCCCCCCAAAATTGTGCAAGATCCAAGATGTGTTCACCTCTTAAAATTATTTTTAGCCCATTTTAACTAGACCTGCCAATTTTCAGGATTTTACTACCAAACCGAATAATGTTTTCTATATTAGAACCAAACTGCTAATATATACCGCCTCTTTTGTACATTTAGGCCACGCCTACAAAATGGGTGGAAATTAACTGGTGTTAGAAAGCTAGAATGTTATATTTTATGTTTAAGTTTATTTCAAACCATAGAAAAACAAGGAAAATGGATGTTAAATACAGTTTTCATGAGTTTGTATTGTTTGCACCCCCTTTTAAAAGAAATCAAGCTCCGCCCCCAAAATGGGCAAGATCCAGGATGGGTCCCGATCTTAAAATGAATTCTAGCCCATTGGGACCCCACCTGCCAAATTTCATGCTTTTACCACAAAGTGCACGATTTGGGCCAAAAATGGACCTAAGCCATGTAAGCAGCTCCACTATTCTTCCTGTCCTTTCATCTTTGCCGTAGCCTAATAATTTTTGACTCGCCAGCTGGGCAACTTAAGGAATAGTTTGACTAGCCCGCCGCTGTTTTGACTAGCATTTGGCTAGCCGGCTTCCGCTAAAGTCGAACCCTGCAATAGTAAATATCCATTTCTTTGGAATTTGAAAGCAATCACTGAAGGCAACAATATATTTCCTAGTCTTCAAAATAACATTTCTGTGGAGTTGTCCAGACAAATGTTTCAGGTCGAAAGCCACCAACTAACCTAAAAGGGTGTAGATCATAATGCTCACATCTCTAACGGTGCTAGTAAGCAAATATTGTTGGACTTCAGTAACGCGCCTTTATATGTACACTTACCTGTCCAGTCTCAGCCTCCAGTTGCTCAAACAGTTTGACACTGTAATAGTGAATGTTTCTCAAGTTGATGCCTGGATGGAAATACGTTGTCAATCCAGCCTTTGAACAGAATAAGATTAAATTGGTTAAAGCTACAGTCCATCATTTGCAGTTATCCAAAAAGTAACTGACAAAATTATTGTTGAAAAGTGTACTTGGTTGAAAGAAGATAGTAATGAGACTAAACTCCCTGTAAAATTCTTCTTTCTGGCATGCTGTCATTTTGAAGAAATCAATGAAAAAAGGTCATTTCCAAATTTCTAAAGACACATCCTTTGCAATTTCCAATCGGCGAAGCCTGCGCAAGCATTGACACGATGCACACACGTGCACGGTTGCTGTAATTTGTTTGTTCAGTGTGCTACATCGCAGTGAGAACGTGTCTCGGATGCTGAATTCAGGCCCAATTCGAAACATGCCTCAGTAACTTTTGATTTGAAATCGAGATCCTAGAATATTGTTTTCTCGGAACATACAGCATTCACTGAGCTGAAACTTCATCAGGTTAGTTGTTCATGCAGTGCCCTTCTTTAGATTTTGAGCACTTTTGTTGCTTCAAACGAATAAAATGCACAAATTGTACAAATGATGAATGTTACCTTTAAAAGAAGGATACAAACACTCCTGGATATTGATGAGCTACTGTATCCCACAAAATTCATTGTGCTAATTTTCCATAACATCACAAAGCAAGTTCTACAGGGTTAAAAGGCTAAACTTAAAAGGCCAAGCTGCCTTACCCAATGTAGCGGGTAAGGCGAAGCCTCGCCATTAATATAATGTACATACATACATGTACTTGTCAGCCTTGGAAAAGGACTGTACTTCACTGGGGTTGTGCATCGGAACCGGGTACCCAAGTGCCCGACTGATAATGTCAGGAACCGGTTCCAGATTATGAGATCGGGTACCCGCAACCCACTTTCCAAATTACTTGTTACTTTTAAGACAATGAAAAAGAAGGGTTCTAAAGTCAGTTGTGGGGAATTTTCAGAATGAAAACCAGGCCACATGGGAAAACAAAACATATTTCACTTTTATGACACTCGCGAAATATGCAGTTTACAGGATCCAACTATGTCATATACCCGATGGTGCCTGTTGGATTGAGCAGTTAACCCCTAGAGTACATTCCTGATGCAAAATGTTGGATTCAGCAGGCAACTGAACCACATTATAACGCATTGTTGGACTCCGGTGGATTCAGTGGACAACTGAAAACGAGGCGCAGTGGATTGAGCAGGAAAGTCCGATTGGACTCTGTTGGATTCAGCAGGGTAGTCCTAAGGAAGTACTAGGGGGTAGCGTTAAGCTAATAAAGCTCACTGTACACACTTTTATCTTGCTGTATTGATTTCTAATGCAGTAGTATTATCTTGCAGACCTTTGTAAACAATCACCGAGATTTGATTATTGGCAAGTTTGGCATTGGGTTTCTTATAACGGGTACCTGAGTACCCGTTTTTTTTCAATCAAGTACCCGGTTCCTGTACTACCCGTAAATGCACAGCCCTATACATGTACTTCACTGGTCATAGTTAACCAGTCGTCCTTGACTCAACTTGCTCTTTACTTAGTGTACTTAGAGGACAGAGAAGTAGCCTGATAAGGTGAACTTACAGCATGCCAGGTGGACCCAGCAGTGAGCTCAGATTTCTCCAGTAGGACCACATCTTTCATGCCAGCCTTGGCCAGATGGTAGGCTATACTCGTCCCTACACAACCTCCGCCAATCACTACCACCTCAGCTGACTCCTTCAGTCTCTTGTTCAGCTTGCCAGACGTTGCTTGTCCATTGCTACATAGAGAAAATACAGTACTTACAAAAGCTACACAGGCTCAAGTTTTATGTTGCAACAAAATTGCTCAAAAATCTGAAATACAGTGCATCAACTAAACTGTTCAAGTTTCAGCTCAGTCGATACTACACATTTTTTTAAAATAGAGAAAATGTATGTAATATTTTTTGGGTCTAGTAACTGACTCTGTTACTAATTCACATCAAAAAAAGTGTCTGCGGGCAATTTTTGAGCAATTGGGAGTCAGTCTATGGCATAGAGCTCAAAGTCAAGTTAAGAACATTAACTGGCATATAAAAATGTGCTCTTTTTGGAACCTGGTAACCTGAATGTGATGATATGCTTCTTTTGACAAACTTTACTTGCAATACTATTGAAGCGTTGTTTCAAGGGCCTATAGTGTACTTTCTTGAAATTGCACATTTTTACTACAGGCTATCCAAGTTTTAGGATATGTACATTCATTATTATAAGAAGGAATTCGGTGTTGTGCAAATGTAAATGTTAATCTTGGTTTTCGCCTTACAGGCCAGCTGACCCTAGCCAGCCTAGCTCAGGGGTCGTGTGGTAAGATGTCTGCACTAAAGTTAGCTGGAGGGCACATACTTTAAGAAACTTCGTCGATAAAGCAAAACCCAGTACTAAATTTGGGATGCACAGTTTTTCAGACAAGTACATACCTAGCATAATGTGCATTGTTTCCTGTGGAGAATGACGCTAATGAGGGCAGCCATGCGCGGCCTGGGTCACAGGCCTGACGTGACCTCAGGAAAGCTTGCGTGATTCGTCGATGCAGCATACTAGCCATCTCACAGCAGCCAATCAAAAGCTAGCAGGAAATCACATGGACAAGCCACTCGGTGTGCTTGGGTCAACAATTAGTGTTGATACTTGGCCACCCAAAAGCTGCATGATACCAACAAAATGGACAAAACACAAATTATTTATAATGAAAAGATACATATGTACACATACGCTTAAAGAATGAATAACTCAAATTCAGTTCTGATCATGAACTAGCCCCATAATGTAGCTCAAATAGGCCTACTGGACTTCCTCCATATTGTGAGCCACACAGTGGTTACAATTGCATTTTGAAAGTCCTTTAAGATAAAGTAAATTCTACAACTATCAAATCAACTTTGAAATTTGATGATTCTACCTAACTATAAGTTTAAGACGTCCAGTGGCAGACCATCACCGGTCACCGTGGAGAGATGCATAGAATCTAGACCATGTACACAGACGTTTCAGAAAGAATGTTGGGAAAAAAATATTGCAACCTGACGCCACTTTTTTTCTTCCTATGAAGGTCAGTCATTGCAAAAGAAATCTGGGACTGACAAACATTCCCAATTTTGTTAGGAAAACATTTTCTTGACTCTCCATAGACTTTGTAAACAGCTGCTGAAGTGGCGTTTATTACTACATTCTTTTCGATGTTTCTTTTGACTCACAGGTAGACCTCCATGATTGATTGTACACATGTATAGCCCCATTCTAAAACCACGCACTGGAGTAAACTCCTTGCTCAAGGCCGCTACATACATACATGTACATTGTACATATGTGCAAATTCATGAACTCAAAAAAGTTAGCATCTGCATCATAGGTTCCTAGTTGTAGAGGAATCTTAACTTTGGAAAGGTCTGCCCTGGATGAGAAGATAGTCTCGCTTCCAGTGCCCATACTCAAGCTCACAAGCGTATACCAACTCCTTCTTTCCTCGCACACGGCGTGACTGGAACACACTTAAGAAGGACCCCGCAGCATCTCCATCCCTTGACGCCTTCAAGTCTGCGCTGAGGGATCAATCAGTGATGTAAACCACATACATCACTTTTTTACTCTGCACATCTGTACATACTGCACCTGCACGCATTCACACACACACCACAGTCGCAGCGACTATACTCATCTTTTGAGGACTGCACTCCATGGAAGGAAGGAAGGAATCTCGATCAAAATCGGTAGCAAAATTGCTACATCAGAGTTCAGCGTTTAGGGGAGCATTGGGTGTCTGGCCGTACTACAGAGCTCGCGATAGTACTGTACGGCCAGATGCAGTCGGGCTAGGGAAATGATAGCGTTTTCTCGTAATGATCATAATTTCGCCTGACATGCCTGAGTTACACGAGTGACACTTAGTCCGAGTACTTTTTTTTTTTTAACATAATGGTTGGGCGAAAGTAGGGTCTGGGATCAATAACCATACTGCGTGTTAACATTAACAGTGATTAGCAAAGATCCTATAGCATCGTAGGCGCTGCAAGCGGCGCTATAGGATCTTTGGTTACTAAATAGCTAGTCCGAAAATTTGGGACTCTCAATACTAGTCTGACTTTAGCCCCATTTTGGAATCACTTGACTTCCTTCTCATGTGCAAAATATGTTGAAGAAAAGTCTCCTTTAAAAATTGAATTCAGTCTGCAAACTTGGTTGGTGAAATACTGAGTTCCAGTGGAATATTTTTGGAGAAATTTGCTGGCTAAGCTGTGAGTAAAGTGTACCTGATTTAGTTTTGCACGTTTCAGAGCACTCCAGTGCCCTGGTTAGCAGTTGAGTTAGTAAAAATAGCCTAGGCCATGTACATGATGTATGTACGCCCTAATTTTTTTTTTTTACCATTTTCATTCGTACCCCCGAACAAAATCTTCAGATTTCACCCCAAAACAGTCTTCAAAGTGCCTTATGCGCCCTTGTAAGCTTCAGTGGGAATTGAAAATACAAATGGTGGTGGTTAGGTTCACATACTTTTGTGAAGAAAAGAGAAATTTCACCTTCAATTGGGAGACTGATAAGTCGATAACTAATCACAACAGTGGACGTCGCGTCCACGTACGATAAAACAGAATTGCGCCCTCAATTGACACAACATGCTCATGCGCTGATCAGAGTGTTTTCGAAACGACTAGCTATGGCTTCGTTTTTGGCTTAATGACATTTTAGGCCCTTACTTTAACTTCTGAAATTCCAGCTACATTTTGGTGCATGTTATGCGTCAGGAACATTCAATCGGTTGACATGAAGCCAAAATTTTGAATATTGTTGTTTAGTTTGCCTCTCAGTCTCAGTGATTCAGAAGTCGGAGACGAAGCCAAAGCCGAAACGAAGCAAAGGTTTCGAAAACGCTCCGTTTCCCGGCCCTTTAAAAAAAGATATGGGGACCTTTAACTAGCTCCCATTTGAAGCCTTTGATTGGATCGCCTCAGGCTACACGCACGCATCATGATTGTATATTTTTGAATCGCTGTTCAACTTGCATTTGCATGGACGCCGGTGATTGAACTCACGATTATCAAGTAATATTTCTCTCTTTCTTGATATTTGCAGGAGATCGAACAAATCGAAGCTCGTTACCTTTACAATTGCACATTCGTGGCTTTTTCCGTTGTGATTTAGAATTCACGAGGCGAGGCGAGGCGGTAAAAAAAACACTCCATTTGAAGAAAAAACTTATAAAACTTATTGACTTTGTTGAATGTTGAAGAACCCGGCCGGCCATTGCTTTTAATATCGGAGAATAATAAGCCTCTTCTGCGATAAGTGATTGTTCATCCTCCATGTCACAAATTAATCTCATTATCAACCGACGCAGCGGCAGAATTTAGGTTTTGCGCATGCTCATGCATAGATAATTAGGAGAGGGACCGGTCACGTGAGAGGGTTTAACCAATAAAAGGGGAAAAGAGTCTGATTTTCACAATGAGTCCGATTTTCATATGACACCGTACCCATGTGTGCTTGAGGATTAATTCCCAAGCGTCGCGAGGGGCGGGGGTGGCAAGGAGGCGCTTCAATCCCCCCCCCCCCCCCAACCAGAAAAGCCACCAAAGAGAAGACGAGGTACGAAGTCATATTGCTATTAATGTATTCATGGAGCTTAAAAGGGGTTTAATGCACATTTAACAATATGGGCGTACGGGTGTCAATGGGGAGGGGGTGGGCAAATGTCCCTCCGCCCACCCTCGAAGAATGATAACTAGGGAATATGCTATATAGAGAGAAAGTATGTGGATTTTGGGTAAGAAAGTGCTTCCCCCCCCCCCTAGAAAAAATCCTGGCGACGCCCATGGAAACCCCCTACCGGCCCTCCGCTCTGTAAAAATGCACACGCTCAACAGCTGTTGATATGTGGCGGATTTCATGACAGTTTGACTAACAATGTTGATCATGCCCAGGTACTGGTATTTTTGCTGTGTGTACAGAAAGTAAATAATAAGGGAAAAGCTGCATGGGGAAATTAAATGCAAAACCACGGCAAGATTTATCCGAGTAATTATGAGGTTTGATGCCTACCTTAACTTTGCCCACTGAAGCCTTGCAGTATAAAATGAATGCAGCTTCAAAACATCCCTGGTGTACCCCGTTGTGAACAAGCCAAGGCCCCGTCGAGTTCTTGTATGCAGAAGATAGGCCAGAGTCAGCTGGTGTGGTCCAGTGCATTCCAGTTCAAAATGTAAACAGAGAGACGATAAGCAGGCAGGATTAATAAAATGCCGATTCTCTGATTGATTGTTTCGTAGTGCAAACCCTCGATAACCGATACCCGTTGTATTCGAATCAAATAATCGCTTCCAATGTTTGCCTAATTCTGAATCATTTTTGTTACAGAAGCGATAGAGAATTAATCACCTAAAATAAAGACAAGCAACAAGTGTGTGTAGCAACAATTCATCGATTGCCCCAAACTGGCAAATTTCTGAGATGACCCGATATAATCGATACCAGTTCTACCCAAACACCTTCATTTTGTAGTATCGATTATTAGTTTCTGCTACGCTAGTATGTAGTATTATGATGTGGCGCTAGCAAGCAACTCGGCCACTTGCCTTGTGCAGCACACCCAGGACAGATCGCTTCAACGCCGATCCTCGCTTTGTACATCAGCTGTCGAGCCTGCCAATTCGTGCAACATGCCGAAAAAGGTAAAACAAAAATCCTCGTCGTTTCTGAAGCTATCTTCTATATATAAATTACATTCAGGAAACACTAACATTTCCCTGCAGTAGTCTCGAATTCAAAGAGGAGAGAGTTGACCTTGGATGATCTTAGCCCCATAAATGTGGCCTATTTACTGGACTGCCTCCGTAAACATAGGCCACACATCCACATGTACAAAAATCGTGTCGACGGAGCCAAATTTTGATTTTCACATTTAGGCTTAGTTTGTAGGGGTTTTTTTGCTTTAGAAGCATACTCACCCTCTTTATAGGCTAATCAGAAAGTGCTGCCTTTTTCAGATGTATATTTTTCGTGAAATTTCCAGATTCATTTTTACACATTTGCGTATCAAAATTTCAACATGAAATTTCACAAAAATTAGACATCTGAAAAAGGCAGCACTTTCTGATTAGCCTGTAAAGAGGGTGAGTATGCTTCTAAAGCAAAAAAACCCTACAAACTAAGCCTAAATGTGAAAATCAAAATTTGGCTCCGTCGACACGATTTTTGTACATGTGGATGTGTGGCCTATGTTTACGGAGGCAGTCCAGTAAATAGGCCACATTTATGGGGCCAGGATGATCTGAGCAATTTTGGCACGCCCTCTCCCCTAGCATGTTTGTTACTCTTATTTTTTTGCTTTGTTAAAATTAAATTTTGAATGGAAATGATTCTTGTATGGCAAATTAATTTTGTTAAGTGGTGGGATGAGAGGCTGAACGTTTCCCACATAATAGTGCCACACAAATCGATACATTTCTCGTGTTCCAAACTTGCAAGAGAGGAATGTACGAGACATGTAAAAAAAAAAAAAAAAATGTGCGTTTTCAAACATTGTCAAAAACACAGAAAAACATAAAATATATACAGCTAAATCTGATGTGTAGATCTACAAGGGGTCGTCCAGCTTTTTTGCAGCCATGTCATATCATCGAGATAATTGAAGATATTATCGAGACCAGCCGTACGTGCTACGTACGTGTTTGATTATAATCGGATTGTAAACCTGTTTGCAGCTGTTGAGGCAATGCAACTCGAATATGATAATTTGGCAACATCTGGAGAGGATAGCATTCGACTTCACATATTGAACGTACATGTACATACAATCCACGTTTTCTGCATGTATATTTATAATTGCGTTAGAACGATAAAACGATCACTAAAACAATGTATTGCTATAGCCTTTAACCATTATTTCGTGCCCGAGAGGGATTTCATCGAAAAGTGTGACTAATAAACTCTTAACAATAATTGAATCATTTTAGATATTATCGAGGTATATCCAACTGGGTATAATTGGGGAACGAGTGGCCTGCACAAAATATAACTTGAATTGCCCTTATTTTTATCTTAGTACTTCATTATATGCATTATGGCACTGCATTACTGCATGGTTATACATCAGTTGCACTTTGACCTGTGGAATCGCGTAACTATTGTTTGCGCATCTGATACCAATGTTGACCTACCGGGCAATGCAAACATCAACATGTTTATCAAGAACTTTAGATTTTGAGCAACAGGTAATCCACTGTACATGTTGTGGGCGTGGCTTAGTCCATTCAATCCAGGCTCGACTAGATCAAACCGGTCGGCACTATATTCGTACTCTGCATCTGAGGATCAGATGGTCACGTGTGCAGAGCCACAATCAGCGGCTATTATAATATCCGAGCCACTGATCTCTAGGCATACAACTTGTATGTGACCCGCGCTCCAGCCAATCGGAGCCGCCTTAGAAGCTGTGACGTAATTTAGAACCAAAATTCAGCCGAAGCTGTTGATTGGTCAATAGCTGTAATATGTTTTCCTCATCCAACATCGGGTTACCAAAGACACGATAGAAGGCGCTCGCTGAATGATCAGGATCTGGAGGTCAGGACGCAGTATTTGTTTTGCATAATCCGTATACGCGTATCATAGACGCTTGCCGTTTATTACAATATAGTTTGTCCTCAAGTTTGTGGGGGCCTACTGTGCAAAGACAACTGATTATATTTATATAGCCCTGCTTCAAAGAGTAAAACATACTCAGCTCACATTGATCAAGACAAATTAAAGCTTGATAAATCCTCTTTCATTTGCTGTTCAAATTATCGTCAAGGAAACCACACTAGTCTATTTGAGGTCATGGGAGTCGCCAGGATTTTTTCTAGAGGGGGGCAAAAAAAAATTTTGACCAAAAATACTTGTATTTTTCAACACATTTTCGATTTATCAGTTTTAGAGGGGGCAGGGACATTTTGCCCCCCCCCCCCCAACTCATTAAATTTACACCACTTTGTCTTCGCGCCTCTTTTTCTTTTCTTTTCTTTTTTTTTTTTTTTTTGCGTCCTTTTTTTTTGTTTTGCTTTTCCAGGGGGGGGGGCAAGTGCCCCCCCCTTGCCCCCCCCCCCCCTCGCGACGCCCATGTTTGAGGTATGGCAGACACAATAGGAGGGCGCTTTTTGATTTGGGTAAAGTTTTTTGTATTTACCCAAATCTCTTAAAAACTTTTGCTTTCGTACAGCTTGACATTCAGGTATTTTAATTAAAATTGACAAATCTTCGTAAATTTAGTTCTTCTCGTGGTACTCCCCTCCCAATTTCCGTCTGATTGTCTCCCGTTTCCACACCGAGATATCCAAGTTATATGACGGGGTTTGTTGTCCGTTGACAGGGACTTATTGAGAGACTGGACAGTGGGGTGGTCATCGGCGACGGTGGGTTCGTGTTTGCCTTGGAGAAGCGTGGCTACGTCAAAGCAGGCCCATGGACTCCAGAAGCCACCGTAGAAAACCCAGAAGCAGGTATGGGCGCTTTGCAAAGTCTGTTTGCACAAGCTGAAACTTTCTCTCAGAATTGGTTCGAATGCGTGATAGCTTACGCAACCTATAATTTAGCGATTTATAGGCATTTCAATAATAACCTACAATAAAGCCGGGATTGTTGTTTTGCAAATGCAGCCTGCTTTTGTTTCAATATGTGGTACTGCAGGCTTGAGCACTCACTAAAACATGCCTACCAACAACCACTCTGAAGGAAGGGTCCTTTTTATGTCACTTTATAAGGGATTTTCGTTAACTTAATTTGACATGTTTATGTAATTTCTACTTGATAAAAATACCGTAAGAGGGAAAAGAAAATCATGCAGGAAATCTCCTAATACCAAGGATTTCTGTAAAGAAATATGAAATATCAAAAAATCACAAAAAGATAAACAATTTGTCCCTGTAACTTTCTACCATTATTGGAGGACAGGCGCCGGATCCGACTCTAAAGAGGAGTCGATTTGAAAATGGAAGCGCTGCGTGCTGAGTTTAGTCTTCAGGAATGATTCAGCTGCTGTGCGCGCCATTTTGATTTAAGCTCGTTTGTGGGTGGCGGTGCAGATAGTGGAAGATTGCAAAGTGATGGATATTTTAATAGCCAAATCGGGAGGCTGAAAGAAGCGATGCGACAGTGAGACGGCACGAGGCGACTATGCGACGGCACGACGCGACGGCGCAAGTGACTGAGGACCCGAAATCAACAATGCGACAATGCGATGGCACGACGCTACTATGCGACGGTTAAAAATGGGTAACGAAACGAACATTTTATTTTGTAATCCAATATTTTCTGATGGCCATTTTCTCGAGTGCCACGTTTCATGAGCGCACTTTGTTTCACGAGCGCAGTTTACGTCGCGCGATTGTCTGTTGTTTGTCTCGAAGAGCGCCACCTATTATTAGAAAATCTGCAGGGCCCCCCCCCCCCCCCCCCCAACTTTTGTATTTTACGGTGGCCGGGTGCTCGGTGAAAAAAAATGCAAATGCCCTTTTCTCGTCTACAACGAATCAAAAATTACCTTGTCATACGCCCTAGTTACGCGCCTGCTTAGTATCGGTGACTTTGACAAAAACAAATGTAAACTTTGAATAGCCCTACACTTGTTACAGATAATGATGATGTTGTAGCACTATAGAAAGCGTGTAAGATTGTAAATTTTGAAATTTCCAATGATTTTTCTACCTGCCGCACCCCTGTTTAATTTCAACTCTTTGTGTCTGTGTTGTTTTGTTTAGTTCGTCAGCTCCATCGTGAATTCCTACGGGCTGGCTCTGATGTCATGCAGACCTTCACCTTCTATGCCAGCGATGACAAGCTGCAGAATCGCGGCAATGAGGCCCAAAAGAAATACACGGTGAGAAACACACCCAGCGCACATGCAGGGTTATTTTCTGAAAATAGATTTTACGACCTCCCAGTCTCCAGCAAAAGTGTTTTGTCGTGTTTTAGTTTAGTTTGCCATAACGGCACGGGCCACAAGATTTGTGGCATTTTCTCATGTGCAATGCCCAAAATATTTTGGGGCACTCTTTGCGCGAACAAAATTGCAAGTTGTCTAAACAATGAATAATGAATAGTGCCTGATACTTTCATTTTATATACGTGCTGAATAGGTTGTCATCATGCAACTTATGCATCGCGCGCACCGATATCCATTGGTTTACAGACGTCGAATGCCAGGCTCACCAGACGCCAACTCGCATTTAGAAATTTTACTACAGAGGGCGAGTCACGTGACCTGGATTAATGATTTTTTTTCTTAAAAAGCAATCAGATTTGATACACCAATGAAGTATGTCTTAAAAAAGCATGTTCTTCCACGCATCTGGAAAAACAATTACAGAAATTGATTCATGCTATCAGAAGTTATTCACGTTTTACTATAAGGACCTATTTTTATAGCTGTCCATGGAATGCCGAGCTACTGAGCTGAGTGAGAACAAGATATTACACACATGCATTCACTACAGATTCAAATGGGATTTTTATAAAAATATAAATTATTATAAAAACTGAAACATTATTTTTACTGTCGGATTTTGTGGTTTGATTATATGAGGAGCAAGTCAACTCTTTTTTATTCTGAAATGTTGATGGCGTTTTTGTCTGTTTTCTTTTGCAAGTTTCCATTCATTCATGCACTAGACATTGGGAATAGAGCATGCAATTACGTGAATTGTTCACAGTTACTAGTCAATAACATATATACTTTATCCCTAGTATGTTATTTTTGTGAAATTGAGCTAGCCACATGTTTTGTTAACAGATCTAATTCGGTCAGTTTCTTTTTGACTCGCCCTGTATGTGCACCATTATGAAGTGATAAGCTCCAAAAGAAACGTTTGGTTCTGCGAGGAGCTAGGTATTATGAACGCATATTCACAACACCTTTTTAGAGTTGGTCTCTTCATAAATGTATCCAAAACATTTCCCATGTTGTACGTTCCACCATGCAAAGCTTCACCTCACATTTGATGAATCTTATCTCTCAGGGAGCCATGATCAACCAACAGGCTTGCGAGATCGCCCGGGAAGTGGCTAACGAAGGAGACGCCTTGGTGGCTGGAGGAATATCCCAAACGCCTACCTATCTCAACGGGCTGGGCAAGGAAGCCGTACAGAAGGAGTTTGAGAAACAACTCAAAGTCTTCGTGGATAACAAGGTGGACTTCATGATTGCCGAGGTGAGTGACGATAGCCTACCTGCAGCAATGAGATACCGTGATGAGGAGGAGTGGAGCCCGGCTAGTTTTGACTGTTCACGTGCAGTGTTGCTTCCATTGAGAGAGTTGGAAGGCTGCGATGCGTTTTCGTTTTCAGAAGAAGTGCAAGAAAAGTGAGCCTTGAATCATAAACCTCATCTGCTTTCCACGGGACGTGTGATAAACAGCCACTCGCGTAAAACAGGGTTTTCATAAACAACAGAAAACGCGATGAAAAGGCACTTCCTGTTAAACCTGCGCTTATGGTAACTTATACACTCTAAAAAGAAACAACATTAGTAAGATTTGACGAGAAACCAGTTAAATTTGACTAGCTATTCAGGGTCAGCTGGGTGCAACTGAAAATCAGTCAATCTGACTAGATTTTTCCAGTCAGTATTGAAAAAAGTAATGAAAATAACTAAAATTGGAGTCAAATCCAGTTACTTTTTCTAGTCATAGTATGGATCGGCGACTGGGGGGACGATTTATTTTATAAGGTCCCACACGCCCCCCCCCTTCCCTCCCCCCCCCCCCCGGTAGCTACGCCACTGGCTGCAGTTCATAACCTCCACTTATGTTTTATTTATAGAGAAAGCTTCACAATCTGACCACACTACCCACCACACTACCCACCGTAATATGGACATGGGTCTGCACTGTTTTGTCTTTTGTAACGACGTTTAATTGTAAAAAAAAAAAAATTGTGTCTTGTCTTTAATCAAAATATAAGATTTACCTATGCAATTCCGACATCACGGCATGTTTCCTTTCTTGTCAGCATAATTTGTCCATCGTTATATACGGAGAGAATGGATTTTACCCACATCTTGAAACTGAATGGTGATTACGACCGACTATTTACACTAAGTATATGTATGGTGACGTGCGTCTTGAAATATTAGACGCACGGGCTAATTTTTTTAATTAGTATTCATGAGAGTGTACTTGTACTTTTGAACTTGTCTTTTTGACCATCTAGTATTTCGAGCATGTTGAGGAGATAGTTTGGGCAGTGGAGTCCATCAAGCAGAAGTGTCCAGGAATGCCGATCGCTGCCAACATGTGCATCGGGCCGGAGGGTGATATGCACGGCGTGTCTGCTGGCGAGTGCGCGGTCAGGATGGCCAAGGCAGGTGGGTGATTGTCAACACATTCCGGCTGAAATCACTCGAAGCAAGTGCTGCATTTGAGACATTTAGATATTTTGAGATATTTATTTTACCCTTTACTTAAGTTCGCCATAGACCTTCAATAAGGAAATTCAGAGTCTTTGAAACTGCAAAATGACAATTTGGTCAACATTTTATAAGGGTAATGTCCAACATTTGCAAACTTAAAAAACGAAGCTACCAAATAATTATGAAATACCTTACATGACTATAAGTAGATAACAGTCTCAGGCATCCTGTGAAATCACATCCTGTGAAATCACATTGTTTAAAGCCACTCAAACTATTAAGTAGTCTTGAATTATCGGATGGAAACAAAATTTCCTTTCATCCACAGGTGCCGACGTGATCGGAATCAACTGTCATTTTGACCCGGATACTGTCTTGGCTGCGCTCAGGTTGATGAAAGAGGCCCTGACCAAGGCGGGCTTCAAGAAGCATCTGATGGCACAGCCTCTGGGCTTCAAAACCCCAGATGCCTCCAAGCAGGGATTCATCGACCTCCCGGAGTTCCCATTTGGTAGGCAGTGAATCTCCTCTTTGTTTTCTCTTGATCAGATTGGATTTATCTTTGCTATCTCTGCCTCGCAATCGGGCTGTATTTTGTTCCTTTGTTCGTGCCGGTCTTTCTCGCTACTATGCTGACCTGAAATGCTAGATGTTTCCAGCATGCATTTTTCTGTTATTGAAGAAGTAAGCATAGTTTACGCATTGTTCGTGAACTGAACGAATACAAATTGAAACATTAATTTCGTCTTCAAAGTGGTTTTAAACGTACAGCAGTATTACAGAGTGCGACAAGAAGCTAGAGGCAATAGCAAGTGAGTCAACCTAACAAGCAAAACTTTGCATCAAACTTGGGTTGGTTTACAAATGACCCCCAAAAAATGCGAGAACAATCTAAATCGATGAATGATGGCTACAAGTGCGATGACATGTCACAAACGTCGATGGTCCAAGATAAAGGTGTCCATGTCAAGAGCAACAATCGAAGTTTAATTAGGACTAGCTGCTTCAACTCAAAAGTTCACACAAATAAAGTTCTGTACAAGTCAGACAAAACACCTCGCAATAGACAACCCGTCTGCTTATGTTTTTCTTTCAAACCACTTATCTGTCGAATTCGTGATTTGTTTTTGTAGGTCTCGAGCCGCGTATTTTGACCCGGTGGGATTGCCATAGATACGCCAGGGAGGCCTACGATCTCGGAGTGCGTTACATCGGAGCTTGCTGCGGCTTTGAGCCTTACCACGTCCGGGCCATAGCTGAGGAGCTGCAGAAGGAGCGCGGTTGCCTACCGACTGGCTCAGAGAAACACGGTCAATGGGGTGATGGGTTGAGACAGCATACTAAGCCATGGGTGCGCGCCAGGTAAGTGCTTGATGGCAAGGTATATAAAATGCGTTGGCAGATTGGAGATTGTTTGTATAGTACCAACTGATTACCCCCAACGTTAACAAAACCTCCCATATTTTCTAAAGTTGCAAAGGACTTTATAAAGTAAAACAAAAAGGTAAAGGGGACAAACTTGTGTTAGAGAGCGGAGTGCCCATCTCTCTTTCGTTAGCGTCAGACTCATATGCTGCTGTGGGCGATCGCGTACCTCCTCCACAGCGAGTCTGTTACCTTCCCATCAGCATTGAATAATGCCGGTACCCATTTAACACCTGGGTTCAGAGGAGTAATTGAGGTAAAGCGCCTTAGTCAAGGGCACAACACGCATGGCCACGGCGGGGTTCGAACCCACAATCTCACGATCATGAATCCTGTACTCCACCGCTAGACCACACGTGACCTCAATGACTATAGAGAACCTGTGAAGTCAAGATTTGTTCGTGTTTAAGTTGGGATTTAGAAAATTTGAATAACACTATTTTTCCTCCAATAAAATAACTTGAATATCATCTTTGGTTTGTTATTGGAAGACCCCCAAAACCGGAAGGGGAGTCCAGAACTTAGACAACATATCAATGAATATTTCTTGTCTATTGTTTTGAACCAGAGCTCGTCGTGACTACTGGGAGAACCTCAAGCCAGCGAGCGGCCGGCCGTACTGCGCCAGTATGTCCAAGCCTGACGAGTGGGGAGTGACTCAAGGTGATGCAATGCTCAAGCAGCAAGCCCAGAAAACCACTGATGAAGATCTACAGAAGCTCTACAAAAAGTAGACTAAAGATTCGATGATCAATAACCGACTTCAAAACGTTGATGACACATGCCATGGTAAATGTCGTTGCAGCGCATTTTTGTGATATGACATGAAAAATGAAGGAGGATTATAATACCCGCATGTATTGATTCTGTGAATGACATTAATGTTTTGGTTAAGAAACGTTAACGTATTTTCTTCGCACATAATGAAATGGATGACTCCAAACAAACTGAATGCATTATTGCAGTTAAAATGTACCGATTTGATGAACATTTCCCCCAATTGGAATAAAGGAAGACGGATCGCTTCTAATAAGCAGGATTCGGTAACACTTAGGTTTATTTTCTGCTTGTATGATACCCATATTGTATTTGACAAAAGTAACTGTCGGGATGAGACAAGGCCGAATTTATAGGTTTACTGTTCTCTGTCCCAGTACACAACTTTGTACGTTTTTATTCTATAGGTCTGAAATTTTGGAATTAATAAATTGCTCAGAGTATACATCTGTTGACACCATGAATATGTGATATCTATAAATGATTCCCTGAATTTCAAGGGGGCATGTGTTTGTTCACGAAAAGATTTTGTTTAACAAAAAGAAGCTTTTGGCATACACACATGGGCGTCGCGAGGGGGGGGCAAGGGGGGGCACTTGCCCCCCCCCTGGAAAAGCAAAAAAAAAAAAAAAAAAAAAAAAAGGACGAAAAGAAAAGAAAAAAAAAGAAAAGAAAAAGAGGCGCGAAGACAAAGTGGTGTAAATTTAATGAGTTGGGGGGGGGGGAAATGTCCCTGCCCCCCTCTAGAACTGATAAATCGAGAATGTGTTGAGAAATACAAGCATTTTGGGGCAAATTTTTTTTTTGCCCCCCTCTAGAAAAAATCCTGGCGACGCCCATGCATACACATATGCATAATGTGCAATCTATACAGTACCCCCCCCCCCCTTTCCCCCTCGTAAAATATAGGTCTTAAACACACTAAAACGTTTCTTGGGTGGAATAACAACATTTAAAGATCTTTCGAAAAATTCTGGCTCCGTCCCGTTTGAAATGCAGAAACCTTGACTACAATCGCATACTCTGTATATACAATGACGATCATGCTAAAATAATCTCGTGAATAACATGACTGAAAATCAAGCATTTTGTGCACGAAACGAAAACTGATATCACAAACTCATTTTATATCTTTGTTCAATTTACTCATATGCCCTAATTATGTTTAATCACTACGATCTCTAAAGGCTAAATAATAGAAGAGAAAACAAAAACAAAATGTAAACAAAACCGCTTGTTATACTATTTTAAAATGAACGGTTGAGCTCCAATTTGCGCATTTCAATGAGTACTTGGGTATATAGTTTCAAGTGGACGATTAACAGTCTTTGGTAGCAAATGGGGTATCAAAATGTAGCTAACAACATTCCCCAACGGTCTATATAAATGACATTATCATAAGACGATCAGATTCCAAATTATTTATGATCCCTCCAATGATTGTGGATTTTTTTTTTATTTTGCGGTATTTATAAATATAGATAGGCGCTCGTTAAGATTGCTTCAAGATTCCCCAAAAAATGTCTTTCTTTCGTTCTGATAAATCACATCCTACTTTTTATTGGTCAGGAGTAGATTTACGGATCCGGGAAATTATTTTGTATTGAAAGGAAGTAAAAACATAGAACCATTAGATTGAAAACTGATGGCATGTACGATGATCAACTTCTGTTGAAAAAAGTAGCCTACAGCGTTCTTGAAAACCCTTGAAGCTAACGTACTTTTCAAGTTACCGAATTTTAAACACAAACACCGTTTTAAAGTTTTATCCACGGATCACAAAAAAGTAAGTGTTCTTTCAGCACAACGAAAACAGTTCTCATGTGAATTGTTTTCGGGTTTTTTTGGTTTTGGACTCGCCCTGCACATTAAATCTCTTAACTAGCTTTATTAGAGTTCATAATAAACCGTTGGGCGAACATGTAGTCGTAATGCGGCTGGCTGACTTCAATGGCTAATCGCACATCCGCCGAGAGTGACTCGACATCAATATGGCGAGGGGCAGGCTTTTTGAATCCAGAGCTCTTGAGGGCTCCCTCGTACCACTGCATGAACCAGTTCATTGCTCTGAGCGCTTTGGAGCAGTGCCACTGCAGATCGCCGCATTTAGCCGGTTTCCAGCTCACCATGGACTCCTTGAAGGGCATTCCGGTAAACTGGCAGTATTGCCTCATCATCTCCACAGGGTCCTCCAGTAAATCATCGGCATCCATCACAAATGTGGGCAATCCCTGGCCCTTGACGTGATCGTAGAGATCCCGTAGCTCCTTGTAGGTGTAGCCCTCACACGGGATGCATGATCTAATTTCAGTGCCAGATACCCAGACGCTGAGCTTGGATGCTTCTAGTCGAGGTTTCAGCGAGGAAAACACCTTAGTTGGGCTGCGCACCAGGAATGTATGACAGAATCCCTCGGGGAGCATGTGGTAGCGGCCGACTAGGGGATAGGTGAAGTCTTTACCGAAGACGGCCGCCTTGCCCGGGTAGTCCGCCTCTAATCGATCCTTCACCCACTTGTAGGAGTGACTCGGGGCCATGCTGAATCCTGCCAAACGGCTTCGCTCCGGACCGAAGAAGAAAGCCGTGGTGTATTCCTCATTGAAGACTTCCACGTTACCGAGCTCCAGCACGGACCTAGTGAAAGCCGTGGAGAGGCTACGAGGGCAAGTCCATAGCATGACCCGGGCTGGTTTGGTCTTGGCAGTCGACATCGTGTATCTAAGTCTGTCCAGTTGTGACTCCCGTCCGTGATTAACAATGACTACTCTGGACCGAACCTTCTTGCAAACTGAATGTCAATGCTTTGTGTTTACTAAATAAATACCAACTCCTACCCTGAAAATAACTCGTCCGTGATTGAGAGTCTGTAATTTACATACAAACCCGATTCGTTCGTTTTATCGCGGCACCAGCACATTTTGCATTCCGGAACTGCCATAGCATTTTAAAAAAAGTGCTGGTTATAAAGCAGCTCATGAACTTACTGGCGCATCATAACCTTGGATATTTTGTCCCAAATTGCCTTCTTAAAATAATTCGCTGAGTAGGCAGTTCATTTCAAATGTATTGATATTGTTTGGAATACCAGGCCACATTCAATTAACGTGTCGTGCTATTGGGCTGTGAAGCCGAATTGCATTTGAATTTAATTTAATATTCTTTAAACTGATAATTCGTTTGTAACATGAACGACACATAAGAGAATGTATAGGCCATTGGTGATGAATGATATTGAAGTTTATGCGTAGGATTGTTCGGTTGTTGTTGTTTTTTGTATGCAGAGGGCGTGCTTTGCCAGTCTGATAACCCTGTATGTGATGCTAAATTTGTTTTTATTGCAAGCAGTTTTGTGGGCGTTAGGAATGAGGAATCGCGATGAGAATCTGGTCGTTTAACCTGTAACTGAAAAACGAGATCTAAACTGCTGCAGGAAAACAAAAACTCTGTTGAACCTCCAGTTTTGTTTCAAATTTTTTTAAAATCCAGTCGACCTTAAGCATGTACTGTCTATGTTTATTTCGATTGTTCCCAGGAAAAAAAAAAGTTACTGCTATATTCGGGCGATGCACATGTTCACTTTTAAACAACCGGGCTTTTTTTAAAAATCTTTTCTCATGAACAATGCGACATTAAAGGTTTAGTTTCCTTTCAACCAGACATTTGAAATAGGATAAGTAAACAATTGGAAAAATAAACATATTAGGACGATGTACCCCTTTAAAGGACTATGTACCCCTTTAAAGATCGTACTGGTAATAAACACCCCGAAATTATTCCGTTTGGCTTGCAGTCATTTCGGAAAAAAATCAAGAAATGTAGGTGATTTCCAACGTTTAGTCAATTGACCGATTTTTGGACTAAAGAGTTATAATGAAGTAATCGTGCTTCGTGATCAAAATGTTGTGCATGCTTGTTCACTGTTTTCTCGAAAAGTGCAGTGTCTATTCTGCTTAAACTTCAACATGTTAGGTTTTGAACATTCATCTTTGGATTTTGAGTGATTTATGATTTGAAACGAACAAAATGAATGAACACAAAATAATACAATTATGTCTTTAAACCCAGCAGGCTTGTCGATCGTAAACAGTATAATAAAAAATGGTTTAGTACAATGCGAGTGGAATACGTCCTAAGCATTGTACAATTTTTTTTTCTTTTAAACTGCTTGCCTATTTTCCCACGAAATTTCGTGTCTCAAATGCCCCTTTTTTGAATGAGCATTAATCCTGTTGGCACCAGCGATAAAAAAAAATCCGGCTTTTTTATTGCAGATTTTCTGCGAAGTTCGGTGATTTTAGTCTCAGTGAACCACTCGTTCGAAACCGTGTATTGAAATTTAGCAGACAAAAAAAACCGCTGTAAATGATTGCATGTACACGATGTGAAGTCGTTCAGGCACGGAGCACGTCACGTGGTGCCGAACAGGAACTAGGAAGCAAAGTCATTGTCTCCAGGAAAAACAAGTTTTTCCTTTTGACCGTTCACACCGGTGACACACCACCGAAGTACAATGGCCATGACCGTTAACTACACTTGTGGATAAAACTAGATCACTCTAGTGCTTGGGAACAACACAGTACAGACAGGCCTGAATTTGACAAGGTACCATGGATATTTTGGTCCGTAAACCCATCTGGATTTGCATTTTGGCGGTAGTTTTAGCGTTCACAGTTGTGACTAGCTTGCCTTCGCCTAGGAGTGCTCACCACTATATGTACGGTAAGACATATTTAATATCGAGTCGGCTTACAGGTTTCAACGAAGGCTGGTTAACGTTGTAACTATTTCCGTTCCGCAATGTGGCTCCTTTCATAAGAAGGTCTACATTGTGATAGATGTTCATGGTGCTGCTTAGTCCGAAAATTTGGGACTCTCAATACTGTGTGTGAGATCCCAAGACTTAAGGTATTGAAAACATGCAATACAAGAAAATAGACTGGCACTTGAAACAACCAGTCAAACACCGCTTCAGTATTGCATCAATCAACTGTGCCAAAAGAAACGTGGTAAGAACCAGGGAACTAGTCTCTATTTCTACACATTTCTCCATAGTCAGCTACCAGTCTGGGTGCTGCGGTGCTTTCACAAAGTCGTTCTTAAAAAAATCATATTAGTTCCGTTTACAGAAAAGAAAACAAAATATAGATTAAATAACATATTCCATACAATAAATTATGAAATAATCTACCATTCTCTCTTAGATGTTCAAGGTCATATAACATTTTTAAACGCAAACTTAAATTGTACCTTATGTGAGGTTATATATTTTATATGTAATGTGTCCCTGCCCTTGGACTTTATATGGCAATCCTACTCGTGGCCAATTATTATAATTGGTTTATATAGCTTTTTGCCACCTCTAGTGGCCTTTATATATCTTATTCAATATGCATATTATTTTTCATTTCCGTCATGAAGAGGAAATAAATGTGTTTAAAAATTGAATTGAAACTGAGAATTCATGTTATAGGTTTTCCCGGCTATTTTAAACATTTTTCATTCAAATTCACCAACTCTAACTTTCAATTTCGTCCGAAAAAAGTTTCACACGCGTTTAACAAAACCAATTTAGTCATTTACCATTCAATTTCATAGTTTGGTCACACTCTTTAGTCGACGGAATGAGAATATTCGTCATTACAGATCAAATTCGTCTAAGCTGTTGCCGAACGGCAGCATTCAGAGATCGAATATTTGTCTGATATAAATCAATTAGACGAATTTGATTTCTGAAGAACAAGTTTGGAGTAGACGAGACGAAATCGAATACTCCGCTACGAAAACCTGTGCTCATTATATGAATTAGCTTGAACTGAATTTGAAATTGTCTGACAAAAGACGAAATTAAACTTTGGAAGTGCACTAAATCGATGTTGCTGGACGAATTTGAATATTAGTAATGGTGAATGCGAATGATAAACGTTTTAAAGTAGCCGGGAAAACCTATATTAAAATGGCAACAATAGAAGTTTCGAGCGCACACCAGCATGCTCTGTATTATCAAGTCAGTGTAATATACCGACGATATTCTATCAAATAAAAAAAAAACATTAGTTGCCGAATGAGACTGCAATACAGATATAGAAATCGGAAAATAAATTCGTAAACGGAAAGTATTTGGAGGAGATTTTTGCTTCAGCATTTGTTAAGACTTGGGACAGAAAACCTCCTTCCAAGTGCCCCGCCCCCAAAACTAGTCTGTGACGTTACGGTCATCTAGCTTTCATGCGCGTCCTGATGTCCAGAGCAGAGTTTAAAACTCATGGTGTTGTCCACTCGGCAAGTGATGTGTTGTTTTGCCAATAAAAAAAATAGATCGTTGTTTCAGAAAACAGTTAATGATATGACAACCCATTCACACGATACACAACGGACCCCACTATTGTTAAATTTGAGAGACGGGGTTTATTTTAAAATGTAACGGGGTTATTACCGAGTGAGTAGTGAGTCCTAAATGGGTCCCATTCGGGCTACCTCATGGGCCCAGTTGGTCGCCCAGTTGGGGCCCACAGAGATTTGTCCGTCGGCGGTACTTGGGTCCCAAAATGGGCAAGCCCAGTTAATTTAATGTGGGTCCCTTCCACACTTTAACCGGGTCATAAGTGGGCAAAATGTACGTATGAATGTGGGTCCTATGTGGGTCCTTTCTACACTTTAAGCCGGTCATAAGTGGGTAATGTATACGTATGAATGTGGGTCCTATGTGGGTCCTGTGTGGGTTCCTTAAACAATTAACTGGGTCATAAGTGGGCAAAAATTACATATGAATGTAGGTCCGATGTGGGTCCCTAGCTGAAAAATTGCCTGGGTTAATTTTACCCAAGGAAGGGTGAAAACTGCAACTACCCAAAATTGGGTTGTTCTTTACCCAATTGCTTGGGTTATAATTTATGTTAAATTCAACCAAAACTTGTGATCATACAAGACCAAATTTAATTTAATTAATTTAATTTTTAATTTAATTTGGTCTTGTATGACTACAACTTTTGGTTGAATCTAACAGAAATTCTAACCCAAACAATATAGAACAACCCAATTTTGGGTAGTTGCAGTTTTCACCCTTTCTTGGGTAAAATTAACCCAGGCAATTTTTCAGCGTCTACACTTTGACCGGGTCATAAGTGGGCAAAATGTACGTATGTGATTGTTGGTCCTTTGTGGGTCATGTTTCTTCTACACTTTAACTGGGTCTAAGTGAGTAACATGTACGTATGAATGTGGGTCACTATATATGTGGGTCCCTTGTATACACTTTAACCGGGTCATAAGTGGGCAATGTGTACGTATGTGTATGGGTCCTATGTGGGCGGCTAAGCTAAAATATGGGTTCCATCGCACCCTGTGTCATCTATACTAAGGTTAGCAGCAAGTGAAGCATATGGGCACCCCACAAGATGAAATATTGGTCTAATACTTAATGGTTGTCTCAGTGAGCTCTCGTGCAGTTCGATTTGGACTCTGATTCAGGTTATGGAGAATAGGAGAAGAAAAACAAACAACAACACAACCAGTAAAAAACAATTGTTTATGTTGTTAACAACAAAAAATAACTTTATAATCTGGGATTTCCAATGACATTAATAATCATAACAGCAACTGGTTACACAATTCTAAAATTTTTATTTCAGAGTCAAAGTATGGCTAATTCGATTGAGTATACGTAACAGAAATCGGATGAGTTTAATATTTGTTTTAACAAAACAAGGTTTCGGTACTCCAAGCTATGCAGGTATTATCACGTGATGACACGAAAGTCATAGAACGGTCTCTTCGCGGGATATTTGGAGAACACTGATTCCACAAGCAACAAGAAAGTCTTATATCTCTGAATTTCAAGCTAGAAGAGGTTGAATCAAACTTACGTCAGTGCACGGATCAAGCTAGTGTACCATAATTAGCTGTTGAAATATTTGTGATGCATGGCAGTTAGAAACACACCATGATTTGTTAGTTGTGACTGAGACAAGCTCGTCTCAGAATATCTAGCAATGAAACGAATCAAACGATACCCGTTAGCATTGGCCTTTATGCCCATTTATGCTGAAACCATTACAGGATGTAAAACCGTGAGATTTAATGTCTGGTTATAGATCGGCCCATTATATAGAGTAAACAACCAGCTCCTTTCCCTCCAATGATAAAGCTCTGGGTATTTTTAGTATACTTATGCTGGTACACGTAGAACGAAAGCGATCATGCACAACCCGCCATTATCCCCAGAAGTAAAAAAAAAAACATAGCTGAAAAGAAACTCAGTCCCATGCTGTGTATATCGGTAACGATGTATACAAAATTATGCTGGCTGAAACCTTTTCACCACCAATTGCTTTGTAGTACATGTATGTGCAAGTCATGCTGGCCTACTTCCTTAAGTCGTGTGCTACCAAAATTGCAGAATTAAAGGTTTTCCCGACTAAGTTGTTAAAGCTTTTCCATTCCAATTCATCAATTACCTTATTCCAATTCGTCCAAGAATAATATCACATGCATTTTAATGCAGTCCTTTGTCTCCTATTTAATCTTTTTTTCAATTTTCATATTGCCATTTTTAAGGGCATTTTGGTGCCTTTTTTTACTTTTATGCAAATTCAAATTTGCATATTTACGAGTAAAGTGTGATATCATTTCAGGCAGAAACCTCAATGTTACAGCTATTTCGGAACCAAAAGTTTCAGAACAAGACAGTGGGCAAATGAGCAAAACAATTCTCACAAACGCTTTCAATGAGCAAATTTTGGGTTCAGAATTTGAACAGAAAACCCATAAATTGAACAGTGTCTTCCTGAAATGATTTTACAGCAACAACGCCCTCATTAGTCAGAAAAAGCATGGACAATTTTAAATGTTTAAAAGAAATGCACTTTTCAATAAGATTAACCAAAAAGGAATGACAAATACTTTTCATACATTTAAGAGGAGGAAAATGTTGCACAAAATATGTTCCCAAGTAAAATTCATGTCATGGGCCATTTAAGTAAAGGTTTTCCCGGCTATTTTAAAACATTTTTCGTTCGAATTCACCGATTCTTATATTCAAATTCGTCCGGTAACATCGATTTAGTGCACTTCCAATGTTTAATTTCGTCTTTTGTCAGACAATTTCAAATTTAGTCCAACCAAATTCCAGCAATGAGCACAGTTTTCGATCCGGAGTATTCGATTTCGTCTGGTCTACGCCGAAACGTGTTATTCAGAAATCAAATTCATCTAATTAATTGATATAAGACGCATTCGATCTCTGAATGCTGCCATTCTGCAACAGCTTACACGAATTTGATCTGTAATGACGAATATTCTCGACCCGGTGACTAAAGAGGGTGACCAGACTTTATAATTTAATGGTAAATGACTAAATTGTTTTTGTTAAAAGCGTGTGATTTTTTTCCTGGACGAATTTAAATAATAGTTGGTACATTTGAATGAAACATCTTTTAAAATAATAATTAATACTAATTGTAGCATTCTGATTCGTCCTAATTTCGGTAAAATTCCTCTCATGTGTCGATCGGCGTTGAACTGAAAAATCAAACTCTTTTTGTCATTTATTTTAGCGCTTTGGATTTCCTCGCCTATAAAGGCCGTTACATTTCTGGGTATTTCCGCGTTTGCTCGACACTTGTTTTTGAGACTCGAGTACTTTTAAATTTAGAAACGAACAATATAAGTGTTATTATCAGTGTTGTAGTCGAGGCCACAACCTCCGAGGCCGAGGCCAAGGCCGAGGCCACAACCTTCGAGGCCAAGGCCGAGGCCGAGGCCACAACCGCCGAGGCCAAGGCCAAGGCCGAGGCCACCACCTCCGAGGCCAAGGCCGAGGCCGAGGCCAGCTATCAAAACACGTAATAAAATATAATCAATAAAACCAGTTTTAACATCTTTTTAGTTGAATTCACTGAGTTTTGGAGTGCCTGGCCTTACAGCTTGCAATGGGTTTCCTCTTGTAGGGAGTCCGGCGAATTTTTTCTTTTAAAGAAAGAAATCTCGAGTTTTGTATCACTGAAAGCAAATTACACAACAAAATCAATGGCGTTTTAATCAGGCTCATAGGTGTTTGCCCTTTGGAGATACAACAATTTAAACGGCCAAATTTTGAGTTTCTATTCTGTAAGATTTACATTATTTACTTTTAGCATGTTTTATAAATCTTATTTTCAAAACCTATCAAAATGCTTAATATCATAGGAATCCCCATTAAATAAACAACAACTTGATTTTTTCAATCCGGTTTTTACCACACATAACCTAAAAGTTACGACCCCCCCCCCCCCCCCCCCACCTTCGCACTGTCCAGGCGCGCGCCGAGCAAACACCGCGATGCGACCAGACAATGCCAGACGGCCCGCCGTTACGCACCGGCAAAGCATAGTTCCAATCCCGCTCCACACAACGGTATAAGTGTCCACGCATTATCACTGTTAATACCGTGGTGCCAAAATGACCATGAATTCTCGGATCATCCGATTTGAATCCAATGGCTTCGAAGAATTTTAAGATCATGGCAAGAGGTAGGGAGTCCAGAGGTTTTGGCCGTATATCTGTAACCACGCAAAATTAGTCAATTTCAAACCGTGCTTATACATGTAATAAGTATCAACATGGCTCTAAAAATATTTTTTTTTAAAGTATCCTGGTACCACGAGGAATACTGACTCCTATTATTAAAACATTCATGCAGAACTTTGCATTCATTTGGACGGAAAAACGAATTCTGAAATCGCGCTTTCCATATCGACCATTTGCACCAAACATTACCGTGTGAGCCGGAACTTTCATTTAAATCACCGTGTAAAAATAAAATTGATAAATCGTAACTGTTTTTATCATATCTTTATGAAAAAAATGGTACGGACTGGTACACTCGATTGTACCCAGAAAGTTCAGACTTTTACTGAAACAGTGGCCTATAAAAAGAAATGATTAAGCTTGCTGCACCTTGCCGCAAATCATTTTTAAAGGTCGGGGTACAGAGGCAAAACGAGACAATTTTGTACAACACTGCAACCAGACTAGTCTACTACCACATGTTATTGTACGCAGATGGGATTGGTGCCAGACTTATGTAGTCTGGCACGCGGTAACAGTTATAACGCTTGCACGCACGTGGAAAGCTGAAGCGCAGGCTAGGCGAAGATGCTACGTACGCGAGTACGTTCAATGCAACCATTTCCAGTTCATTCGTGCGTACATTGTATATGCGTTTGTTTCACGGAACCCACTGCAGCAGAATCTCGAGGGTTTGATACGGTAAAAAATTAAAATTAATTAGAATAGAAAACACATCAAAATGGGCGGCCTCGAGCCGGCCTCGACCGATTCGCCGAGGCCGGAAGGCTCCGAGGCCAAGGCCAAGGCCGAGGCCTTGCACCTCCGAGGCCAAGGCCGAGGCCAAGGCCATGAAAATCGGCCTCGAGGCCGGCCTCGAAACCGAGGCCGGCCTCGAGACCTCCAACACTGGTTATTATGAAAGAAGGAAATATCAAACAGTACGATGACCCTCAGTTCCCTGTGTAACATTTGTGTCTGCCTGAAATTGAGTCTGACGGATTTAAAAAAAAAAAAATCCAAGGAAACAAACAATAACTTTATGAAATAACAAGCAAATAAAAATGTCAAATAAGCTATTATTATCCGCGGCCTATATGCCTTCTACTGCAGATGTCACAATGACGTGTAATGAAATAAATGGACAAAATTAAATTAATATTAAATTAGGAGGCATGAGACGAATTTGTTTTCTGAATAACACGGTTGGCGTAGACGAGACGCAATCGAATACACCTTGACGTCGAATGTGTGCTCATGGGTTGAATTTGCTTCAAATAACATTGAAATTGTATGATAATGGACAAAATAAACATTGTAATTGCAGTACATTGATTCTGCTGGACGAATTTTAAAACAAAAATCGGTGAGTTGGAAAAGTAAACGTGTTAAAAGAGCCGGGAAAACATCGTGGCTTACCGTGGCTCTGAATATCCGAAAGGACATAAAACAGCCGTAAATTCATTTTTATGCCATCACTTATATTTTCACTACATCGGAATATTTGCATAACCTTTACTCCACGGCATTGAAATTCTCATTGACAAAACAATACAAAACAATTGTCTTGACATCGCTACCGAAATCAAAATAAAACGGACAAAATAAACCCTAACAACATTCAAAACTAGAACCTTTTTTTGTGTTCATGAGCACAAAGAGCGGAATAAAGAATTTGCGCAAGTGGAAAGGTGTTGTAAATATCTTATTTATCACTTATTAATTGCGGATACAAATGCCAATGATCAAGTGTAATTTATTTTTAAAATTTAGGTTTTCACAGCCATTTTAAGACATTTTACATTCAAATTCACCAACTCTTACATTCAATTTCGTCAGAGAAAACAATTCACACGCTTTTACCAAAACCAAATTAGTAATTTACCATTCAATTTCAAAGTTTGGTCACCCTCTTTAGTCACAGGGTCGAGAATATTCGTCATTACAGATCAAATTCGTCTAGGCTGTTGCAGAATGACAGCATTCAGAGATCGAATTCGTCTTTTATCAATCGATTTAAAACTTGTATGAAGTCAATTAGTCTGATGTGTTCTAAAGCATTCTCCTTGTGTCCTCAAGCACAATTTGGCACATTCGCACGCATGATTTTTCGGACCAAAGCAGAGTACTGAACTCAATGAAGAGTTACCGAAAACGTAAAGATTACCAAGATCAACAATACAATGTAATTTTAATTCAACAAAAACAATTAAACAGTCGTACAATGAAAACAGGAAATGTCAAAAGCCTCGAATTGATAACCCATAAATCCCAGAGTAATATGCCTAAAATACTGAGTCTAACATATTTTAAGAAAATAAAATCAAAAGAAATGACACCTAAATGAAGAAATACGGAAAGAAAAAGTAAAGACTTATTCTATATGCATTATAGAGACCCCTATGCATTATAGAGACCTATATGCCTTATAGATATCGCTATGAAGCATTACGAAATTTAACAAAATTAAATTAAATTGTGTGGCATTAGACGAATTTGATTTTTGAATAACTCGATGCTGCGTGGACGAGACGAAATCGAATACTCCGGGTCCAAAACGTGTACTCATTGTTTGAATTTGTTTGGATTTAATTTGAAATTTTCTGACAAAAGAAGAAATTAAACATTGGAAATGCACTACATCGATGTTGCTTGATGAATTTTGATATATATAAGCATCGATGAATTCGAACGATTTTTTTAATAGCCGGGAAAACCTATACTACGAAATTCAAGAATTTTTAATTTCCTGACGTTTCCATTACCAACAAGGCTCTTTTGCCTCTGCAGTGTTTTTTGCATTACAATATGCCAAACTTACTACCTAAACTGGAACAATGGTACTGGATAGCCGTGTAACTGACTAGTTTGTTCATTAACATCCAAGTGATTATCTCAAGTTTTTGTGTGTGTTTTTTTCAACAGCGTTCCCCTTTAGCCCAGCCTTTTATGCTCAATTGTTTCGCTTTTTTTTCGTCAAAAGCGTTTTCAAATCAATCGTATTTTTGGTTGCAGATATTGATATTGACTTTGACAACCCAAGTCTGGGTTCCCACCATCGTGAACAGCGCAGGACTGGGCGGGGAGAGTCTTTAGATACATGGGATTGCGGTAACATTACCCAGGTCCCCGACGATGTGCGCACTGACTTTCCCCTGGACGCCTTCTACCAGAAGTACACCCACGCCTACGGTATCCCTATCGTGTCCTCCAATGTCTCACTGGATGCCTCCCTGACTCGTGCCTGCTATACGGTACGTTTCCTATTGGCAGACCGTAAGGATCTACGGGACGCTATGTACGACCAGTACGGCCGGGTGGCGGTCATAGCACTGACGGAGCGCACAACGCAGATACCAGAACACAGCTACCTGAATAGCGATGTTTGGGATGACCGTGCACGCGGGTTGGGCGGCACGCGTCAGGTACCCGTCACAACCGACGGGGAGGAGAATATTCTCTGTCGGTCGTGGCGCCAGGACCGCTGGTACGAAGAGGACATCTTAATACACGAGTTCGCTCACGCCATCCATCTCATCTCCTTGAATAGAGTCGACGCGGCCTTCGATTCGGCTCTGCAGACCGCCTACGACATGGCCGTTGTGGACAATCTGTGGCCCTCGACCTACGCTATCAGTAGAAAGATTGAGTACTTCGCTGAGGGTGTGCAGGGATTCTTTAACGTCCAGGTATGTAGGAGCTTCGTCGATGCAGTCCACAATCACATCTGTACTCGGGACGCATTGAAGGGCTACGACAGACGACTGTTCGATCTCATTACGGAAGTCTTCCCTTGCATGAATACCGTAGTGGACCGTTGCAACTCTAATCAGGGTGAGTATTATGACACTTTGATGGCTGAGAAAAACAGAGCAGCGTATCATGCCACACGTACACAATTGCCGTACAAAGAAAAGTTTTTTTCCCGAGGAGCACGGTACATCTTTAAAGGAAAACTTGGTTCACTTTTTGCTTGTATGTCATTGCTGTGTATGTTTTTCATTCATATAATAGATCTAGCTGCGAATCAGGTACTTCGGATGGACTGTGAACTTCCCGCCACAACGATCACCACACCGCTGGGTACCACTACTGACGCCATCACCACTCTGACCTCCACCACTGAGGTCCCCACAACGATCACCACACCGCTGGGTACCACCACCGACGCCATCACCACTCTGACCCCCACCACTGAGGTCACCACAACGATCACCACACCGCTGGGTACCACCACCGACGCCATCACCACTCTGACCTCCACCACTGAGGTCACCACAACGATCACCACACCGCTGGGTACCACCACCGACGTAATCACCACTCAAGGCAGTAAGTTTGTTAAATTAACAGGCGAACAGGTGTCGAGCGCAATCTGGACGCCAGCGCAACTTTATTGTCCTGCCTCCTGAGGTCATATCCCTATGAATGGATTTCTTTTAAATGAAAATGAGCTCAGGAGGGAGTACAATAAACTTGGGCAAAATTCCAGATTGCGCTCGACAGCGGCACTAAACGAAGTTCCTCGACACCTAATTTCGTTATCAGATCATTTGCTGCGATGCAGAGTGGATTCTAAGGGGATCATTTATACAAGAATTCCATTTTTTCTTCAAGTCTTTTTTACTGTTTATTTAATAACCATTGGGGTTTTTAATAAGGTAATTTTGACACACTCTTTCCATATTGATTACATTACCGTGCCGAAGCATGCCCTAAAGTAGCGTAAGGCTTTAATACCTACAACAACCTTGTATAGTTCGTAGTGATCAATATTGAGTAAATACCCTAGTCTTTCCCTGAACGTGTTGACAAACTGAAGCTACTGCGGGTAATGTCACTTTTTTATATTGATGTGAAGTTTATAGAAAATTTGGTGCATATGTACACAGTCCGTTTTTATCCGAAAGTGGTTATATGTGATATCAACAGGCGACTGTTTTATGACTCGGGAAAAAGTAATGATCACATTAGCAAAGCAGACATTTTAGACCCTCGGAAATATGAACGGTGTGAACACGGTGCAGTAAAACCTCATAACATGTTCCCTTGTTATCTATTAACTGGAACAAAATAACTTCCCCGCAATTAATTGCATAAACCGGTGTGACTAGGTTAAGATCAACTATAAGCGAGACAGGTTGATGGTCAAGTAGTCGAGACATCTGCCAGGGTAAAACAGTGAGTACTAGTTAGAGTCCATAAGGCTTTTTGTCTTTGTGAAGGGCTCTTCATCCTTTGTTCTATTGTTCTCAGTGCATCTTCCAGAGTTCTGCGTAGAAACTACGATTGTTGATGCGGCTGTAGGCAGCCTAACATGGCCGATGACTGGCGCTGGCTTGCAGAGTCAGTCCATGGAGGTGTGTCCTCTCGAAACGCAATATGGTAAGCACAAAGTAGATCGGAGGTCGCAGGTCTCTGTTCCTCTGTGAAACGAATGAACCGTATAGATACTTTGTATTAGACTGGTTCCTGGTCCCTCCTATGTTTTTCGGACTTTGAATGTATGGACAGGTATAGCCGGCAATGAATCCTGAATACATTATGTATGCACATTATAATTTTGCAGGACTAGCCTAGGTCTGATTCCCGCCCCCTGAATACAAACTCACAATGATGATGTTAGCGCGGAACTAGCCTATTTCAAAATGGTAAAAAGGCCCCACCTATGTGCAATTTGTGTGGTTGATGAGCTTTGATTTCCGCTGAGTTCGAAAGTGTGCCTGGCAACTGTCAATAAAGAGAGGGGTACTACTTGTCAGTAGTTGAAACCTATGCAGTTGAAATGCTTGAATGTTGCCTTGTGGAGACACTGGTAATTTTGCTGGTTGTGGTAAGAGTCACTTTTTGATAGGCATGTATTCAAGTGTCATCCATGCTCAAACCTGTATGCATGTACATCGTTTTCAAAATTTGAGATCATGCTGCGCAAGCGCAGAGGTGATCCCATCATCATCATGGCCCGTCCCGTCGTGAACGACGATGGAGACGACGACTCTCACAGTCATCTATGTACAGCTGTGTTGAGGTAGAGCAACCATTAAAGCAGAGCGCCAATGGGAACGGTTGCTGGCAGTTAACTCCCAAGCAGTGTTTGGTATCGCGAGATCACGTTTCAGGACATCTTTGTATCGCAGTCTTGGTCGGCCACGAGGGCGAGGAGCATTGGCAAGTTCGCCATAGAGGATATCGTTGGGGATTCGGCCATCGACCTGCCTGTGCATGTGACCGGCCTACCGAAGGCGGCGGTGACTCAGCAGTGGAAACATGTCGGTAGCTCCGGTGAGCCGCAGGATGGAAGCATTTGGGACGTGGTCACACCATGAGAAACCAGGGATCAAACGCAGGCATCGGAAGTGGAAGGAGTTGAGGCGACGCTCTTGGCGGCGGTACGTGGTCCATGACTCACTGCAGTACAGCAGGATGCTTAGTACACAAGCCACGTAGATGCGGATCTTCAACTTGATGGAGAGGTCTCTGTTAATCCAAACACGTTGGCGAAGTCGGCCGAATGTGGTTGCGAGAGGTGATCCATCAATGGCTTTAAATGGCAACTAATAGCTACTAACCCCCCACATTTTATGCAGGAGGGAACCAGTCTAACTTTGTACTTTCATTTTCACTTGTATTTAAATAGAAACCAGTCCACAATGAGGGCGTTCTGCCCCATGTTTCTATTCAGTCAGTAAAGACATCGTGATCATGTATGAAACGATCTCGGATAAAGTGCATCAAATAAAATGTCGTCATTAGCCTATGTCTGAGGTTAATGGCCAAAATCAAACAACTTGGTCTTGGCGTGTTTTTAACATGATTGTATAGAGATCACCGCATTTTTGTTCTTAATTCATAATAAGTATTAGAATCAAGAAGATAAACGGGCATAGGCCGCATGGGATCGATAGGGGGACTGGATACTTTAAATGCAATTGTTTCCATATTAGCTTCAGGTATTATTTAACCTTTTGATGACATTGGCCATTACTGCGCACAACAACTGAACGTCCGGGGACGTGTGGGCTAATGACCTGGCTTGTTTCCTGATTCTGTAGCGGGTTTGCCGAGAGCTGTGCGAAACTGCTCCATTGTAGACGGACCTCATGTTTACTTTGAGTGGGAAATGGAGTATGAAGTTCGTGACTGTGGATCATCTAGAGACCGGAATGACATCACGATACAGGATCTTGCACAGGTAGGTATGATCTGTGACACGGTACCCTGTGGAGACATGGGTATAATAGGGAACACAAGATTGAATACGTCTCCACAGAGCAATTTCTATAGGTGAATACGTCTCCACAATGCTATCACGAAATCGATTGTGGAATTTACTCAAAAAATAGGAATTTCCAAGATGTATTGATCCGTCGCAAATGCAAGTATTTTATGTTAGGGATATTAAGCCCGAATTTCAGCCCAAGAAAATACTTCTGGTTAAAAAAAGGAGCATTTTGAACTACACTTTCAAACTCTAGAATGTTAGTACACGAGAACAATAAAATGACTCCACAAGGATACAAATTCCAACGAGTGGGTGAATAATTATGTGTGCGTGTTTGCTGTGACATTAGAGCGTTGTCTCTAGTGGTTATTCTCGGTACTGAAGTATCATATTACTGCGTCCTGTATTTGCCATTCGTAAATGGATGATACTTTGGAAGTGCTCGTGGTGATAGCAGTTGGCATGGTGGGCGGTGGCACGGTGGGGAAAAACATTTAAGTTTTTTTTTTCAACACCCATGGTTATTGAAACTTATTTTTTGTCAACTTACCGGTTCGTCAAGAGGTTGAGTTGTCCAAATTATATTTGCTTTGAGGCGGGGTCCACGGTTCTTGATTTGTTTTGAAAAGGTTTCCATTTGCTGGATTACTCTGTACTTTTTCAAAAGGTTGGTTGTAGAAATTGGAGTTAACGTATTTGCTTGATTTCTCGGTCAATGATTCTTTTCTCTAATCAATGAATCCGTATCTTTTAACTTTTTGTAACTTTGCCAAAGTGAAATTTGTGCTTAGTGTTGTTACGTAAATAGTCTTGGCCCACGACGTCAGTGATCAAGAGCGATAGTTGCAATGTTGTGTAGCGCCCTTGCATAATTGTAATTTTTGTTACGTTTTTGCGTATGTTTACAACCGTTGGGTGAGCCATTGAACCTTTTCTTGATCGCTGATTGGTTCCCAAGAAAGTGCTAATGCTTGATCACGTACTGCACGTAGTGCTTATGTTTACAACTATTTGGCGAGCCATTTAACCTTTCTCGGTCGCTGATTGTCTCCCTAGGAAAGCCTGGGGAGAAATTAAAGAAAAAGTTAAACCGCTGAAACGAAATGGCCAAGATGCTATAGCCATTAGAGGGCGCACTATGCACCGTCCACCATCGATCACTAGCGTCTTCAGCCAAGACTATTACGTCAAGGGCTGTATACGCGAATAAACCCTCATAACTTCATGTTTTACATACAAGCATGTACATGCACTGCAACAGAGAAAGAGCTGCATAATATAAAGAATGCTTGTTGTTTATGTATGAGGAAATTCTTGAGTAGTTTAGTCAGGTTTATTTTTGATAAACCCACAGGTGATGGTCAGTGTTGGCAATGTCGTGGAAGTGAGCCAGTTTCTAGCCAATTTGACCGCAATTGATCCAAAAGGCCTCCAGGACCCCAACCTAACTCTGGGCGCCGTATCCAAAGTCTTGCAGAATATCGTCGCCGCGGAGTCGGGAGAAACAGAGGTAAACAAAACAACAATCGGAACGAACTTAAAGCAGAACAGGAGAAAGTCACCTCACCGTGGTTTTAGTTTATAGCAATTTGTAAAAGTGATTGTGGCCGCATAATGAATGCCCGCGAAAAGTAGCGTTTTGGCGGTTAAAAATAATGTTGCTTAACTGTACTTTCATTTGTGAACTTGAAATCGAAAATTCCTCTGTTGTTATTTCAGGTAGCCGATGCCGTGTTGCAGACAGTAAACAATATCATAATCGGCTTGTCATCCGGACAAGTGTCGGGTAAAGCCGATCTCATCAGTCGCTCCTCTATCGTCAAGTCATTCCAGGCTCAGGTTGCTCAGACTCTACGCCGCGAGGGCAGCATCAGTCTACGGCAGGATTCGGTCCAGGTTGAGGCGGTCAGTGTCAACCGCTCGGAGGCGGTGAACGGGCTAGGCTTCGCATCCGTACAACGCAGTGCATCAGGTGACACCTCCGTACCAAGAGAGGTCTCACTCAACCAGACTAGGATCCAGGTATTTGTTGGCCACAGTGAGCCGTCCAAGGTTGTCGCATCTGTCCGATTGCCGGGTAGTGAGCTAGACCTGGCTGACGATGGTAAGCCTTCAAATCGCCTGAAATAGGAATGACAACTTTTTCAGTTACTTGTTTGCAAGTAAACATAAACATAGAAGGAAACGTTTTTCAATAAGTCCTTTGTTGAGAAGAAACTGCAAAGTAATATTCAAGACCCACTGAGGGCAAATGTAGTTAACGGCAACATAATACGATTTGATGATGTTTTCATTCGCAGATATCATAAAACATATCACATTTTATTTATTAGAAATTAGAACGTACGAGGTTAGGAGGTTGAGAAGAATGAGAGGGCAAGACAAATAGAAATGTCTCAATTGTGATGAAAGTAAAGCCTGAGCTGAGCACTTAACAATCTTTACACAAGATCAGTGCACCTATCATCCTGAAAAAGTGTACAAATTGTGGAATGAATTCAAGTCTGATAGATTTCCAATTTGTGTCACTCAAGATTTGTGTACAATTGTTGATTTCTTTACATTCGTTCAGGTGATAATTCCACCCAGCCGAAACTTCGGGCAAGTTTCATCGTATATAAGGATGATACTCTTTTCCTGTCGGCTCTGAAACCAGGCGTCTCTGTTGGCGGTGTGGTTGTCGCAGTGACTCTGCAGGACATGGTCTTACGGAACCTGGTCAATCCAGTTCTCATTCAATATAAGGTCAGGACATGGTCTTACAGAACCTGGTCAATCCAGTTGTCATTCACAACAAGGTCAGGACATGTCTTACAGAAGCTGATCAATCCAGTTCTCATTCAATACAAGGTCAGGACATGGTCTTACAGAACCTGGTCAATCCAGTTTTCATTCAATACAAGGTCAGGACATGGTATTACAGAACCTGGTCAATCCAGTTCTCATTCAATACAAGGTCAGGGCAAAATACAGAACCTGATCAATCCAGTTCTCATTCAATACAAGGTCAGGACATGGTATTACAGAACCTGAGCAATCCAGTTCTCATTCAATACAAGGTCAGGACACGGTCTTACAGAACCTGATCAATCCAGTTCTCATTCAGTAAAAGGTCAGGACATGGTATTACAGAACCTGGTCAATCCAGTTCTCATTCAATACAAGGTCAGGGCAAAATACAGAACCTGATCAATCCAGTTCTCATTCAATACAAGGTCAGGACATGGTATTACAGAACCTGAGCAATCCAGTTCTCATTCAATACAAGGTCAGGACACAGTCTTACAGAACCTGATCAATCCAGTTCTCATTCAGTACAAGGTCAGGACATGGTATTACAGAACCTGGTCAATCCAGCTCTCATTCAATACAAGGTCAGGGCAAAATACAGAACCTGATCAATCCAGTTCTCATTCAATACAAGGTCAGGACATGGTATTACAGAACCTGAGCAATCCAGTTCTCATTCAATACAAGGTCAGGACACGGTCTTACAGAACCTGATCAATCCAGTTCTCATTCAATGCAAGGTCAGGACATGGTCTTACAGAACCTGATCAATCCAGTTCTCATTCAATGCAAGGTCGGGACATGGTCTTACAGAACCTGGTCAATCCAGTTCTCATTCATTATACGGCTAGAATGACGATATCAAAATTGCAAAAACATCTAGCCAGTTACGGATTGAGTAAGAGGATTCCAAACAAACACAAATTATTTTTTGCTGGGAAACATGCATACCGCGGACTTTCGCCAAATGACTGCATTTTACTGTGGGTCTTTAGGGGAAGATAATATGTCATTCTCAGTCATACTTTGGTTATCTGTGAGGTAAAAGTAATAAGATAACATGAAAACCAACGAAGTATTGGCTGTTTCACTTGCTTATTAGATGCTCTGAATTTAACACAGTTGCAAGAATTATGTCTTTGTTGATCGTAAAGCACAACAGCAGCCGCCTGTTTCCACAAAATGAGAAAAACCGAAGGTTGTAATTTTCATAGAATTAAAGCAAACAAAGACCCATATTGATAAACTTCCTTTCTGGTTTGACGAGATTAATGTTTGAAAACCTCTCAATTTTTAGGAAGCACTTAAATAAAAGAAAATCACATTTTGTCCTCAATCTAGACACCTGCTGGTTTAAGCAAGAACACACTGCAAGAGACAAAGTGTGTCTTCTGGGATTTCAGTCTGGAGCAGGGCGTTGGTGCTTGGTCAGAGAGTGGGTGTGTCCTTGCTGAAGTGACCAATGACGTGATAGCGTGCCATTGCGACCACCTAACCAACTTTGCTGTTTTGGTTGTAAGTGCTGCTTGCTTGTCCGTTTCCGTATGTCGAATTTTGAAGTTTAACGAAAGCGGCACTCAGCTAAAACAAATAACAGGCACAACAGGATGCTCGAAATATACTCAGAATTTCAGAGAATACTTTGAAAAGAGCTCTGGTTTTGTGGTACGTCCATTTTCGAACTGATTTTAACAAAATGAAATAGTGCATCCTGAGTTAATTTGTTAATGTATTTTAAGAGAAAATAATAGGGGCAAGTGACATCTTGCAGCTTGCACTTCTTGGACAAAGATGATGTTGCTTGTAACCGCTAGGCACACAAACAAGGCTTACAATACGAGTGAATCAGCTGAAAACCACCCTAGCAGCAATAAGTGACATTTCCTAATTAGATAAGTTAATGTTGTTGACAAAATCTTTTCATGTACAGAAAACAGGTGATTAATGTGCTTCTAGCCCATTTAAAATACATTTGTGCCAAAACGATGCATGCAAACATGCTGAAAGACTTGTTGTGAAATTCCAGAATTTTCAAACAAATAATCAAGTATCAAGTCACAGATTATTTTTTTTATTTTCTTGCCTTATATTGTAAAAATTCGACAGAATATTGGGACGAACGCCAGGAGAGATTTTCAACAAGCATTGAACGCCGTTAGTCAGATCGGTTGTGCCCTCTGCATCATCTTACTGAGCATTACTTTGATTGCCAGCATTTGTGTCCGTCCGCAAGATGACAATCGAGAGTAAGACCTTTAGTAAATTAAAAGTTTTACATGGTTCTATTTTAATCCCAGACTACTGCATGAACTTATTTATACGATGGAGTTTATCGTATTAATTTTACCTATAATTATGTCGATAAACTGCTCTTAAAGTTTCAATTTGAAAAACGCTCGATTGCAAAAATATCCATATTTGGTCTCCTGCATAACAACAAAACAGGAGTAATATTATCTTCAACCTTGTCAGTGAATAAAACATATGTTGGATATCAAAACTAAATTTAGAACATTTAAAGGGTCCATGAAATAATTCTTAGGAACACATTTTGTGCAACCTTCTACTTCTCTTAAATGTAGGCTATAAAAACTATTTGACATCCCGTTTTGGTCAATTTTATTCAAAAATGCGCTTCTTAAACATTCAAATTTTCCATCCTTTTCCGGACAACTGAGAGAGCTGTTGCTGTGATGTCATTTCAGGAAGACACTTTTCAGTTTAGGGGTTTTCTGTTCAAATGTGAACCCAAAAATCTGTTAATTAAAAACATTTGTGAAAAAAAGGTTTGCGCATTGGCTTACCACCACGTAGGCTTACTGACACAACAACGAATCACCAAAGAAAAGACAACTGACAACAGCGAAATATCAAAAGCTCTGGTAACTTTTTGTTTTAAAATAGCTGTAACATATAGGTCTCTGCCTGACATGATATCCCACTTTTGCTCATGAATATGGAAATTTGTATTAGCATAAAAACAAAAACGGTACGAAAACACCCTTGAAAATGGCAAAACGAAAATTGAAAACAAGGTTAAATGTGACACAAAGGTGCATTTACAAGGATTCTATTAAAAACATTGTATTGCATGGCCCTTTAAGCAACGCATTCGATTATAAAATCTGAGTAACGCATGCAACTAAAATTCAATATACCCGGTAAACATTTACGATAAAAGCATGATTTAGCCATTGTAGTTGACTTATTGCCCTTTGCATCTATACAGGGTGGTAAAAAAAACCGGCACCTCATACTTCCACTACCTTGAGACTCAAACCACCTGTACCAATAAAGAATCCTTTTTGAAGAAATATGATACCAAAATATCCCGATTCGGTCCAGTAGTTTTTGCTGCAGAGCCTATTTTGTGAAGGATACTTTTTTCATCTGGATATCATTAGATAACAATCTCTCTATCAATAACAATGTAATTTAAATTCCCGGGTGCGGTTTAGTAATTCATCGGGACAAAAATGACCCCCACCTTGCTTCACAAAATAGGCTCTAGAACAAAAACTACTGGACCGAATCGGGCGATTTTGGTTTCATTTTCTTCCAAAAAGATTCTCCATGCATTGGTATATGTGGTTTGAGTCTCAGGGTAGTGGAAGTATGAGGTTCCGGGTTTTTTTTACCACCGTGTACAGGTTTACGGCAAACATTTTCGGCGATCATTAATTCAATTTTTTTTTCTGATATATTCTTTAACAGAGACTCGTATGTGGACATGTCTCGTCCAATACACATGCAACTGTGCGTTTCACTGCTTGTCCTGTACGTTGTGTTTCTAGCCGGCGTTGATGGCGCTAAGGTATTCTTTATATCTGATTGTTTGTGGTTATATTACAACTTCCAAGTAATATTCGAATTAGCAGTGATTTGGTCGAGACCATCACAACCCTGATAAGTCACCCACTCTCAAGTCCAGTCAAGTTACAAACTATTCAAATACACTATAAACGCATTCTTTTGTTATTGTTCATCACCTGTGATGAACAATACTTGTGACTAGACTTGTGAACAGATTGCCTTTTTGACGTGTCTTTTGATGGACTCGATTGATTTAAGTACTTGCGATCTATACCTTGGTGAAGTGTAGATTTTAATCAGCCTATAGTATTTGAGCAGCAGTGGTAATCCGAGGATCAGTAGGGGAAAAAACACCTTAAATCGTTTGTGACTAAAGCCCGCCGCACACGAGAGCTACGTGCTGAGCAAAAAGTCATTGAGGCCGTTTGCTCGTAGCACGTAGCTCACAATATATCCCTGTGTGCAGTCAATTTTTGCTGACTTTTCTGCCTCGCGAGGCCTTGAGGCAAATACCTCGCCTGTTTGATTTCTTTCGTCTCGCGAGGCGAAAATCTCACTGTGTGCGGTCAACAGCTCGCGAGGTAGAAAACTCAACAAAAATTCACCGCATACGGCCCGGTATATTTTGTGAGCTATGTGCTGAGCAAACGGCCTCGAATGACTTTTTGCTCAGAACGTAGATCTCGTGTGCATCGGGTTTTATGTCTTCTATCTACAGGATTTGACTGAATTTGTTTTACCTCTCTGTCCATCTACAGGGTTCGGAGGCTGGTTGTGTGTTTGTCGCTGCATTACTCCACTATTTGACTTTGGTGTCGGTGATGTTGATGACCGTTGACGCATGGGACTTGTACAGTGCTACGGTTCGGGAGGGACCTGTTCAAGACAAACGTCTTCACATTGTGAGGGATGTGGTGTTGGCCTGGGGTAGGTAGTCACAAATTAAATATTTTTTCAATAAAAACAAAAAAATTACAGTAAATGAAGGCGGCATGGGGATGTTTTCAATTAAAAGGAAACCCAAATGGCGCCCCCTATTTGTAAATAAGTTCTGCATGTAACGCTTTCCCAATCTGCATGCAGCACGTTCAAGAGGATGTAAAAGTCTAATTGATAAGCTTTCTTTTAGTACATCTTTACATCAACTTTCTCTTAGTAAAGGAATCATTGAAATCGCTTTTGAACTTTTCAAGTAATGGGCTTTTCAACACAAACACTTTTTTATAATTGTGTCCACGGATCACAATGAGGGAAAGTGATATTTCAGCAAAACGAAAACAATTCACATATCAAAAAAACACAACAGAACACTCTCATAAACATGATAACTATTTAAACACCTTTTACTTCCAATGTTAAACAACATGCTTTATAATGTCAAGAGTTTAAAGTCTTGCCCTGCCTTCTACTTGGCTACCATGAGACACGGGGTTCTTCTGATGTATTTTTTAAGATACGACATGGTTTCATTTTACTGAAATATCACGTACCTTAAATGTGATCCGTGGACAACATTTTAAAACTGTGTTTCCGTTCAAAATTCCTTAACTCAAAAAGTACATAATGATTTGAATGATTCTTGTACTAACAGAAAGATTGTTAATCGGACATTTATAGGGGGCGCCATTCGAGTTTCCTTCTTTTCACTCACCCTGTACATTAAAGTGAACTTATATCACAGATTAAAAACTTTGTTGTTTGTGCACCAGGCTGTCCTTTGATCATTATGGCAATCACTGTGTCGGCTGCACTGAGCTACTACAGGATAAACGAAGATGATACGAACAGCGTCACAACGTAGTAAGTATACACTGGAGGCTTCCGTAAAAATTAAACACTATCTCGCTATCTCTCTCTTCCCTTCCCCTCACTGAAGAAAATGATATCTTTGTAAACTCCGCGTTACGTTAATATATTCCAATTTAAATAAAAAATAGGTTCTAGTTTTGGAAAATTTTGCTTCCTGAGTATAACACTGAGAAAGGCCGGGGTATGCACTATCATGTGAAAACGATGGTTCCACACGATGTGATCACATTTTTAAACTGAACAGTTTTCAAGTATTTTAGCAAATTTTGTCACAGATTTTGAACTCTGCTGTCACAAATGATATCTAACACAATTGGATGAGGACATTGTATCAAATATGCTGTTCATTATAAAAAAAAAAAGCGGGGTAATCTTTGACATTCTTATGGTATACCGTGACATTTTCTTGAGGGGAAGACTATTTACGTAACTGTGGTACAATTTACATGCCGCACTTAGGGTCTTTTTTCCGGAGGCGGCACTAAATGTGTTTTAAGAAAACAAAGCTAATTTTCGTCTTAACCCAAATTCTTAGAGGGGGAGGAACAAGGTGGTAGGGGGTTCAGGCATGTCGTGCGGGAGGAAGGGGCATGCTCCTGTTACGGCACTTGGGAAGACGAAATTAAGCCAATGATTTTTTATAAAACTATTTTTTTTCCGTCTGGTTCTTCCATCAGTTGTTTCCTCAAGCCCGGCATTGCCATGTACCTCGGCCTTCTGCTACCTATTGGCCTCTTCCTCGCCCACAATATAACCCTATGTTTCTTGGTGGCGCGTAGCCTGCCGGAGGTTTGGGAGAGGTTTCACTCCAGACAGGTCTCTCAACGCCTGCAGAATGTTGTAGGGATCGCAGCCCTTACCATGCTGACTTGGCTGTTCGGGATCCTGGCAATCACTTCTGGGGCTATGGCTTACCACATAATGGTCTTGCTCACTGCCACCTCTCAGGTAACTGCATTTACTCTGGAATACATTTCGACAAACGGCCTCGATATGAGCACGAGTGACTGAGTTGCAGCAAGCCCCCATACAAGTCTGAAAACCAAGATGACTTCAGGAAAATGTAAAGTCATATCGTCTACCGTTCAAAATTACAACAAAAGGAGTAGTCTGACCACATAAAGACTTGAACTTCAATACTCATTAACTTCCACACAGTCTTGTTTTACTTAACACCCGAGGACAAGCCATTGTCTTTTTCTTTGTCCCTGTAATATAACACTCTCCCATAGACTAAGCACATAAACGCACTATGGAAGACCGTTTTCAACAAAAGATGAATGATCGAGGTCAACAAAGAATCTTTTGTTCTGCCGGTCCTCGGGTGTATGTAATTCACGTTCTCACTGGCTTACAGCTGTCCTTTTCCCATCTTTCCAGGGTGTGTTCATCTTCATCGCTTTCTGCATTCGACGCAGTGAGGTGCGAGAGGGCGTCTTAGCACGACTCGGACGTCTTCCTCTCCCCGGGAGCTCCTGCCTTAAACATAGCAACCCTAAAGAGAAATACGAGGTGCAGCACAAGAGCGCACCGCCGGGCACCGAGCTCAATGCGTTTCCGTCCTCTGCGGATTAGAGACCAGAGAGAACCATAAGAAATGAATCGCATACAGGTTATATAGGATTTCCTGGCCAATTTCATGAAATGTTCATTCACTTCTGAAAATCGGTCATTCGTTTTCGTCTGAATTTGAATGCATGTCTTTAATCCCATTTCAATTCAACGAAAGTTCAATCGTTTTCATTGTTCGTGCATTCGGTTTTGAGAAACAGACGGCCAATTACGTTACCTGTGCATTTATTTGCGCAAGCATACCTTTTCTAAATTGATTTCAGGAACTGCTAATTTGATTGACGTTTAATGAAAAAAAAACCTAATTGTATATGGTGCCGATGGCATTAAACTAAAAGTGAAATAGAATGGTGAATGTTTGAAATCGACCCCTAAAAGCGAAAAAGAAGTCTTGTAAACGAATCTGTGAAAGGTGCTGCTCAATCACTTAAATGGTTGAACTGAAATGGAATCGAATGCTCTGGTAGCGAAAATGGAACGCGTGTTCAGAGCGATTCTCAAATTCAGACGAAAATGAATGACCGATTTTCAGAAGTGAATGAACATTTTAGGAAATTGGCCGGGAAAACTTATATTATGAATTTTCGCGATATTTCAACAGGTCTACGTATCTGCATCTCAACATGTTGTTGCGAGATGCGCATTGCCCATACTGTACATGTGTCCTATGAAATATCCATTCCAAATAGTGTTTACAAGCCACTTTGTAATATGTACGGATCCGTCCGTACTTACATCATTTCTAACGGTCCCTAATTAGTACAAATTTCCAAACAATCAGTTTGTCTTGCGTTCATGAGGTCTTTAAGAACTTAACTTAGGTGTAAATACATGTCCTTCCTGGTGCGTGCGCACTCCGGTAAACCAAGATTGCTTAGACCAAAAAAAGGTCGTCTATATTTGACCCTCGTTACGTAATCCGAACACGTGATCAATGCACTTACACGAGGCCCCTTCAGTGACAAACTTATTTTGTGCAAACTAAACACCGCAACAACAAAAAGAATGGAGGGTGTCATGATTTTGAATCTGATCGCGAATATGATGACTTCATTTATATAGACCTTTGGGAATTTTGTTAGCTACGTTTTGATACCCCGTTTGCTACCAAAGACTGTTTTAATCACTCTGCCCACAAACAAGAACAATGTGTTTTCATTGGTTAGTTAATGTTTTTTAACTCAGCACGTTGCTCAGTAGCTTTGTCAAGCACGGGTTGATTCAACCCCTGTGAAGCCAGGCCGCGATTCAGAACCGCAATCAAGCCCGAAAGTTGGTGGACAGGTACCCTGAAGAACAGCGTAATGTTTGCCCACTCGTGCGGACAGGAGCCCGGCTTATTTCCTTCACCCTCGTGCGCAAGGGACGAAACTTTTGTTTTAACGTTTTTATTCTGTGCCCCCCCCCTAAAAAAACACTTAAGCCAGAAAGTAACATGCCTTCGTCGATTTAAGGGGGTTTCTAAAAAGAAAAAACGACAAAATCCTGGTCAAATTAAGAGAAAATGAACCGACTGTTTGGACCCCTGTACATTTTCAATAGACCGCTTTGGTTTCTCGCTGCCAGGCCTATATTCATGCGCAAAAAAAAATGAAGCGGAACTGCGTAGCACTGTAGTAAGTGATGAAAACAAAAGTTAAAGCAGTGCCCACCGGGAATTATTCTGTTTATGCGCATGCGTGCATAATTATGAATTTATTAGTAAAAAGGACTAAGGTAATTATAATGACATGCACTGCGGAGTGTATGAGCTGTTTAAAATTATTATTGGCGAACGCGTGTTTTCTCACGCCCCCTTTTTTTTACATGATTTACCTTTCTTTTGTATATATATGTTTTAATACTTTTTATACTTCAAACCGCGTTTTGTCTCAGTTAGACATCCGGTTAACTTCGGTTTTTTTATCAAATGGAAGCAGCTGATACAGATGCTCCAAAATATCGTGTTTTCAATTATGGAGTTCTTAAAATATTCTTTAAAAAATTCTAAAATGTTCTAAAAAATATTCCCTTCTGGGACAAATATGAGTGGCGGTATCTAAATTTAAACTAGGTAGAGATGTGCGTTATATCTTTGTAATATTTTGATAACGATTCAAGTTTTGTAAGCAACATCTCAAATAACTGACTGATTTGTGTATATGGATATTTCCATAAATAAGGCTACCGATGGAAATTTATATGCTTAACTTTGTACATAAAGTATTTTCTGCAATCTTTGCAGTTTCAGTATGTGGTAATGGTTTGTCCTTGTCACTCAAAACATGAATTGTAAAACTCAAATTTATCTTCTTCATACATGATGAAAAACATTGTTGGTATCCCCGTTACACGTGAAATCACTATCTTTTTGTCATAAATATTCTGCATGATTACACTAAAAAAGTTGGAACTTCATTTATTTGGTATGACTACATACTAAAAGAAATGGAGACATTTCCAATGAAATACTTAAAATTATATGGTGCATAAAAGTTACTGGTTTCACGTGTAATGGGGAAACCAACCTCTAAATAAGTGTCATTTAGTAGCTTATGGAATTCATAGAATTCAAAAATTTTCAAAAAAAGCTGACAGATATATGGCACAAAATATATTTGCTTCACACTGTAACGGACCTTTGGGGGACTCCATGGTTTCCCCTGTTACACGTGGAACTAGCAACTAATTTGCGCTATATTTCTTAAGCCTGCCATTAAAAATGCAAATGTTCATAGCAGACACAAGTATCTTTACTGATTTAAATAATATATGGATTTTAGACATTTTCGATGAAAACCAACAGAAATATGGCACAAATAAGTCACCAATTTCACGTGTACCAGGAACGGTGTCATGTTACACATGAAACCATGTTTTTCGTCATGTAAGAAGAAAATCAATTCCAAGAATGAAAAAAAACATGTTTAAAGTACTAAAATCAACCAGTCCCACACATTTATACTGCAAAGGTTAAAGAAAATATTCTGCATCCAAACATATGTCACAGTGTCACACGTTTGGTCGAATCACACAGAAACGTCTATGAATCTTTATTTTACGCAGAAAGCAACTTTCAAAGGAAAGTTCTTGTCTCGAACGTTTTTGGCTTTAAGAAAAAAAACTTTTGTTATCATTACCACTTGTAGTATTCATAGCCATTCATTTTGTATCCAAGGCATTCCATCACATGCAAAATCACTTGTGTTATTCTGTGCTACTAGGCGCTCCATAGATAAGGTCACTGGAAAGGTCAAATAAAGCATGCTTGCGTTGCACCACAATCGTACAGTTGTCTATCTCGATCAGTCCGACAACACCTCCAAGTTATACACTTGAAATATCACACCACTCTGATCAGTTTTGCCATGACTTGTGTCAAAATAACAACGTTATTTGTTAAGGTAATAATAAGCATATATAATAGTACGTGTAACTTTATATATTTCTAAGATACGATTTTTGTTTAAAATGTTTCATTTTCATTAATATTTCAAAACGCCAGAAAAGTAGGTCCCTACTAAAAATACGACAGAATTCTAATAAAAATATCATGTTTTACCCCCCAAAAAAATGAGAAAAAGGACATTAAGTTGAGATAACCGCACTGACGATTCGCGACTGGTAACCATACTGTGACTCTTAGCATGTTTGTTTCTGCAAATTATTTCAGGGGAGTTTTAATGTCTACGTTTCCCAGGTATTCCCAATAGTATAAAAACAAATGCAATGACGAGGGCGCAGTGGCGGGGTGAGGCTAGTATTGGCCCAAGGCGCTAGTGATCGATAGTGGACGGTGAATAGTGCGCCCTCTAATGGCACAACAATAAGACCAGTGGACCTACTCCCACTAACATCTTCGCCATTTCGTTTTAGCGGTTTAACGTTTTCTTTCTTCAGTGCGTTCGATTACTTCCCCCGCGCTTGGGAACGATATATCCCCATACCACGGTTGACAAAAGGAACGCGCCATTGTATCATCACCCATTTTTGTGATGTGAATTATACACTGCCGAATTTGGGGTTATCTTGTAACTGTCCAACGGTCCAATGTATTAAATACTTTTGAAAAACGGAAAACAAACAGTACAGAAGCAAAAAATGCACTGTTTGTATGTAAGGTTAATCGCGCAACATCATGAAGTATATAGAACAACGCCCCCTATAGTGTCACATGATGTCCCCTCCACGCAATTCCACGGTGTTTAGGATGTTGCCGTATAGTCATCCCCCCCCCCCCCCCCCCCCCCCGCCGAATAGACCGTGCATTTCATCTCCATGTTTGGCAAACTTCAGGGTTAACAGTATGTTCCTCGAGAAGTATTGTTCTCCCAAAGTCCCAAGATTGATGCAGATGCAACGCAGGAATAGCAATGCAATGATTACAGCCATACTGCAGGTAGTGTGTCAGTCTTGTACACATGTGAAGCAGTTCCAGTAGCCAGCCACAATTTTAAAATGAACCAATACTTCATTTTGACTTTGAAAAAAAATACTCCAAATTTAAAAAAGTTACAAAGTCCAGCAGTCGAACAACAATAAAAAGACGGAAAACAGCTTAAAACAAACACGGATGAAGGAAGATTACAAACACAAACATCATAGCATCAATAAAAACATGACGTGACCACTGGAAATGCAAGCCACAGAGGTGGGCGGGGACTGGGCGGGGATCTGACAGGCACCGGTGCATATAGGTAGGGGCGAGGTCAGGAAGTTCGTCTGTGTGGGACTAGTACTCAACTGAGGAGAGACTTGCAGGGTTGCAATATGACGACCGAAATTGTCTGAAGCAGAGGCGGACATGCGTCTCTTGACACATATCTTGACGGACATGTGTCTTGGTGAATGCTTGAAATATCACGTCTGGGTCACCAAAATGTTTATGACCAGTATAGGCCCAAATGTTCTTAATTAAAGGGAAATGCCCCCTTGAGAAGTGCCCAGCCGAAGGATCCAGCAAGACATGCCCAATTATATTTCGAACGGTCACAGCCGAGACCCTCAGTCCGAAGGCAAGTTCGAGCAAGGACCAGTGGTTAACTAGTGGTTGGTTGATTCGTGACGTACTTAGCGCATGCGCACTGAAGTTGAAGTGCGAACGACTCTAGTCGAACTATAGACCTTTATCATGCTTCCAC